CACAGTCCACCCACCTTCTTCCAGCACTTCCCCGTGGCTCACTCCCCCTCTCCACTCCCATCCGCGGCATGCCCCGCAATTCTGTTCCGTCTCCGAGTAGGACCTTCCCACCGACCCACTAGGAAACTGGAGCGCGTCAGGCTGGTTCGTTGAACTCGGTGTCACTCCAGCCGCCCTGGACAACTGTTGGGTGAAGAACAGTACAACCCCGCTGGAGAGTGGCTATGCGCGTCGTGAAAGGGAAATGGAAGCGAAAAAAGGTGTATCTTGCACTGTGACTTCTCCTGGGGGAAATTTGAAGCATGATTTCTTTCTCGACACCACCTCCCCAATTTTGAAGCATTGCTGTGTCTCTCCGTGCAGCTAGTTAGTAGTAGTACCGCAGATCCCGTTTCTACGTGGGAAGTCCTCCTTCGAGCTAGTGGTCTAATTCTTACCTATGTTGACACATGTAAAAGTGCATTCACTGCGAATATTACTTCTTAATAGGATGGACGCGTCGCACCGACAACATTTTCGCGGGGGCGTCAGCAAACAACCATTTACTACCATACTAATCCTCACCCTCGCCGCTGCATTCCATTTCGCACCTGCATCCTGTCGAACACGTGAGAATATGATTTCGACTTCAAAAGGAGCGTCTAACGAAATTCCAACCACTATGACAATGAAAAGTAGTACCGCCGCCGCTGCAGACGGATTAAGTTTCGGCGACGAGGACAGGCCTGTACAGGCCGGACTCCTGTCTGAGCTGGTCGCGCGGAAAGCGCGGGCTGTAGAAGTGACACGGGGACACGCTCGTGCTTCTCCGCGAATTTCGGTCACTCAACGATAGCATCGCCGATGCCAACGGGAAGATCCAGGAGTCGCTGCGCGCGCGGGGGAAGCTCAACGTGACGTCAGCGCGACTACAGGAGCAACGGAGAGTCGTAGACGAGCTTTCCGCGATAGTCGATCAAATCGCGAAGCGGTTGTACGAGCGAGACTCAGAGGACGTCCGGCTGTCGCTGGTAACAGCGGGCGAGGCGAAACTCGTCGCAGAGCGACTTGCTGCGAGACTCGCACGGAAGGTTGTGCGACTGCGCGACAAAGTGGCGTCGTACAGCATCATAGTGACGTGTCGCGACGAGATACTTAAAGCCTGGGAGCAGCGGCTTCCGCAGGCAATGGAAGCGGAGAAGATTACTAACGCGACGTTGCGAGATTATCTTGCAGTATTTAAACGTGCAATGAAATCCTTTCCTGAATCTGAGCGTGCCATCCTCGGAATCGTCCAATCGCCATCCGCAACAAGCCGAGATGAAACCCGTGGCGCGCCGCCAGTTGCATTGGGTTCCGTCGCGGCAGATGTCATAGAGAATGATGCTGAGAGCAATAAAAAAGTACAGGCCAATCATGGCGCGTCGTTGTCACCTCTGCTCACTGGTTCTTTAAACAACGGGAATTCCAACGGACCTCCATCGAACGGACCAAAAAAGGTTCGTGGGGTGCCATTCTGGAGTGACAAAGACGACCCTTATCTCACGGAAATCGAAGCGCCCCATGGCGAAGTGATGGATGCTGCACACGGTTCTCAAGACAAGAATTCGCAGCAGAAGAGTCTAGGCTTGCACAAGTCGACCGAAGCTGTGTACACGATTGCAGCAGCAGACGCAGCGGAGGTGGTGGCTCGGGGATTGCTGGAGAGCCTCCGAGCCGAAGTCCAGGCTTGGAAATCTTCCATAGCTGAGGCTCGGGGGTCAGAGGGCTTCCAGAAGCTGAAGAGGGCGCGTGAAGAGCTGGATAATGCGGAGGGCGATGCGGAATTTGCGGTTTTCCAGGTGAAGGAAGGCAAAAAAGACCTGGCACAGGCAGAAGCTAAGCTGGCGGACGCACGGGAGATGGTTGACGAACAGACGAGGATTCTGAGTGAAGCAAATGAAGATCTGCGCCTCGCCATGAGTGTTGAGTCTGCGGCTCGGACCTTGGGAGCAAGGATGCAGCGGGAGGAGGCTGAAGTAGTGAAGGCTCAGGCAGAGAGAGTGGCAGGAGCAATGAGCAGGAGGGTGAAGAAAGCGGAGACGTTAGTCTTAGAGAGAAGGCAAGAGTTGCAAGTTGCGATGGTGGAAAGGGAGAAGGCGGCAAGGAAGGTTGCAGGGTTGAAATCCCGTGTGAAGGAGCTGCAGGAGAGGTATGGTGAGGGTGAGTTAGAGGCTAAGGAGGCTGTTAGGCTCATGAAGCTGCTCAAGCCAGTTGTGATTGCTAAGCATGGGGAAGCTCTTGCTGCGCAGGGCAGATTGTGAATGCTTAGGCGTTTGTGTCTTTGCCCCTTTGTACAGTAAGACAATAATCTGTTCAAAACAGTACCTCTTATGGGTTGTAAGCGGATAGAGTGCGAGGAATTAGATGACGAGAAACTGCTTACAACTACTGAGCAATTGATGAAGCCTAGCACTATATTGCGAAGAGCCTTGCTAGGCGAGAACCTCGGGGTGCCCCTTATAGGCACACAGTCAGATAAGGTCCTCCTTAGCGGGGATGAACGGAGGGGGCAGGCACAGGAAGCGGGGTAGTGATGAGAAGGAATTTCTTCGAATTCTGACCAGCGAAAGACGAATTATGACACACAGATGCTGCCCGGAGTAATGGCGGCTTCTCAGAAGAAGAGATCCAGACCCTCAAACTGTGAGTGCAAAACTCGGAGAAGCCGAGATGCGCTTAAGTATTGTTTTTTGCCGGAATGGAAGCCGTTAAAAACAGTGAGCCGGTAAAAACGCCGTGCGCGCGAACGGTAAAGGCGTCCATAACCAGAGACGACTCAGCTCAAAGATTGTGGGCCTCCTACAGAAACGGGAAAATTGGAGGCTCACTCGAACCAGGAACAGGCAGAAAATGAAGGAAAATGATGAAAATGGAGAAACCGAGAAACGGAGGAAGAAAGAGGTCCTACCTGGGCTTGTTGAGCTGGGTTGCTGGGGGGTGAGTGGAAAATGCGGATCTCAAGAAGCCTAGAGAATGGATCTCTAGTTGCTCGAACCGTGAATTTCAGATGCCTTGGTTTGGGCGAAACTCGCGACGGGAGCGATGCCTGTCGCATGAGCGACCTGACAGGGAACCACTTCTGCTTCCCGCGCGTTTGCCGCAATACACCACCCCAGGGATTGGTCCGTCCAGTGCAACGCGCTCCTATTACCTCCAAAGAGCAGTCTCGTCTGGTCTGACACGGCCCACAACGGTGGAGAGCTGGAACAGTTTTCGACGTTGGACTGTTGATCGAACAGGTTTGCGTTGCCCAACGTTTTCTATAGACGGCGTGTGCGACGTCGAGTTTCGTCGCGTTTCGTCGACTTTCGCCGACCCCGAAGTCAGACACACCTAGAATGGTTCCGACAAGACAAAAGCATGCGAACTAGAAACTCTGGGCCATTTTCAGGTGCAATCCACTCTTGCTAGGAAATCTTCTCATGTGCGATCCAAGTTACTGTGCAGTTACGAACACTAGATTCATTTTAAGGAATTTCTGTCGATTATCATTTATCATCCGATATCCGATTCGAAATAACACAAACAGTCCAAATCAAAGGCGATTTCGGATCACGCCAAGCAAAATCCGAATGGACACGTCATATTTGCCCAATTTCGACAACAATTTCTGCTTCGCACCAGAAGTTTAATAAAACAATTCTTATGCGGGATCAGCTGTACTGTTGACGCAGGTGACGGAAGCTGCGCAGGGCAAATCAGCATTCCGTTCTTGGGCGTGTACCCCAAAACACGAGAAGACTGCCCGGGTGATAACAGAGTTTGCCCTCATCGTAATAAATACCATGCTGGATTTTGTTTTCGCACTAGACGACGCTACCAGAAAAGAAGAATTATTTCTGGTAATATATATATTTTTCTGGTGGCGTCGTCTAGTGCGGAAACAAAATTCAGCTTGGTATTTATTACGGTGAGGGTACTCTTTATTATCATTCGGGCAGTCTTCTCGTGTTTTGGGGTACACGCCCAAGAACGGAATGCTGATTTGCCCTGCGCAGCTTCCGTCACCTGCGTCAACAGTACAGCTGATCCCGCATAAGAATTGTTTTATGAAACTTCTGGTGCGAAGCAGAAATTGTCGTCCAAATTGGGAAAATATGACGTGTCCATTCGGATTTTGCTTGGCGTGATCCGAAATCGCCTTTGATTTGGACTGTTTGTGTTATTTCGAATCGGATATCGGATGATAAATGATAATCGACAGAAATTCCTTAAAATGAATCTAGTGTTCGTAACTGCACAGTAACTTGGGTCGCACATGAGAAGATTTCCTAGCAAGAGTGGATTGCACCTGAAAATGGCCCAGAAACTCTCTCCACCCAACCACCAATCTCGCAGACCGCTAAATCCAATCCCTATGCTGGCATCTGGTCTGAAGAGGGGCATGCTTGTCAAATGGAGCAGCAATGTCCGCGTTCGCTATGTAAATTCTTTTGAATCGATGCAGTAGAAGATGGTGGCATGGAGTTTCTACGATCAAGGCTGCGTCAGCGGAGGCTTCCACTTTCGCAACTCGATCTCGCGGAACCTCATGCGTCGCAAAGCAACGAGCGGGTTACCACAAGCGTTCGCGTGTTGAGATTCGCGCGAAATCTGATCCGGAGAATACGATGGCTGTCGTGGCGAAATCTAGTCATCGCATTCTTTGCTACATTTCTCCTGCTTTACGCGATTCACCTGTTCGTGTGGGACAGTTCATGGGGATGCGATCGCCTACCGCTAGTCTCTGGTATGCCACCCATTTGTAGACCGGAGGCTAATGCCGACCTAGAATATTCTCATCCTCCCATCCATGTCCATTTCCTGATCCACTTCACTCAGCGATTCCCTGATTCCCGGCCTGCACGTCATCCCTCCCCGCTCAATCCCCTCCGCTCCATTGTTCCTCCCCTCAGTCATTCATTCTTTCTCCTCGCTTCACTTCCCTCTCCTGTGCTTCATTTCCTGAGTCTGATTCAAAATCGGATGTCTCAAAAGGCATGAATGCTCTGGAGCCCTCTCCCACACACTACCCACCTTCGCTTCCCCCTGCCTTGGCTTCTCATTCTCTGTCCTCTCAGCGGCCAACTGCTGGTGGGCCGAGCCCAAGAGCGTGCAGTCGCACTACATATACGGCTACGAGCTCCCCAGACTCTTCAACACACTGTTGTTCCTCAGACCCCCCATTCCCCCCAACCCCCCCTTGCCTCCCTTCCATCATTCCTCATTCTCCCCTCCTCTCAGCGGCCAACTGCTGGTGGGCCGAGCCCAAGAGCGTGCATTCACACTTCATCTATGTCTACGAGCTCCCCAGACGGTTCAACGTTGACCTCTCTGACCGCCTCACCTCACACCACCTCTCCGATTTCCATCTAGACAACCTCCTATTCAGGTAAGAGCTTCTCTTCAAGTCGAACCCCTCCTGAATCACGTCTATACCCTGCCTGCATAGACGTTCATACGGTTCAACGTTAACCTCTCTGACCGCCTCACCGCACGCCACCTCTCCGATTTCCATCTAGACAACCTCCTATTCAGGTAAGCGCTTCTCTTCAAGTCGCTTATAACCCCTCCTGAATCACGTCTATACCCTGCCTGCATAGACGTTCATACGGTTCAACGTTAACCTCTCTGACTGCCTCACCTCACACCACCCCAGTTGGCTTCCATCTAGGCACCCTACTGTTCAGGTCTGTGCCTCTGTTCTCATTTCATGCCTATAACACAGCCCCCTATTCGTGCCACTCCATCTCGCCTCCTCTCCTCATCTCAATTCCACCTCTCCTCTCCCCTCTCCCTCTCTCAGGGCGCTGCAGCGCTCCAACATACACCGCACAGTGGACCCTGAGGCCGCTTCCCTCTTCTTCCTCCGTGTGCCGCCTCCCCATCCCCCTCATCATTCCTACGCTGCATCCCCCTCGTCCTTCCCTGTTCCCCTCCCACCTTTCCAGGGCACTGCAGCGCTCCAACATACACCGCACAGTGGACCCTGAAGCTGCATCTCTCTTCTTCCTCCCCGTGCTGCCCATGCTGCACCTCGCCCTGCGCCTGCCCTCTCTGGAAGCCCCCTCCCTTGCGCTCGCTGCTGCGGCAGCAGGGGGAGGGGCAGCAGGGAGAGGGGCAGCAGGGGGAGGGAGAGCAGGGGGAGGAGGAGCAGGGGGAGGGGGAGCAGGGGGAGGAGGAGCAGGGGGAGGGGGAGCAGGGGGGAATGGGCTTGAGCTGTCGTTAGAGCATTGGGAGGCGCTGGCAGATACTGGGCGTTATGTGGGGGAGGCGTTATTGTATGTGCAGGTGAGAGGGGGAGGAGCTGCAATACTCAAGTGCTTGCGTTTGTGCTTGTTTGGCCTGCTCTATTTGTTGCGTGCATGTGTGTGTGTAATTTCACGTTCTTGCTCGTTTACAACAAGCTGCATGTCAGTCAGAAGCGTGCACTTGATGATTTCTTGATGTTCCTTCTTGCATGCACCCTTCGCGCCTGTTTCTGTGCCGTTCTATCTGCAAGTAATTACATTATTTTCTATGTGCGTATGCCCCTGTGCCTCTTCACTACAGTCACAATACCCCTACTGGCGACGCAGTGGGGGCAGCGACCACTTTATCATCGCATCACACCCGTACGGCCGATGCGGGTAAGTGTCGTGTCACGGGTTGACTCGGGGGTTACCTGGTAACTGGCAGCCTTTGAGACGCCTCAAAGGTCGCAGTGGGGGCAGCGATCACTTCATGATCGCATCACACCCATTTGGCGGATGTGGGTAAGTGTTGTGGGCAAACTCAAAAGTTACCTGGTAACCGCCAATCAAATCTCGAGGTGACCTTTGAGGCGCCTCAGAAGTCCCAGTGGGGACAGAGATCACCTTATCATCGAGACAGACCCGTTCGGCCGATGTGGGTAAGCGTTGGGCCGATTATGGGGTTACTTAGTAACTGTCGATAAAATCTCCAGGAATAGTCGGTAACTTTGGCTAAACCCCAAAATTTAGACCTTAAAACCTGTCCCAATTCACATTTTTCCTTTCTTTCCCCATCTCTTTTTTTTTTTAACCGAAACCCCCTGTCAGCATCCCCCCCTTTATGAACCCCTCTGTCCTTGGCTCTCCTTTCACCGGCCAACCCTCCTCCTACCCCGACCTGCTCTTCCTCTCACTCACAACACCCTCCTTTCATCCCTCCTTTTCTTTCCCTCCCTGCCCCCCTCCCCTGCCCCCCTTCCCTGCCCCCCTCCCCTGCCCCCCTCCCCTGCCCCCCTCCCCTGCCCCCCTCCTCTTCCCCCCTCCCCTGCCCCCCTCCCCTGCCCCCCTCCCCTGCCCCCTCCCCCTGCCCCCCTCCTCTTCCCCCCTCCCCTGCCCCCCTCCCCTGCTCACCCTCCCCTGGCAGCATCCTCCCTTTCGTCAACCCCTCTCTCCTCGGCTCTCTATTCACCCTCCAGCCCTCCTCCTACCCCGACCTGCTCTTCCGCTCAGTCCTCCACCTCACCCCCACTGCCGCCGCCGCCGCCGCTGCCAGAAGGAGAGCAGCGGCCGGCAGAAAACAGACAACTGCTGCCGGTCGGTTGAAAGCTGCTCTGGCAGGGAAGAAGCAGCAGCAGGAGCAGCAGGAGGGGGTGGGGGTAGGAGATGGGAAGGGGCGTGTGGGGATAAGGCAGCAGAAGTTGCAGTTGCAGCAGATGAGCAAGAAGGAGAGGAGAAGGGGGGGTGGGGAGGTGGCAGAGACTGGGGGAGGAGGAGGGGGGAGAGGGAAGAAAGGGTGGGATGGAGAGAGTGTGGGTTTGGGGACAGGGGAGGCGGAGGGACGTTTTGGGAGGCTGAGTGGGAAGAAGCAGCTTATTGCTTTAGAGATTGATGAGGTGAGTGGGTGGTGGTGGTACGAGGTGAGTGAGTGAGTGGTGATGGTATGCAGTGAATGAGTGAGTGATGATTTTGCTGCATTTCTCACTATTGTGTTATGGTACGAAGGGGAGTGGGGATGATGCTTGTCGTCCTAGGCCTGTCACACACCCTTGAAGTGGCCATCCTGCCTCTCCTCCCCCTCACACCGCCCATCCCCTCCCGGACGTGCGCAACCACTCCCTCCCCATTCTTTTCCTCCTCAGTCCCTCTAGGCTCTCCAACCACTCCTCCACTCTCCAGGAGTACGGGGGTACCCACTTTGAGGGCTGTACATCTCCTCCCACTCACACTCCCCACCATTTCCCCCTCTTGCCATCTCCCCCTTCACCTGCCCGCCAGCACAGGGAATGCACTGTGCCTCACGTGGTAGTGATGTGGCCATTCATCCCGCCTCTCCTCCCCCTCACACCGCCCATCCCCATTCTCCCTACCTGCACATCACCCCCTGTTACCCTCTTCCTGTCTCCTCTTGCTCCCTGCCCGCCAGCACAGGATATGCCCTGTCTCACCCGGTAACGACCTGGTCATCCCGCCTCTCCTCCTGCTCACGCCGCCCATCCCCCCCGACGCCCGCAACCGCTCCCTCTTAACCTCTTTCCAAATCCCTAGCTCTCCCTCTCCCTTTCTCCCTGCCCGCCAGCACAGGATATGCATTGCGCCTCACCCGGTAACGACCTGGTCATCCCGCCTCTCCTCCCGCTCACGCCGCCCTTCGATCTCCTCTCTCTTCCCCGTCCCATTCCTCTTCACCTGCCCGCCAGCACAGGATATGCATTGCGCCTCACCCGGTAACGACCTGGTCATCCCGCCTCTCCTCCCGCTCACGCCGCCCTTCGATCTCCTCTCTCTTCCCCGTCCCATTCCTCTTCACCTGCCCGCCAGCACAGGATATGCATTGCGCCTCACCCGGTAACGACCTGGTCATCCCGCCTCTCCTCCCGCTCACGCCGCCCTTCGATCTCCTCTCTCTTCCCCGTCCCATTCCTCTTCACCTGCCCGCCAGCACAGGATATGCATTGCGCCTCACCCGGTAACGACCTGGTCATCCCGCCTCTCCTCCCGCTCACGCCGCCCTTCGATCTCCTCTCTCTTCCCCGTCCCATTCCTCTTCACCTGCCCGCCAGCACAGGATATGCATTGCGCCTCACCCGGTAACGACCTGGTCATCCCGCCTCTCCTCCCGCTCACGCCGCCCTTCGATCTCCTCTCTCTTCCCCGTCCCATTCCTCTTCACCTGCCCGCCAGCACAGGATATGCATTGCGCCTCACCCGGTAACGACCTGGTCATCCCGCCTCTCCTCCCGCTCACGCCGCCCTTCGATCTCCTCTCTCTTCCCCGTCCCATTCCTCTTCACCTGCCCGCCAGCACAGGATATGCATTGCGCCTCACCCGGTAACGACCTGGTCATCCCGCCTCTCCTCCCGCTCACGCCGCCCTTCGATCTCCTCTCTCTTCCCCGTCCCATTCCTCTTCACCTGCCCGCCAGCACAGGATATGCATTGCGCCTCACCCGGTAACGACCTGGTCATCCCGCCTCTCCTCCCGCTCACGCCGCCCTTCGATCTCCTCTCTCTTCCCCGTCCCATTCCTCTTCACCTGCCCGCCAGCACAGGATATGCATTGCGCCTCACCCGGTAACGACCTGGTCATCCCGCCTCTCCTCCCGCTCACGCCGCCCTTCGATCTCCTCTCTCTTCCCCGTCCCATTCCTCTTCACCTGCCCGCCAGCACAGGATATGCATTGCGCCTCACCCGGTAACGACCTGGTCATCCCGCCTCTCCTCCCGCTCACGCCGCCCTTCGATCTCCTCTCTCTTCCCCGTCCCATTCCTCTTCACCTGCCCGCCAGCACAGGATATGCATTGCGCCTCACCCGGTAACGACCTGGTCATCCCGCCTCTCCTCCCGCTCACGCCGCCCTTCGATCTCCTCTCTCTTCCCCGTCCCATTCCTCTTCACCTGCCCGCCAGCACAGGATATGCATTGCGCCTCACCCGGTAACGACCTGGTCATCCCGCCTCTCCTCCCGCTCACGCCGCCCTTCGATCTCCTCTCTCTTCCCCGTCCCATTCCTCTTCACCTGCCCGCCAGCACAGGATATGCATTGCGCCTCACCCGGTAACGACCTGGTCATCCCGCCTCTCCTCCCGCTCACGCCGCCCTTCGATCTCCTCTCTCTTCCCCGTCCCATTCCTCTTCACCTGCCCGCCAGCACAGGATATGCATTGCGCCTCACCCGGTAACGACCTGGTCATCCCGCCTCTCCTCCCGCTCACACCACCCATCCCCCCTGATGCCCGCAGCCGCTCCCTCCCCGTGCTTGTTCTCCTCGGCCCTCCTCACCGCTCTCCACCCCTCCTCGCCCCTCCTCACCACTCTCCACCCCTCTCCGCCCCTCTCGCCTCTCCTCCTCCTGCCAAGGATATCCCCAACCCGGACCCCACCTCTCTTGCGCATGCCAAGCACACACCCACGGACCTTGATGGGACTGAGGGGCTAACCAGGCGCCTATTGGGTGAAAGCGTGACTAGGCAAGCGGGTGACGGCGGCAATGGCGGTGGTGGTGATTGGGATCGTGATGGTCTCTGGAAAGCGGGGGAAGCTATAGTTGAATCGAGTCAGGAATTGACCCGAAAATCGACTCGACGATCAAGTGGCGATGGCCATGGCAGTGGTGGTGGTGGTGGTGGTGGTGGTGGTGGTGGTGGTGGTGGTGGTGGTGGTGGTGGTGGTGGTGGTGGTGGTGGTGGTGGTGGTGGTGGTGGTGGTGGTGGTGGTGGTGGTGGTGGTGGTGGTGGTGGTGGTGGTGGTGGTGGTGGTGGTGGTGGTGGTGGTGGTGGTGGTGGTGGTGGTGGTGGTGGTGGTGGTGGTGGTGGTGGTGGTGGTGGTGGTGGTGGTGGTGGTGGTGGTGGTGGTGGTGGTGGTGGTGGTGGTGGTGGTGGTGGTGGTGGTGGTGGTGGTGGTGGTGGTTATTGGGATCAGCACGGCCTGTGGAAAGAGGGGGAAGGCGATGATGTGGCAGCTGCAGATGGGGTGGCAGGGGCAGAAGTGGAAGGAGGGGCAGCCGGGGAAGCAGGGGCAGCAGGGGGGTCAGGGGCAGCACGGGAAGGAGCAGGCGGAGCAGGGGAAACAGGGGAAACAGGGGCGGCAGGGGAGGCAGCGGCAGCAGGGGAATCAGGAAAAGCTGAAGGGTGGAGGGAAGATGTGCGGAGAAAGGATGAGGGGATTGGTCCTGATGAGAGAATGGGGGCAGGAACAGTAGGGAGTGGGTTTGACCGGGAGGCAGTGCGAGGGGCGTTCATGGAGATGGTGGGGACGAGCAACCCCAAGGGGTGGGCGCTGCTGCAGGTGAGATGAGCGCTGTTGCGGTGAGATGAGACCTGCTGCAGGTGCGAGCTCCTATTTTATCCATGCGTGTATGGTTTTGACCATGGGGCAGTGCGAGGGGCGCTTATGGATGGAGATGGCGGGGGCGAGCAACCCCAAGGGGTGGGCCCTTTTGCAGGTGAGATGCGAGGTGCTGCAGGTGAGATGCGAGGTGCTGCAGGTGAGATGCGAGGTGCTGCAGGTGAGATGCGAGGTGCTGCAGGTGAGATGCGAGGTGCTGCAGGTGAGATGCGAGGTGCTGCAGGTGAGATGCGAGGTGCTGCAGGTGAGATGCGAGGTGCTGCAGGTGAGATGCGAGGTGCTGCAGGTGAGATGCGAGGTGCTGCAGGTGAGATGCGCGGTGCTGCAGGTGAGATGCGCGGTGCTGCAGGTGAGATGCGAGGTGCTGCAGGTGAGATGCGAGGTGCTGCAGGTGAGATGCGAGGTGCTGCAGGTGAGATGCGAGGTGCTGCAGGTGAGATGCGAGGTGCTGCAGGTGAGATGCGAGGTGCTGCAGGTGAGATGCGAGGTGCTGCAGGTGAGATGCGAGGTGCTGCAGGTGAGATGCGAGGTGCTGCAGGTGAGATGCGAGGTGCTGCAGGGGAGATGCGAGGTGCTGCAGGTGAGATGCGAGGTGCTGCAGGTGAGATGCGAGGTGCTGCAGGTGAGATGCGAGGTGCTGCAGGTGAGATGCGAGGTGCTGCAGGTGAGATGCGAGGTGCTGCAGGTGAGATGCGAGGTGCTGCAGGTGAGATGCGAGGTGCTGCAGGTGAGATGCGAGGTGCTGCAGGTGAGATGCGAGGTGCTGCAGGTGAGATGCGAGGTGCTGCAGGTGAGATGCGAGGTGCTGCAGGGGAGATGCGAGGTGCTGCAGGGGAGATGCGAGGTGCTGCAGGTGAGATGCGCGGTGCTGCAGGTGAGATGCGCGGTGCTGCAGGTGAGATGCGAGGTGCTGCAGGTGAGATGCGAGGTGCTGCAGGTGAGGCTGCCTACTATATCTTTACATCCTTGTAGGGTTTCAACGGGGAGGCAGTGTGAGGGGCGTTCTTTTGAGGCGCCTCAAAAGGACATGGTTGGGCCCTGGCCCTCTGATCTTATCAGTCCTGTCCACACTTGCCAATTTCTTGCCAAGTCTCGCCCGCACTTGTGCCGATTTCTCGCCAATTCTCTCCCGCCCCTGTTCTCCCAGCTCACCCCCCATGCAGCAGCCGCAGCAGCGATGCAGGGAGCAGTGTTGTGTGTGTGCCTCCCGGACGCCTCCCACTGGCATGAGATGGTGTGCACGGCTCAAGCCGTACTCACCACACCAACTGCACCCCAGTCGCCTTCTTGTGCCCATTCTACCCCCCTTTCCCCCTCTCCCTCCTCCCAGCTACCCCCGCATGCAGCCACGGCAGCGATGCAGGGGGCAGTGTTCTGTGTGTGTCTCCCCGACGCCTCCCACTGGCATGAGATGGTGTGCACGGCTCAAACCCACCTCTATGCACACCTACCCTTGCTCCGCCCGTCACCCCCACCTCTATGCGCCTATCCCTGCTCCGCCCCATGCTCCCAGCTTTCCCCCCATGCAGCCGCGGCAGCGATGCAGGGAGCAGTGTTCTGTGTTTGTCTCCCAGACGCATCTCACTGGCACGAGATGGTGTGCATGGCGCAAGCTGTCGTCAACGGCTGCATCCCAGTCACCTTCTTCCACCACTACCGCCACCCCTGGTTGCACTCGCTGCCCTTCAGGTATGTTCAGGTATTTTCAGGTATGTTCTGGTATGTTCAGGTATGTTCAGGTATGTTCAGGTATGTTCTGGTATGTTCAGGTATGTTCTGGTATGTTCTGGTATGTTCAGGTATGTTCAGGTATGTTCAGGTATGTTCAGGTATGTTCAGGTTTGTTGAAGTACAAACGACGAATACTTGCTGCGTCCCATTCACCTACGTTCACCACCACCGCCACCCCTGGGTGCATTTTTTCCAGTGCAGGTATGGTGTGGCTCTGTCTTGAGTGGCACGGTATGGTGTGGCTCTGTCTTGAGTGGCACGGTATGGTGTGGCTCTGCCTTGAGTGGTACGGTACGGTGTGTACGAGTATGATAGCCACGAGATAGCCACGAGGCTCGATGTGATGCTGCTGGATATGAGCCTCCTGTGGCGCATGCAGACGGAGCTGCACTGCACTCGGTGCCCCAATGAGGGAGCAGACCGAGCTGCACTGCACTCGGTGCCCCAATGAGGGAGCAGACCGAGCTGCACTGCACTCAGTGCCCCAATGAGGGAGCAGACCGAGCTGCACTGCACTCGGTGCCCCAATGAGGGAGCGGACCGAGCTGCACTGTACTCGGTGCCCCAATGAGGGAGCAGACCGAGCTGCACTGCACTCGGTGCCCCAAGGAGGGAGCAGACCGAGCTGCACTGCACTCGGTGCCCCAATGAGGGAGCAGACCGAGCTGCACTGCACTCGGTGCCCCAAGGAGGGAGCAGACCGAGCTGCACTGCACTCGGTGCCCCAATGAGGGAGCAGACCGAGCTGCACTGCACTCAGTGCCCCAATGAGGGAGCAGACCGAGCTGCACTGCACTCGGTGCCCCAATGAGGGAGCAGACCGAGCTGCACTGCACTCGGTGCCCCAATGAGGGAGCAAACTGAGCAGCACTCAGTGCCGTCCCCCCGCTCCTCCCCACGTCCCACACACACACACTCATTGCACTGTCTTCTACCCACCCACCCTGCAGCGCCTTCTCGCTCAACATTGATCCCATGGGCGTGCATGAAACAGCCATGCGCCTGGATGCGATGCTGTTGGATATGAGTACAAGCCGTGCCATCTACCCCCTCTCTCCCCTCCCCCCACCTTCTTCTTGCAGTGCCTTCTTGCTCAACATTGATCCCATGGCCGTGCATGAAACAGCTATGAATCTCGATGTGATGCTGCTGGATATGAATATGAGCTGTTCATCCTCTCCATCCCCCCATCCACACACCCTGCACTGTCTGTTACTCACCCCCCTTGCAGTGCCTTCTCTCTCAACATTGATCCCATGGACGTGCACGAAACAGCCATGCGCCTCGATGTGATGCTGCTGGATATGAGCCTCCTGTGGCGCATGCAGACGGAGCTACACTCAGTGCAGCAGAGATTGCTCTATAACGAGTCTGCTCCTATCAGTGCTGTTGACCAGGTCAGTCACTCCCTTCCCTAGTACAGTCGGTGCAGTAGAGATTGCTCTATAACGACCATGCTCTATAACGAGTCTGCTCTATAACGAGTCTGCTCTATAACGAGTCTGCCCCTATCAGTGCTGCGGACCAGGTCTGTCACTCCCTTCCTGGTACAACAGGTGCAATTTCACTCCTCTCTTATGCACTCACGCTTCTCATCTACACTTGTTTTTGCACTGCCACTCCAACATGCGATTAATCTGAGCTCACTCAATGTATTTCCAGTTCCCCCCTTGCCGCTTCTCTCGTTTTATATTACCGTAGCTTTCCAAGCTACATCATTGTCCGCGCTGCCCCTCTGATCAGCATCAGGTCTAAGCATAACCTGTTCCCATATACCTTTATGTTCTACCCTCCGCTTCCTGTGTGTACATGCTTGGTGAATGTGCCTGCTGAATTTGGATTTGGAGTGTGGTTGTGAATGGTGTGGTTTCGAGTGGTGGGGAATGGGGTGCTGTGCCTTTGTTACGGTCTGGCACGGGGCACTGTGCTACGCGTACTGCCATGTTTTGAAACGAATGTTGCTATGGGATACTGTCGTGAGATGCGACAGGTTTTCACAGCTCTTCAGAATAAAGCTAGCCTGATGTTGTACGGTCAACCACTGGAAAATAACGAGTAATATTAACCATCCATCTCTGCATTATTTCTAAGGGCTAAAGGCGGAGGCCTCACAAGAAGTACATATATGGAAGGTACACCATGCTTCAACATTGTAAAAGAAGGAACAATTTCAAAGCAACTTCCTCCTACATATGGTACATTGCCATGCGGAAGTTACATATAGAATATAGATAAAGCACCACTGGAGGGAGGCAAAAAGCTACACTAAAAAGCCATCCCCAAGTGGCCCCAAAAACTATTCCTAACCACACAAGCCTTACGGCCGTGAGCTGGCCCAATCCCAGTAATTACTATCAACTTACTGTGGGTCCAGGTGGGCAGCCAGCCACCCACAAAAAGAAAAAAGAAAAAAGACACCATCGGCAGCAGAAGGGAGAACACCAGCAGCAGCTGAATGGTAATGCAGCCCAGGTTGCAGTACCGGGCAGAATAAAAAAAGGGACCCTGAATGGTGGGTCATTTTTGCGGACAGCTACCCTGGCGTTTCCATCCACTGCATGTACACCACTCGGGATGAATGTTGGCTGTAGTATGGTAGCTTCTGAGGAACAGACATGACTCGTATTGTGTGCCCTCCCTTCATGCCCGCGCTTGTGAGTTTCAAAGGAATCATGCTGCAGAGGAATCATGCTGCAGAGGTAGTGTGCTGCAGAGGTAGCGAGCTTCAGACGAATCATGCTGCAGCTGGAGCAAGCTTGGTGATCCAAGGATGCTCTGCGGAGGGGGGAGATAGGGAAAGAATGGCAGATGGGAACGGGCGATGGTGAGATGCGCACATCCAGACCAACCCAATGCCAAATCTCTCCAAAAGTGGGTGTCATGCAAGGCATTCAGGGGGAAAAAAAAGGAGCTATAATGAGAATGGAAATGGGAAAACCGAGACCAAGGCCAACCCTCACCTAGAGCCTCCTGGGCAGTGATGCGCTTGCTCGGGTCTTTCTCCAGCATCCTCGTTATAAGCTCCTTCGCTTCCCCCGACACGTCCGCCCACTTCCAGTGCTTGAAAGAAACCTTCTTGCTCCTTATGGCCTGCTCCAAACTCTGATTGGTCGACTCCCAAAAGGGCGGAATCCCCGAAAGCATCACATAGAGTGAAACCCCGGCACCCCATACATCGGCGCCAAATCCGTATTTCTCATCATACACTTCAGGTGCCATATATTCCGGAGTTCCAGCAGCCTCGTTGCAGAGTGCACCCTCCGGCAGCACTGTAGCAACTCCGAAATCGATGAGCTTTATAGAAGAGCAGCTGGAGGGGCTACAAAGGAGGATGTTTTCGGGCTTCACGTCACGGTGGAGGATTCCCAAGGAGTGGGAGTGGATCAGGGCTTCTAGCAGCTGCCGAAGGATTGAAGCTGCTTCGGGTTCGGTGAGTTGGGCGCGGGACTTGATTCTCTCGAAGAGGTCGCCGCCCGGACAGAGCTCCATGATGAGGTGGATGGCCGTTTTGTCCTCTAGTGCTTCCTTGAGTGTGACGATGTAGGGGTGGCCTTTCAGCGTTGCAAGGAACAGCACCTCACGCCGTACGTCCTCTGCTTCCTCGTGGGTCTGCAAAAAAAAAGTGGAGATTAAGGAAAAAAGTTGGGAGATCAACCAGACAAGGAGGCATTCTGCGTTCTAAAAGATGCATCAGAGGGAACAGGTAATTTAGAGGGGATGGGATGGGGGGTGGGAAAGGGACTGCAAGGCATTGGCAGGAGTGGGTATGATGAAAATGGTGTACACAATAATAGCTCTAATCACCTCAATAATCTTCTTGGAAATTGTCTTGCAGGCGTAGAAGTTGCCGGAGCTCCGTTCTAGGCAGGTTCGGATGGAACCGAACCTGCCCTCACCAATCTCCTTCTTCCCTAGCGAATATCGAGCCTTGATATCCTCGTAGGGCATCCTGAGCACGAAATCCGTGGGCTTGGCACTTTTCCCCCCCGCAGATATTTTTTCCAGCAAGCTGCCCGGATTGCTCGGGCAGGGGCTGCTGCATCCGCTATTGGTGGAGCCATCCCCGCTGCTGCCCCGGGAAAGGGAGAGCACATTGGAAAAGAATCCCGAGAGTTGCTCGAAGCTTCCGTGCTTCCCCAAAACGCGCAGCTGCTTCACGCGATCTCGTTTAGAGGCCCCCACAAGCTGCCGCTGCTGCTGCTGCTGCTTCTGCTTCTGCTGCTGCTGCTGCTGCCGCTGCGCGGCAACGGCAAGCGAATCTTGAGCACGCTCCTTACCTTGCGCACCTGAACGGTCTCTCCACGACGGGCTTTCCGCGGGAGCGGGTTTCGCGGAGGCCGCGGGGAGGACACGCGCAGAGGCGGCGGAAAGGGGAGAAAGCGGGGACGGGGAAAGCGGGGAAGTAGAAAGCGGAGAAGAGGGGAGCGCGGAAGTTAGGTCGGCGGAGACGGGGAGAGAGGAGCAGGAGGACACGCGTCCGCGGCGCAGGCGGGAGACGGGAATAGCGCGAGCGGGAGTAGCGCGAGCGGGAGCAGCGCGAAGAGCCGCCCGCGGAGCTTCCGCTCCGGGGTTCGGGGACAAAGCTGCGAGATCCGCCTCCGCGGAGCTTCCGCTGAGGCCGCCCGCGGCGTTCAGCAGCTCCCAGCGCACTCCGCGCGCCTCGCACTCCGCCATCAGCCGCCGCGCGGACTCCAGCAGGTCCAGCGGAATGTCCGGCGCAGCGCTCGCGATCGCCTCCGCTCCCGCCACCGCCGCCGCCGCCGCCGTCGCCGTTGTGGCGGCTTCCGCGGCCGTGATGATCTCCGCGCTGGCGCTTCCTTCCAACGACACCCGCTGCCCACGTTTTAATCGCCTGCTGCTGATGCCACTGCCGCCGTCGCTGCCGGTGCTGCCATTGTCGCTACTGCTGTTGCTGCCAATGCTGCTGTCGCTGCTGCTGCTGCTCCTGTTGCTGCCGCTGCCGCCGCTGCTGGCGCTGCTGCTGCTCCCAATGCAATCCTCCCGGCTGATGCGGAGAAGCTTCTCGGTGCTCACCGCTCTTCCCCCAGCCACGGGGAAGGCGCGCGCGGACGCGGGAGAAGCCAGCGCAAGCGGGGAGCGGGGATGTCGGGAACGGGAAAGGGGGGATCGCTGAGGCGGAGTGATAGTAGCGCCGTGCGGAGACAGCTCCGCCGACGAGTGTCGAGGCGCCTCAACTTCAGGATACAGCGGATGGAAAGTGCTTTTAGTACGTCCACTGGTAGTACCAGTAGTAGAAACGCCGCGCGGAGAAGGCGATGGCAGCTCCGCCGGCGGCGCTGACAGCTCCGTGCTCAACGGCGGCATCGCCATCATCTTATTCCACGCTCGAGCTGCCGCGAGCCTGCCGACCGCCGGGGATCGCGGAGGGGCCCGCGCGACACCCTCGCAGGGAGTGGAAGATAGCTCCGCCGCACACGCCGTCGCGTCATCATCGCGCGGCGAGCGGAATCCAGCCGCGCTGAAGGGGCTCCGCTGGATGTTGATGCCGGGGCTGTTCGCCCCCGGCGACGACCCGCACGACGCCCCATACGACGACCCGCGCGGTACTCCGCGGAGTAGTCCTCCCTCCGGCGGCTGTAGCGGCATTTCCGCGCTACAGCCGCCGCGTTGTAGCGGGATGGCGTCGCTCGAATAGGAAGTGCGACGCGGCGGCGATGCCCCGGGCCGAGGCAAGGGCTGAGACGAAGGTGACTTGGGCAGCGGTGACTTTCTCGAGAGTGACACAACCGAGGGAGACTTGGGCGAAAACCCCGAGACGGCTGTGATTTGGCCCGCTGGGACCAGGCGTACCAGCTCTTGTCTGCCGTACAAGTCGCCGCAATGCCCGCCGTTTCCCCCGCTGCTGCCCGTCTCGGTGCTTCCGCTGCCGGCCTCGCCGCCGACGGTGGAACGGCGGTTGTGGCGGGACCGCACGGCATTTCGACCATCGATCTTGGGCGTTACGATGCGCTGCGTTCCTTCTCGCTCCGCGTTGCCGTCGAGACTTCCTTCCAACTCTGACGGGCCGGATTGCGGGGACGATGCGACGCGGCGGTGTCGGCGCAGTCCGCCGCGGCTTAACCGCGCCGGGTCTGAGCACATCGCGGGAGGGGTCTGCGGAAAGTCCGACTTGTGGGGGCCGCGGGGAAGGTTTGGCGCGGGCGAGTCTTGGGAAAAGTCCGACATTGACGGCGACTCGGAGAAGGCTTGCGGGGAGGTGTAAAGATCCGCGAAATGCGGCGGGGACGGCGGGGCCGTTGCGGTCTCACCGGCGGTTCCGACCACCGCCGGAGCGTCGATTGGAAGGTTCGGCGAAGCCCTCCCGACGGCTTCGACTAGGTGAGGCATTTCTGACGAAAGATCTACCATTGCAGAGTCGAAGTGACGAAGCGCGTGGCGGATTCCGTGCGATACTGCGATGGCGCTCATGCCCGCAAGACACGCTGGTCAGTAGTACCTCTACGACGCGCTCTGGGAAAGCTGGTGCAGGTACTATAATGGCGTCTCGCCGGTCGCAAGCGTGCTTGCGTGATCCTCCGTGCGTGGTCCAGATGTTGAAATCAGGGATAGCAGTAGTCGGGCTGAGACGCGTTAGTGATGTTCGAATTGCAAAGCTGGCAGGAGAGTGGTACTCGTAGAAGCATAAGCAGCGCTGACTGCGACTCGATATTGTTTTCGCTGTACAAGTAGTGTACTCCATTTGCGCCAATGACGGCCAGTGGATTCCTCGAGAAGACAGTGGCGACGAGGCAAGGCAACCTCGCTGGTAAACCTCAGTCTGAGAGCCGACAGCTGGTGCCGTGAAATACAGTCTGTGTGGCATTGTCAGGAAAATCCGATCAGACTACGATACTTCTGCCTTCGCAATTTTTGACCCAATCATCTCCTTGGGGGCCCACACATCCTTCGTGAGTTCGGTACAGTGTACACTAAGAATAGGCGACGAGTCGCGTGGTGATAGCCTGAGGGGCAAACTCTACTGTTGCTTTGCAATAGGATGAATGTGGGCCCAAGGGTGCGTCCGTTGCGGTGGTGAGGGGAATCCGGTTTTTACACACACGCTCTGCTGGACTCGGTATTCCCTACACCACGTTTGCCCCGTGCGAAGTCGTAATTTGCGCATAAAATGACATGGTAAGAAGCTGGAAAAGGGATTCTACTCGTTGGCCGGATTTCAAGGCACGAGGAACGTGAGAATAAGTGGCAATCGTGCTTTTAATCACGTGACCCAGGAATGTGGATCTTAGAGCGTGCGGCGAGAGACGGGGAGTACAGTAGGTTATTTGTTGACTGAGGAGGTAGGGCACATGAGATAAGATCTTCAAGGCAAGCGACCAGAATACCATGGCGGCGGCATCGCTGCTGCAAGAATGCATACTCTGGGAGCGTGGGGACGAAATCCTGCTCCAGTCCCTCCGTCAGAATTTACCAACATCCCTTTTGGCTAGGGCGTCGATGTTACTTTAGGGCGTCGTACATTAGAGTCGAAGTTCTGAAAAGATTCAACTCGCAGAAAGGTTCTACACGGTTAAATACGTTTACGAAGTTTTAATCTGCGTTGAAAAGTGGTTGGGGCTCGAACTCTGTCAAAGTGCATCGAATGCACCGCGCCCTTATCGCAGCTTGGAATAGACGTTTCGCTGAGGGACCCGAGTGACCCATGTCAAGCTGACAACTGCTCGCAAAAAATCGTGAACCGCAGGGGCCTGGTAACCAATCGTAGTAGTTCAGAGAGTGTGGGCGATGTCGATTGGCTCTTCAGGTACCCTCGTGGGAAGGGAATGTGATTTTGCACAACAGAAAAAAATTCTGTAGCTGCCCCTCATCCCGAAAGCAAGACTGTGCCATGCGGATAATTTCTGTAACATGCGAATTGCACCAATCAGAGGAATGTTTGCGGCTTCTTGGCGCCATGCGCAAATGCTGCGGGAGGCAGCAATTTGATTCCCTTTTTGGGTTGCGTAGCAACCCTATATATTTGGTTTGACATTTTGGGGATATCAATTGAAGAGTGATATTTACGCACTTTTTGGGGCACCCGTTTGAATGTTTTGAAACTGTGTTCAAACGGATGCCTCAAATAGTGGATAAAAAACACTCTTGAATGGGATCCCCATATGTAAAACCAAATAAAGGAACGCACGTACGTATCATGTTGAACCATGAACTTGCTCGACCGTCCCAATCTCGTCGATAAATACGGCGGATCGTACGGCCGAGCATAATATTCTGGCATCAACATGAACGAATGCAATTGTACAAATAAACAACAAGGTATGAGGTGGAGTGGATGCTTCGAAGTGAATGTTAAAATGCATCATGTAGCAACAGCGGTTGATGGGGTCGTTGAAACAGCGAAAACACGCTGCCCCCAAGACGATTAACAACCTCTAATTGCATATATGACACGCAGTAACACCGTACTTTGAAACATACATCCCACAAACACGAATGCAAACGCACGTACAATTATACAACACCACGTAACGGTTGTGAACGCATCGAAGTGCAACCCCACAGTGAAACAAACACAACGAACAGACATGAAAACACACGCGAACAAGCACAGATAGATACAGATACCGTTATGAACACACAGCCGTCATGAATAAAATTCAGAAATGCATAAATAATTGCTAGCCTATCCCACCATACCCTCCCTATAACCCTCCCTCCCTCCTTCCCTCATCTCCCTTCTCAGCTCACGCACGCGGCCTGCACAAAGCAAAGTCAGAGAAGTCAACACGCACACGCCCAGGCAAAAACAGGGAGGTCAACACACACACGCCCTGCACAAAGATAAAACAGGGAAGTCAACACACACACACGCCCTGCACAAAGACAAAACAGGGAAGTCAACACACACACGCCCTGCACAAAGTTAAAACATGAAAGTAAACGCACACACTCCCTGCACAAGAAAGCAAGAACAAAGAAAGCAAAACACACCTTACACAAAAAACAGTATATGTTTACACAGTGTGCACAAGAAAGCAAAAACAGGATACTGCAGCACACGTGCTCTTACAGGAGGCCAAGCAAGAAATACAAATCACCCTCCCTCACATGCATTGCACAAGGCGTCAACGCATAGCAGAAAGGAGCCCGTGCAATGCAGTGCACGAGTGCGCTGCGAGGCGCTGACCGATGAACTCCAGAAAGGCGCCAGCGCACGGCAACGCGCCCGCCCGCTTTAAGCAGTAAGCGTCCCAGGGTTGGTGGATAGGTGTCCAAGGCCATGAGCGCTTCAGGTACGAGCTCCACAGGGCTCAGAACACTAGGTGCCAGCGCCCAAGCGTTAGAGCCCGCTGCGCGAGCGTGCTAGGCACTAGCTCACTAGTTGCCAGCAGCCTAGACAAGCGTCTGAGGCGCCAACACCTTAGAAGCCGGCACTCTGAGCGCCAGTGCAGAAAGCGACACTCGTTTGCATAAGTAGCCCCAATTGCCCAAGCACCAGCAGAATAGATGCTAGAGCTTACGTCCTAGCGTGCTCATGCGCCATCTCATGCGCTCTCTCACGCGCTCTCTCACGCACTCACTCATGCGCTCTCTCACGCTCTCTCACGCTCTCTCACGCGAACTCTCACACGCTCTCTCACGCGCTCTCTCACGCTCACCCTCACGCGCTCCCTCGCGCGCTCTCACTCGCACGCGCTCTCTCATGGGCTCTCTCACGCGCTCTCTCACGTGCTCTCTCATGCGCTCTCTCACGCGCACTCTCACGCGCTCTCCCACTCGCACTCTCACGCGCTCTCTCACTCGCACTCTCACGCGCTCTCGCACGTGCTCTCTCTCACGCACTCACTCACATGCTCTCTAATGCGCTCTCTCACACGCTCTCTCACGCGCTCTCTCACGCGGTCTCTCACGCGCTCTCTCACGCGCTCGCTCACGCGCTCTCTCACGCGCTCTCTCACGCACTCTCTCACGCGCTCTTTTATGCGTCTCTCACGCGCTCTCTCATGCGCTTTCTCACGTGCTCTCTCTCACGCACTCACTCATGCGCTCTCTCACACACTCTCTCACGCGCTCTCTCACGCGCTCTCTCACGCGCTCTCTCACGCGCTCTCTCATGCACTCACTCATGCGCTCTCTCACGCGCTCTCTCACGTGCTCCCTCACGCGCACTCTCACGTGCACTCTCACGCGCACGCGCTCTCTCATGGCCCCTCTCACGCGCTCTCTCACACGCTCTCTCTGTCAAAGTATATGCATGTTATATGTCTGTAGGCTGTAGTGGGGTAGCCAATATGGGGTACAGCCCCGTTTAGGGTTTCATACTTGTACCCAACTCTTCCATAGTGCATTCATTACTGCTGCTAGATTCTAACACTCTCACGTGCGCTCTCTCACGCGCTCTCTCAAGCGCTCTCTCACGCTCACTCTCACGCGCTCTCGCACGCACTCCCTCACGCGCACTCTCACGCGCATTCTCACGCGCACGCGCTCTCTCATGGGCTCTCTCACGCACTCTCTCACGCGCTCTCTCATGGGCTCTCTCACGCGCTCTCACTTGCACTCTCACACGCTCTCTCACCTGCTCTCTCTCACACACTCACTCACATGTCCTCTAATGCGCTCTCTCACGCGCTCTCTCACGCGCTCCCTCACGCGCTCTCTCACGCGCTCTCTCACGCGCTCTCTCATGCGCTCTCTCATGCGCTTTCTCATGGGCTCTCTCTCACGCACTCACTCATGCGCTCTGTCACGCGCTCTCACGCGCTCCCTCACGCGCTCCCTCACGTGCTCCCTCGCGCGCACTCTCACACGCACGCGCTCTCTCATGGGCTCTCTCACGCGCTCTCTCACGCACTCTCTCACGTGCGCTCTCCCATGCGCTCTCTCACGTGCTCGCTCACGTGCTCTCTCTCACGCAATCCCTCACTTACACTCAACCCCCCACCCACACTGACCCGCGCACCCACACTCACCTACACACTCACACTCACCTCCGCACCCACACTCACCCACGCACTCACATTCACCTGCACACTCACACTCACCCGAGCAGTCACACTCACCTCCGCACTCACTCTCACCTCCGCACTCACACTCACCCCCGCACTCACACACACTCACCCCTCCACTCACTCTCACCCGCGCACTCACCCATCGTGAATGATACGCGATGCGGAGGAGAGGCGACGGAGAGGATGCGCGAAGGGGCGGAAGCGTCGGGGATGAGAGGCGACAGTGGGGGGGCGATGGAGAGGAGAGGCGACGGGGAGGAGAGACAGTGGGGGAAACGACGGGGAGGAGCGACGGTGAGGGAAATGACGGGGAGGAGCGACGGTGGGGGAAACGACGGGGAGGAGTGACGGTGGGGGAAACGACGGGGAGGAGTGACGGTGGGGGAAATGACGGGGAGGAGCGACGGTGGGGGAATCGACGGGGAGGAGCGACGACGGGGGAGGAGCGACGGCGAGGGAGGCGACGGGAACGAAAGGCGACGGTAGGGAAGGCGACGGTGGGGGAGTGACGGGGAGGAGAGGCGACGGTGGGGGAGTGACGGGGAGGAGAGGCGACGGTGGGGGAGTGACGGGGAGGAGAGGCGACGGTGGGGGAGTGACGGGGAGGAGAGGCGACGGTGGGGGAGTGACGGGGAGGAGAGGCGACGGTGGGGGAGTGACGGGGAGGAGAGGCGACGGTGGGGGAGTGACGGGGAGGAGAGGCGGCGGTGGGGGAGTGACGGGGAGGAGAGGCGACGGTGGGGGAGTGACGGGGAGGAGAGGCGACGGTGGGGGAGTGACGGGGAGGAGAGGCGACGGTGGGGGAGTGACGGGGAGGAGAGGCGACGGTGGGGGAGTGACGGGGAGGAGAGGCGACGGTGGGGAAGGCGACAGTGGGGGCGGCGACGGTGGGGGAGGCGAAAGTGGGGGAGGCGTGGGGGATGAGAGTCGACGGGGAGGAGGCGCGAAGAGGAGGAAACGCGATTGGGAGGAGTTCGACGGGGAGTAAATGCGATCGGGAGGTGGGGTAAACGGGGAGGAAATGCGACAGGGAGGAGGCGCGACGACGAGGAAACGCGACGGGGAGGAGGGGCGACGATGAGGAAAAGCGATGGGGAGGAGGGGCGGCGGGGAGAAGATTCGACGGCTGTACGTGGTACTAAGACAATGCAAGTCAATGGGTTAGGTACTACAGACTAGAAACTGGAAGATGAAGAAGAGCGACTGAAAGGTGAGTGACTGAAAGATGAGCGTCTGAAGCAGGAAACTCGAATTTGTTTTGAGAAAAGCAACACGACGGCGATGCACTTCGGCTTGACACTTTCGGGGCTGGTCCAAAACAAAATTTCTGTTTGAACCAGTACAAAACGAAAAGCCTAGGTACCAAGGCAAAATCATCAGACATGAAACGTCATGTGCGTACTGGAGAACAAAATAAAAATCTGGGCACTTCAAAATCGAAAACACGTGAAATTGAATTGAAGGGGGCGTCACGTGAAGACACACACTTGAAATTTCCAACTCAATATAAAGCTGACACATTTCATGTGCATAATGAGTCAGTTGCAGAACAACTCGACTGCCACAACCCCTCTATAGCAAAATCACTAGTTTGTATAATGTAACATTGTTAACTTACTATTGATAAAATCATATTCTAGAATGATCACTACCCACTCAACAATCTGGAGTAGTACCTATGGTATTTTGTTGCCGATAAAGAGAAGAAAGTATTGCATGGCCTATGTAAATCTAACGTAGTACATTTTCCCATACGATAATATTAATGTTGTGTTCGGTGTTAAATTCTACGCAACCCTTACGACGTTCACGTCGAGCCTTGTTTGTGAGTACACATGGTCCGCGGTATTTTCACGCCCTCCAATTTTACACCCCTGTGTATTCGTTCCTGATTTACCCGGAAATTGAAGGTTGTTTCGAACAGTCTGGCTTTAGGAAATTAAAGCCCAAGACCTGAATTACTCAACGGAAGTCAACGCTAAAAAATAAGTTCGGGAGGCAGGCACGGAGAGGTTAGGTTGGGTTGCGAGAGACTTTCACTCGCGAAACCAATTTGCGAGAAAAGTTTCTCGCTTCCCATGATGGGTGGGGTTCTTCCCACAACCAGAAATGCGCGAGCATACCAAACTGTGCACAGTTTGAGATAGCACGCAGAGTATTAGGTATAGACCATACATGTAGACAGGGCAGGGCATCGTCGTTCACTCAAAAGGGATCAGATGCGCCATACGATGTGGGTGGCGCGGATTTCGATGATGATGCGCAAAGCTAGTGTCCGCTGGATGAAGATTATTGTGTCGAAATGCAGGTTATTGTGCAACTAGCGTAATCTCGCGGCGAAAATCGAATCGCAACCGTTCGCCCAAACGTGACCCTCCCCTCACCCTCGCTTTTCTTTCCCACGCTTCCGCTCTCTTTCGCCCGCGTCGTCGCCCTCGCTTCCGCAGCTCGTCGCGTGCCCGTCGCCTTCGCTCCGCCCGTCGCCTTCACTTCCCCCCCGTCGCCTTCACTCCCCCCCTACCCCCCCTCTTCTGTCTCCTTCATTTCCCCCTCCCGTCGCCTTCACTCCCCCCTCTCGTCGCCTTCACTTCCCCCTCCCGTCGCCCTCACTTCCCCTCCCGTCGCCTTCATTTCCCCCTCCCGTGGCCCTCACTTCCCCCTCCCGTCGCCTTCATTTCCCCCTCCCGTCGCCCTCACTTCCCCTCCCGTCGCCTTCATTTCCCCCTCCCGTCGCCTTCACTTTCCCCTCCCGTCGCCTTCATTTCCCCCTCCCGTCGCCCTCACTTCCCCTCCCGTCGCCTTCATTTCCCCCTCCCGTCGCCTTCACTTCTCCCCCCCGATGCCTTCGATTCCCCCTCCCGTCGCCTTCCACGCCTGCCGCACTCGCTTTCCCGCCCGTCACACTCGCTTCCCCACCCGTCACCTTCACTTCCCCTCCCATTTCCTTTCACTCTCTCTTGTTCACTCTCTTTCCCCCTGCTCACTCTCTTTCCCCCTGATCACTCGCTTCCCCCCTCCTCAATCTCTTTCCCCTGCTCATTCTCTTTCCCTCTGCTCACTCCCCTTGTTCTAACCCCACTCTCCCCATTTCTCACCCATTTTCCCCCTTCACGCTCTCTTACCCCCTCTCCTCGCCCCTGTTTTCCCGGCTCACTCCTATACTCACTCTCTCCCCCCCTGCTCACTCTCTTCCCCCCCTGCTCACTCTCTTTCCCCCTGATCACTCTCTTTCCCCCTTCACGCTCTCTTTCCCTCCCTTCCGCCCGTTGCCCCCCTTCGTCTCATCGCCCTCCCTGCTGCTCGTCACCTTCGCTCCCGCTCGTCCCCTCGCAATCCCCGTCTCTCTCTCCCCCCATCGCCCTCCCTTCCACTCCTCGTTGCCCTCGCCATCCCTCCCTTCTCCCTTCCCATCTCGCACACTTGTCACGCCCCCTTTCCAACCCGCACATACACCCTTCCCTTCTTCCTTGTTTCCCCGTATCCCCTGCGCTGCTTTCCCCCATCCTCCGACTTGCTCCCCCCATCCCCTTCCCTGCTTCCCCCCGTCCCCTCCCCTGCCTCCCCCCATCCCCTTCCCTGCTTCCCCCCCGTCCCCTTCCCTCCTCCCCCCCGTCCCCTCCCCTGCCTCCCCCCATCCCCTTCCCTGCTTCCCCCACCCCCTTCCCTGCTCCCCCCCATCCCCTTCCCTGCTTTCCCCCTTCCCCTTCCCTGCTTCCCCCCGTCCCCTTCCCTCCTTCCCCCGTCCCCCTCCCAGCATCCCCCCATCCCCTTCCCTGCTCCCCCCCATCCCCTTCCCTGCTTCCCCCCATCCCCTTTCCTGCTTCCCCCCATCTCCTTCCCTGCTTCCCCCCACCCATCCCCTTCCCTGCTTCCCCCCATCTCCTTCCCTGCTTCCCCCCATCGCCTTCCCTGCTCACCCTTGCTCCCTCTGTTTCACCCTTGCTCCCTCCCCTTCTCTCTTCTCACTCTCTTCCCCCTTGCTCACTCTCTTTACTTCTGCTCACTCTGTTCCCCCATGCTTCCTCTCTTCCCCTGTTCAATCTGTCCCCCGCTGCTTCTTCTCTTCCCCTCTGCTCATTCCGTTTACTGTCTTCCCCCCTTCACTCACCCCCATACCCCCCAATGCAGTTACAGGTGCCCAGGACCAGATGTGGCTTTACCATGGCCTGGTTTATTGCTTGCAGTATAGCAGACAAAACCGGGAAGCAACATTACACACACCCCCAAGCTTTGTTCCCTTCTCGAGTCTCGTGATTCCCCTTACTTTACAGATACTGTAATATATTAATTGTTGAACTCCTTGGTATTGGTCATGTGTATGACTGCTCTGAGGCTCATAATCCTGTATTATAAAAAATTATCCAATACATGGCATGGCTATACGTTGTGTTACTATCAGACAGCCAGCACATCACAAACCCAGAAGTCAGATGTGACGTGGCTGAAGTATAAGGGAAGCAGGCATGCAAAAGAATGACAACTGGCAAATAAGGAAAGGAGGAACGGAGGAAGGGAGGAAGTGAGGAATGCTGGAATGAAGGAAGGAAGTGATGATGGGAGGAAGGGAGGTAGGGAGGATGCTTGGGGGAGAAGCAGAAGGGAGGGGAGGAAGAGAGGTTGGGAAGGAGGGTGGGAAGGAGGGTGAAACTTGGCAGAGGAATGATGGGATCGGGAAAGGAGGGATGAGGAAACGAGGAAAAGAGGAAACGAGGAATGGGGTGGGGCAGAAAGGGGTGGGGCGGAATGGGGTGGGGCAGAAAGGGGTGGGGCAGAATGGGGTGGGGCGGAATGGGGTGGGGCGGAATGGGGTGGGGCAGAAAGGGGTGGGGCGGAATGGGGTGGGGCAGAAAGGGGTGGGGCGGAATGGGGTGGGGCAGAAAGGGGTGGGGCGGAATGGGGTGGGGCGGAAAGGGGTGGGGCGGAATGGGGTGGGGCAGAAAGGGGTGGGGCGGAATGGGGTGGGGCGGAACGGGGTGGGGCGGAATGGGGTGGGGCGGAACGGGGTGGGGCGGAATGGGGTGGGGCGGAAAGGGGTGGGGCGGAATGGGGTGGGGCAGAAAGGGGTGGGGCGGAATGGGGTGGGGCGGAATGGGGTGGGGCGGAATGGGGTGGGGCGGAACGGGGTGGGGCGGAATGGGGTGAGGCGGATTGGGGAGATGAGGGATGGGGAGATGAGGGATGAGGAGATGAGGGATGGGGAGGTGTGGGATGGGGAGGAGAGGGCTGGGGAGGAGAGGGATGGGGAGGTCAGGGATGGGGAGATGAGGGAAGGGGAGATGAGGAATGGGGAGATGAGGGATGGGGAGATGAGGAATGGGGAGATGAGGGAAGGGGAGATGAGGAATGGGGAGATGAGGGAAGGGGAAATGAACGTGTATGCGACGGAAGGGTGCTGCTGGCCACTAGCGGTGGGCGACAGTGGCGGTGGGGGGAAGCGTGGGCGACGGTGGCGGTGGGGGGAAGCGTGGGCGACGGTGGCGGTGGGGGGAAGCGTGGGCGACGGTGGCGGTGGGGGGAAGCGTGGGCGACGGTGGCGGTGGGGGGAAGCGTGGGCGACGGTGGCGGTGGGGGGAAGCGTGGGCAATATGCTCCCCTGCCCCCTGCCCCCTGCCCCCTGTCATCTGAAGCACTGCGCTCCTTGCTGCCCGACTGCACGTGCTGCCCCGGCTGTGCGCCCAGCGCTCTGCTCCAAAGCCGCAGCAGCACCTGCCATGCGTGCGGGGTTGGTGCAAGAGAGAGAAGGGTGGGTGCTGCTGATGCACCCTATGATATCCCGCCGCGATCGAGTCACGACCCCATCCCCAGCGCTCGAGACCTGCCCGCCATACGTCCGCGGCCAGGGTGGGTGAGAGGCAGGGAGGGAGGGAGAATGAGAGAAGGAAAGGAGGGTGCAAGGATGGGGTGGTAGGAGTGAGAAGGTGGCAATGGGGAGAGCGAGAGCGACCAAATGCGGCAATGGGAAGGGAAGCAACAACGAACCTAAAGACGATAGGAACGGATGAGAGGGTGGGCGGCGTGGGTGGAGAAGCAATGGTGATGAAGAGGTGGAACGTGATAGGCAGGGGACTGATGACGACGTGGAGAGAGGTGGGAGAGAAGGGAGGTCGGCGGGGAGGCTCATTTCCAGGCGACAGGGAGGACGATGAGAGGGGAAGCGTGGGCGACGGTGGGGGGAAGCGTGGGCGACGGTGGGGGGAAGCGTGGGCGACGGTGGGGGGAAGCGTGGGCGATGTGGGGGGGGAGCGTGGGCGACGGTGGGGGAAAGCGTGGGCGACGGTGGGGGGAAGCGTGAGCGACGATGGGGGGAAGCGTGAGCGACGGTGGGGGGAAGCGTGAGCGACGGTGGGGGGAAGCGTGAGCGACGGTGGGGGGAAGCGTAAGTGACGGTGGGAGGAACCGTAGGCGATGAGCGGGGAAGCGTGAGGGAAGGTGGGGGAAGGCGTGAGCGACGATGTGGGGAAGCGTTGGTGAAGGCAGGAGGAAGTGTGAGCGGCGGTAAGGGGAAGCGTGAGCGACGGTGGGGAAGAGCTCGGGCGACGGTGGGGAAGAGCTCGGGCGACGGTGGGGAAGAGCTCGGGCGACGGTGAGGGGAAGCGTGGGTGTGGGTGGGGGAGTGTGTGAGAGACGATGGGGGGAAGCGTGTGGAACGCGGAAGGCGATAGGGCCTAAATGCGATATCCGCGGGGTTGCGATGCCAGGGCGAGCGAGATCGAAAACGTGATACGCCACTAACATAGTTGCTGTCATGCCGATAAGCCACGACCACCAATCCGTTCGGGGTTTCTATTTTGGCCGTAGGATAGATACGCCTGGATTTCTAAGGGTCCCGTAATATTCGTGAAAGTGATCGTGGCCTATGTTATGTTCGATTTTTTTCCCGGACTCTTGGAACAATCTACGGGTAGTAGGAAAAGCACGACCTGAATTAGGGTAAGTAGCTTTCGCGGGGGTACTACTAGGGACCCCGCGCTTTCTAGGGAGCTACAGTGCCAGCAGCGGGCACTTTCCGCCCCTCCGTGCCTTAGACAGGGGAATTATAGAAACAACACAGAACTCTTCCCCACATTCACCCACGTGTCACAAGTTTTCATGCCAACTACTGTACTGGGCAACTTACCAACTGTGCGCAACTGACATTTGTCCCTTCTGCCAAATCGAATCCCCATTCTGGGTGGCTCGGCTGCCACACTGTTCCGAAATCTGCTAGAAAAGTTTGTCTCGCCCTAGATTTCGGAACACAGGCCAGCTCGCCAGACGGAAACTGAGTGGCACTCCGTCAGGTCTTCCGTGAAATTCCGTCAGACGGAATGGATCCTAAACCCCGTCGAAATTCCGTCAGACGGAATTTTACGGGCGTCTGTGGCGTTCTGACGAAATTTCACGGAAGACCTGACGGAGTGCTACTCAGTTTCCGTTTGGCGAGCTGGCCTGTGTTCCGAAATCTAAGGCGAGACAAACTTTTCTCGCAGATTTCGGAACAGTGTGGCAGCCGAGCCACCCAAAATGGGGATTCGATTTGGCAGAAGGGACAAATGTCAGTTGCGCACAGTTGGTAAGTTGCCCAGTACAGTAGTTGGCATGAAAACTTGTGACACGTGGGTGAATGTGGGGAAGAGTTATGTGTTGTTTCTATAATTCCCCTGTCTGAGGCACGGAGGGGCGGAAAGTGCCCGCTGCTGGCACTGTAGCTCCTTAGAAAGCGCGGGGTCCCTAGTAGTACCCCCGCGAAAGCTACTTACCCCCTGAATTACCAATGTAGGCAAACTGTGCACACTTTGAGCGGTTGTTCCTTGAGAAAGGTGTTGGGACTCTCGCCAACCAAACCTGTTCTGCTGCACGACTCAGTGTTTTTTTGTGTGCGATCTTTTCTGGTAACCAGCCTGGCTCGGGAGGTCAACTGTGGGTTTGGTAGGCAAACTATGCACAGTTTGCTGTTGTTGTTTTTTTTTTTTTTTTTTTTTTTTTTTTTTGTAATTCAGGTTTTGGGCTTAAACGATTAACACTCCGCTTAAGAGTCAGCGGGAAAATGGAAACATGGTCGCAGCGGAAGATCCAGTCTTCACGTTGCGGTCACAAAGTCGCAATTTCACAACATCGACACTTTACAATGCCACGGATAGCCTCCAGTTCCTTGGGTGTCTGATCCCCAAAGCCAAAAAAGGTTTAAATGGGCTTTAACCCAAAAGTGACGGGGTGTGAAATTGGCGCGGGCTAGGTGTAGTTGACCCAAATGAAAGCGCAGGCATATCCAGACGGGCCGCGAGCGATGGGTCAGTTTCGACTTGACGAGAAGAAAAACAGACCACTTCATACTAGAATTTCATTTTTGTCTCCTCTTTCTCTTATGCAATGCTGGAAAGGATTGTGGCGAGGATACAAGTGTCCACCCAAACTTCACCCCTCCCTTTTTTTTATCCTGGTTACGATAGTCAACGGCACAACACTACATGTTTATCGAATCGTACTCGTTAGCGAAATTACAGTCAGGTTTGTGTTTCTCTGCGCGGAGTTACATGTCACGCATCGCCCACGTCGCACTTGGACCTACAGATACGCCAAACTCCTTTCTTCGCCGCGCGCATGAGTGGCAGGACTCACGACGACCCTGAAAACCCGCCTCTGCACCAATCACTTTTCCCCGCGCACGTCCGAGCGAGGGATGCGGCGGAACCATCGGCGGGAATCGCGGGGCCGCGCGGAGAAGAGCTGCAAGTGGCGAGACCAGTAGAAGGACCAGCGGCGCCGGGGCAAGGAGCGGAATGTCCAGAGGCGGAGAAAGTGGGGGGAAGCGGAGGGGGAAGATGGGGCCGCGCTGAGCTGTCAGCGGCGGAGAATAGCGCAGTGCCCGCGGTAAGGGGCGCGAGCGGCGGAAGGGGAACGCACGGCGGAAGGGGAGCGGGTGGCGGAAGGAAGCGGCGGAAGCGGATTGCAGTGGCGCGCACAGTCCTGGGATGCGCGTGCGCGCTGCTGGCGCTTCTGGGGGTTGCGCTGATGGCGCGGAGGGGGGAAGACGGCGGAATCTCGGGCGCGTGGCTCGCAGGTACGGTCAATCTCCAACGGACCCTCTACAGTTCACCCACTGCCAGGGTAATCCACTACGCTGCTTGGCCAATAGGCCCCAACAATCACTCCAAGCACTGCGTGCCTCCATGTATCCTCCCCCTTCCTTTGCCCTTACCCCCCGCACCCTCCCTCCTCCCCCTCCCCCTCCTCACCTCTCCTCCTCCCCCTCTCTCCTCTCCCCCACCAGCCGACCCTCTGCAGCCCTCTCCTCTGCTGCTGCGAGGCCTGTCGGTTCCAATTCAGCCGTTTCCACCCATTCCAGTGCCTCCATTGTTCCACCCCTTTCCACCCTTTCACGTCCCCGTTCCCTATCTCCCTCCCCTTCCCTGCCAGCCGAACCTCTGCTGGTCCACCCCTCTCTGGAGCCCTCCCCTCTGCTGCTGCGGGGCCTGGGTAGCTTTACACCCGAGACTGATGTGAGCGATGGGAGGGGAAAGAGGGGGAAGGGAGCAAGGGCGGATGGATGGGATGGGAGGGGATGGGGGATAAGGGGGGATGAGGAGAGGATAAGGGGGGATGAGGAGAGGATAAGGGGGGATGAGGAGAGGATAAGGGGGGATGAGGAGAGGATAAGGGGGGATGAGGAGAGGATAAAGGGGGAAGAGGGATTCACCCTTCTCTCTAGAGCCCTCCCCTCTGCTACTGCGGGGACTGGGGAGATTTTCACCCGAGACTGATGTGAGGGATTGGAGGGGAGGAGGGATGGGAGGGATGGGAGGGGGTGAAGGATGGGGATGAGAAATGGGAGGAGTGGGTGGGGAGGAGGGATGGACCGTGGGAGTTTTCAAGATAGGCTTGTGAAATACCAATCCATGAGTAAGTGGGGACAGAGGTGGCTTTTGACTAGATTCATAAGTCAGCTTTTAGATAGGATTTTGAGTTTTGGCTTGTTTTGTTATGTGTGCTTCTGTTTAGCATATGGAAATATGTCCATTCGTGTGCATGTGTGTGTGTGTGTGTGTGCGAATTTGTGCATGTCTGCATGTCTGCGTGTTTGGCCATGTATGTGTGTGCATGCACATGTATGTGTGTGCATGCACATGTATGTGTGTGCATGCGTGCAAGTGAGCATTGTTCTTTCAGATGCGTAAGGTGGAGCAAGTGCGAAGAGAAAGCACCTATGGTGAGCTGAGTGCTGGAAAATACTATGACATTTCTGGGCTGGGGTAATCAGCACTTCAAAAAAGAAAGAAGAAGTATGCACTTCTGAGAATGAATGGACTAAGTACGGGGCAAGGGTTGGCGAAAATCAGGGTATGGGATGGAGGAAGTGAGTATGTGAGTAATTTAGAGGTAAGGGTTGATTAATTTCATTCATGTTTTCCACACTTATTACTCCTTGTACCATCATGATCACTTCACTAACGTATCCACCTTCCTTGTAATCGCATTTTTGGAGTCCCACCCGTTGTTCAGCGCATTTATATTGACATTTCAGGAGCCAGCATGACATTCAAGGATGAAATTCAGGTGTTGTGAGGTGGCATTTTGTGGTGACGTGGCATGTTGGCTGCTGTAATTCCCATTCGTGTAATTTTTTAAAATTTGAGAAAATCTAAATCAGCTATTCTAAGGGATATCTTTCTCTTTCTCATGGTGCTCTGCTCTCCCCTAGATTCAATAATAATTCACATAGAATGGAATATTCGATTCCATGTTAGTTGCTCATTCCTTCTGGTAGCCATGGCCCTTTTTGAGACCAATTTCTGTGTTCTTGTGCTGCTGCTTTTGCCATGGGTGCATGGAATGGCGTGGCATGTGTGCATGGCGTATGGCATGGGTGCATGGGGTATGGCATGGGTGCATGGTATGGCATGGCATGTGTGCATGGCATATGGCGTGGGTAATGGATATGCATGGCATGGCACACCATGCATGTGACCATCGATCAGGTCCCGGACCCCATCCATGGTGAGTGGTCGTTTCTATGCCATGCCATGCCATGCCATGCCATGCCATGCTATGCTATGATACCTCGCCACATAATATGCTTTCTCCTCGTGCATTGACACAAACCTTTCTTGCAATGCCAGCTGCTGTGCATTTCTGAGTCCCTTGCAACAACTGAGTTGCTTTTGAGGATCTCTTTTGAGATTTCTCAAAAGCAGCTGCTGTGCTTTTCTTAGTCCGTTGTAACGACTCCAGCATTTCAAAATTTCTTCTGTCTCCATCCCTCCCTTCTTTTAAGTCCCTTTTGAAAACATCCAAACCGCATCCTCCTTCGATTCCCTTGTACTGTCCCTTCTGGAAACCCCTCCTCCGTCCCTCAGCCTTAACCACCAGAAGAGCAGCATGTGCACTCCTATTACCCTCCCCCTCCTCCCCTTCTCCTCCCCTCCTCCTCCCCCCCCTCCCTCTCCCTCCTCCCTTCTCTGGCTGACCCACGGCTTTTCCCTCCTCCCCCCTCTTGCTGACCCACGACTTTTCCCTCATCCCCTCTTCCCCCCTCTTCCTCCCATCCTCCCCCGTTCCTCCCCTCTCTGGCCGACCCACGACTTTTCCCTCTTCCCCCCAGCTTTACCACCGGAAGAGCAGCAGCTGCTGCTGAGGCTGGCGGAACTGGCAGAGAGGGATGAGGGGGAGGGGGAGAGTGAGAAACGGGAGGGGGAGGGGGAGGGGGAGGGGGAGGGGGAGGGGGAGAGTGAGAAACGGGAGGGGGAGGGGGAGGGGGAGAGTGGGGAAATGGAAGGGGGGAAGGAGGAGGATAGTGGGGAACAGGAAGGGGAGGGGAAGGGGGAGAGTGAGAAACGGGAGGGGGAGGAAGAGGAGGAGAGTGAGAAACGGGAGAGTGGGGAAAGGAAAGGGGGGAGGGAGGAGGAAAGTGGGGAACAGGAAGGGGAGGGGAAGGGGGAGAGTGGGAAACGAGTGGGGGAGGAAGAGGAGGATATTGGGGAAAGGGGGAAGAAAATTGAGGAGGGGGAGGTGAAAGGGGAGAAGGCAGAGGAGGAAGATAGGGAAAGGGAGGAGAGTGAAATCGATGTGAAAAGGGTGAATGAGGAGGAGGCAGAGGAGGAAACGAAGGGAGAAAGGTGGAAGGGGAGAAAGGGAAGGCAAGAGGAAGAGGAGGCGAATGAGGAGGAGGAGGAGGAGGAGGAGGAGGAGGAGGAGGAGGAGGAGGAGGAGGAGGAGGAGGAGGAGGAGGAAAGGACGGAAGCAGCAGGGCTGAGGAAGAAGAGGGCAGTGGAGGAAGAGGAGGGAAGTGGTGGAAACGAGGAGGTGAAAGAGGGAGAAGAAACTAAGGGAGTGGAATAAGAGTAAAGATAAGAGTACACGATGAGGAAGATAGATGAGAGGGAGTCACAAAGGCAAAGAGAGGACGAAGAGGAGGGAGGGGAAGGAGATGCTAGTTTTTTCAAGAAAATGAGAAGGAATAACGTGTTTAGTGCCGACTTTATCAAACCTGCCTGGGACAAGGAGCAATGTGAGGAGCGTACTATATTGACCAGAAGTGATAATGTTGGTGATTGGTATAAAGGCGTCTCATAAATCTAATAGTGAGGGTGGTAGTGTTACGGTATGTGGGCCTCTAGTTAAGAGATCTATTTGAGTGCAAGGGCATAGTAAAGCTAGACTGGATGGTGCCAAATCCCATTGAGAAATGTTGTACACTGGATTTCGTGTCAAACTACCGGTAGGTTATTTTACAGTGTAGGGGTGGCCATCAGAGCGTAAAGCAAACTTTGGGATCAAGCTCAAATAGGCCAAGTAAGTAATTCCAACAATCATTATGGCAAATTCCAAATAATCCAGTATGTTCAGAACTTCATCAGGAAAATGATGAGTATCACTTTTGACCAACTGAACCGGTTTAGAGGATCTCACTGTAGCATCTGCATGCAGTACCATAAAGTAGTTGCAATTTGGGCATTCATCTTAGCGGTAACACTCATGGAGCTCGATCGCACGCAAGGTAAGCCACGTTTCCAAATCGTAACAGAGATGTCTTCTCATCGCCACCATGGTAACCAGCATTGCCGAGATGGTCAACATTATTGCCTGAATGGTAATGAACAGTGCACCCGGAAATCCTGGCTGGTAACTTCGCGTTCCAACCAAACTGTACACCGTACAAGTCAGGTTTGACTAAGCAAAACGAAACTGACTGTCCACGTATACACCGACAGAATGCGCAATTCTGTTTATAATACCGACGTTTACAATCCCAGACCGTAAAACCTCGAAATGCAAACTTGTAATCCATCGAAAAAACAAAAACAAAATACAATCATATAGCCCTAACTATCAAACAAACCCCCCCCCAAAAAAAAACTCATACAATATCAACCGCAAATCTATCATAGTGATAAATTATTTGAATTTTTTTTTTTACAATTTCATAATAATATTTCAGAATATTATGAAATGGAGCTAGACCAAGTTAAAATAATTTTAATATCAATTTGAACAATACTAATTTTGCATATGACAGATAATAAAGATTGCATAAGAATTAAAATATTCTATTGATATAATAAATAGCGCATTCAAGGCATGATATGGACTGTATTAACACATAATTTGATCCCAGTTTTTACATAGTCAGGCTACATTTGTTTCTCCAGAGTTTTTGTAACTTGCTTGCTGTAATAGTGATAGGAAATTATATTGAATACGTGCATGTTGTCAGAATCCTGGGGAAGGGTTACAGGCTCGTTGTCCTGGGGGGTTATGGGCGCACTGACCCGCTACTTAAAAAGCCCTTTTATCCCAGTGGTCTAGTGGTTGGGATTCTGACATGCTATCAGAGCAGGTCGATCCCCTTTGATCGATCCTGTGGGTGGGCTCACCACCTCGTTGCTTCCGCTGCAACTTCCACTACTACCTTCTGTGCCGCACGCCCCGTGGCGTGCGGCAGTTTTTCTTCCCGCCGTGCGCCCCGAGGCGCGCGGCGGTTTTCTGCCCGCCGTGCGCCCCGTGGCGCGCGGCGGTTCTCTGCCCGCTGTGCGCCCCGAGGCGCGCGGCGGGCTTCTACCCCGTCACTCGCCGCGTCGCCCTCGGGAGGCGCTGCGACGGGCGACGGGGACCCGCGCGTCGCCCCCCGTCGCCCGTCGTGGCCTGCGCGCGGCCCGTACAGCCGGCGCGCGGCCCGTACGGGCTGCGCCAGGCCTGCGCGCGGCCCGTACGGGCTGCGCCAGACCCGCGCGCGGCCCGTACGGGCTGCGCCAGACCCGCGCGCGGCCCGTACGGGCTGCGCCAGGCCCGCGCGCGGCCCGTACGGGCTGCGCCAGGCCCGCGCGCGGCTCGGGCCGCCTGCGCGCGGTTCGGGAGGCTGTGCCAGGCCCGTGGGCGGCCCTTTCCTCGCTGCCCCTGCCCTCCCCGCTGTCCCCCGTGCTTCTGCTGGCGCCCCACCCCTCCTACAGCCCGTTCTCCTGAATTAGGGTTTGGGGGTGAGGGGTATGGGGGTGAAACTACTGTGTGCCGTTCCCTGCTCCTCCTCCTCCTCCGTCTCCCTGTGCTGCAGCTGCCGCTGAGGGGGGGTGGACTTGTTGGAGCCGTTGGAGTGGTGCTAAGGGGGGGTGAAGGGGGAGTGGAGCTAGCGGTGTAGCAGCGGGTGTGTGTCAGGAGGGGTGGTACTGTTTGGGGGAGGTCGAGTGGAGGCAGCAGTCTTGTCGTCAGCAGCAGCAGCAGTCCGGAGGCTACAATCTCCGGTAGTCGCCAGTCGCCCGTGGGTCCGTTGCTCGTCTGCCGCTACTTTTAGCCGCGGGGCCAGTTACCCCAGTAGTCCGGAGCGTTGTTCCGGTAGCCACTGAGCCAGCAGCTCGTCTGTGTGTCTGCAGCGTCAGCAGTCGCCTCCCATCTTCTCTCCCCCACAGTCTCTCCTCCTCCTCACTTGCCCTCTGCGATAGCCTCTAGCTTTGCTCATAATTGTAAACTTTAAACTATTGCTTCTTGAACTTGTGCTCAGAATGTGTGGTGACATTGTGATCCACCCTGAGCTTGTACTGCTGTGCTTGCTCTGCTGATTACACCCCACTTTGGCTATGGGGGTGTGTCAGAATATTATGCTCTAGCCTGTAGTGGGGTGCTCTATAGCGAGTACAATCCTTCTAGGGTTTGCTATTTGTATCCTCATTCTTGCTAGTGCAACCCTCCTTCTTCTTTTTAAACTTTCACACATGTAACGTTTTGCGTTTGTAAGCGCTGGTATACTAAACAGAATTGCGCATTCTGTGGGTGTATACGTGGACTTCAGTTTCGTGTTGCTGAGTCAAACCTGACTTGTACGGTATACAGTTTGGTTGGAACGCGAAGTTACCAGCCAGGATTTCCGGATGCACTGTTCATTACCATTCAGGCAATAATGTTGACCATCTCGGCAATGCTGGTTACCATGGTGGCGATGAGAAGACATCTCTGTTACGATTTGGAAACGTGGCTTACCTTGCGTGCGTTCGAGCTCCATGAGTGTTACCGCTAAGATAAATGCCCTTGCAATTTCGCTAAAACACATCTTCGTGTAACAAGGTTCTCAAGATGTTTCGGTTAACCCTGCAAGATCCGTGTTTTTATCCAGGTTCACCCTGCCACTTCAGAGTGCCGAGCGTCTTCGCCAATAATATTAAAGGGCTTCTTCCCTCATGTCAAACCTGGCTTTTTGTGAATATCCAAACACCACGCCATTGAAGGGCCGAGTCGCCAAGGTACTGCACACAAAATCGGCTAGGCATATTTGACATAGTGGCAAAAGCCACAGACAGTCGGTTAGGAATATAATTATTAAAAGAAGCCTTGAATTTGGCTAAGTAAATCGGGGGGACGCATTCTTGTAGCATCTTAGGCTAAAACCCTCCATTTCTCCCCGAGCCTCCACGTTCATTCTCTCATGCGCCGCAGGGGGTAACTACACCTGTCCCGCGATAATTTCACGCTTTGGAACTCCCGAACCGCGTGGAGATTTGCCCCAGGGGGTGTGAAATTTGGGGTAAGAAATTTCTTCCTTCTAATTTCACACTCGAACCGCGGGTGGGATGTGCTGACATGGACAGTAATCTCGTGAGGATCTTTGGAAATTTCTTAATCCAATGAAGACACACCACGTCAGAATTCGGCTGGGCAGAGTTAGAACCAGCTAGAATCAGGCCCTCGCCAATTTTTTTTATGAAGTATCTTGTTTCAGTCCTTCGAGTGACACATAAAATTATCACCGAGTCACAGACGCAAAAGTTCTGTGGGAACTCAGGTTGAAACAAACTCGACATGGAATGTTAAAGCTCGCGTCTCATATTTCTGTGTCCCAACCAAGTGTTAAACGCTTGGTATCCGGTAACCCTCAAACTGTCGCACAACTCCACTGAAGGTTGGCCCAGGTTGAAACGATTGGTTGGGAACCTACAAACTTGCTTGGCGGTATGCGCAGGGACGTGCCAAACCAATCATGCGATCGTGCACCCAGGTAGGTTTGGAAAACACACCTGCACGGGGACAACACGATCGCCCAAACTCCCCCACCGGCGACCAGGTTGTCGCACGAATCAAGCATTTACAACAGCTGAAAAATATGAGACTGACAGAACTCAGAAACCCGATTTCGCACTAGCACTAGGCTGAGGTTCAAGAGTAAAACTCTTTCCACTAGCAACCGCGGTTACCTCTTACACAAAAGTTAGATTCTCGTTGATCAACATATATGGCCGACCTATAAACTTGAAATTAGGTCTTCATTTATCAGTATCAGCGGCGACCAGGGTACATCCCGTGCTTATCGTGAACCATGTCCAGGTAATGAGGCGCGCCAGGTAAGGGACGCGATGGGGCAGGACGGGACAGTACGGGAAGCGACGGGACTGGACAGGACTGGACGGGAAGGGACTAGAGGGACGGGACGGGACGGCACAGGAAGGTAAGAATCTCGACGAGGGGCCGGGAGGGGACGTGACGGGAAGGCGGGATGCGACGAGACCGGACGCAAATGGAAGGGAGGGAAGAGGAGCACGCGGAAGGGGCGGGATGCGACGGTACGGGGCGGAAACGGGAGGGACGGGAGGGGACGCGACGAGGGGGCGTGCATGCAGGGGGTCATGCATGAATGCAGGTCCTTGGCGTAGCAGGGTGAAGAGCACATCGTGTAATACAGCACAGCACAAGAACAGCGCACAGTGCAGCAGCGCCTGGACGAGTGGGGCGATTGCGAGCGTAAGTGCAGCCAGTGGCGCGAAGCCGCCAAACATGTCCCAAAACTCGGTCGTCCAGCTTGCCGTCGACTGGTTGCAGGGGGGATGGGGGCCGAGCGGGGGAGTGGGAGAGGGAGCGAAGCAGGAGCAAGTAGGGAGCGGAGGAGCGGAGAAAGGAGGGGAAGGGCGGGAGAGAGGCGGCGGAAGAGGGAGAGAAAGGAGCGGGAGGAGAGCGGGGGAGAGGCGGGTTGGAGTGGAGGCGGGGAGAAGGAGCAGGGGGGGGAGGGGAGGGGGTAGGTGGGATGTGGAGGGGAGGAAATGGGAGGGGAGGTGAGTGGAGACAGGAAATGCGCTCCTGCTTGCCGGCGTTCATCCTCCCTATCTCCGTTCTCTCCTCCCCAACCCCTTTTCCTTTCCCCCACCCCCCTTGCCTTTCCACTCATTCTCCCTGCCGCCCTGATTAGGTGCGAACGACGGGTTGCGATAAATCCCGTCATTCCCCCTTCTGCTCCCCATCAATTCCCGCTCTGCTTTTCCATCAATTTCCCCTCTGCTCTCTATTTCCCCCCCTGCTTCTCCTCCGTTCCCCCCCTGCTTCCCCCCATCCCCTTCCCTGCTTCCCCCCATCCCCTTCCCTGCTTCCCCCCATCCCCTTCCCTGCTTCCCCCCATCCCCTTCCCTGCTCCCCCCCATCCCCTTCCCTGCTTCCCCCCATCCCCTTTCCTGCTTCCCCCCATCCCCTTTCCTTCTTCCCCCCATCCCCTTTCCTGCTTCCCCCCATCCCCTTTCCTGCTTCCCCCCATCCCCTCAGCCCTCCTTCCCCCCACCCTCTGCCCTGTTCCACCCTGCCCTCCCCATCCCTGCCTTTCCCTCCCTGCCCTGCGCTTCCCTTCCCCATCCCTTCTCAACCCTTCCCTTCCTTTTCATGCCCTCCCCTTCCCCTTCACACCTCACCCGCCCACTACTGTAGTTCCCATGCATGTGCACCCATCACTGTCTCCCCACATGCTTTCATCATGTGCGCTTGCTTGTGTTCCCTTGCAGTTGTTCCTTTGGCACCTCACACCACCTCCCCCATGTTCCTTCACACAATTATTCCTGCCTACTCCACTCCCTGTATTTTCAGTGGTGAAGCAGAGGAGCAAGCTGAGGCGCAGCTAAAGCTAGTCCACGCTCTATACCGTACCACCACCTGTTTTTCTTGTGTGTTGTATGCAAGCATGATACTGTATTAGTGTAGGAGATATCCATATCAAAGGCACAATATGTACTTTTCTTTCTGCAGTGCAAGATATTCTTCCAAGATGTATGGACACTGAGAGTGTCAGAAGGATAGAGGCATGTCCCTAATACTGGCATGTTCCTATACTGGCTTGTAGCTTGTAGCTTTGCGTATGCATTACAGGTTGTATGACACCTGGTGTCGCAATGGTGCCTCAAATCCATGAGAAGGCAGGGAGGTGTGATGGAAAGGCAGGGAGATGGGTAGTAAGTGAGGGGAGATTTGAAGGGACGGAGGGTGAAAAGGGAATACAAGCGAGTAAACATGAGTTAATAAGATGCATGTATGGGGCAAAAGTGATGGCAGCACATGCACATGAACTGGAGGGCAGAAGGCGAGGAGTGACGTAGAAGGGCGGGGTCGAGAAGGGAAGGGCAGGGAGGAAAGGGCAGGGATGGGGATGAAGGGGAGGGGAGGAAGGGGAGGGAATGATGGGGAGAGAAGGAAGGGAAGGGGAGGAAGTGGAGGGAAGGAAGGGAAAAGGGGGGAGGGGAGATTGGTTACAGGAAGGAAGGGACGGCGGTGAGGATTGCGAGAGTGAGAATGGCAGGAAGAGTGTGAGAGGGCAGACGGGCCTTGTGATGTGGCCCACAAGAGATGAGAAGGAAAACGAGATGGTGGGAGGCATGAAGGAGATAAGGAGAGAAGCAAGGAAGGCAGGGAGAGGTGGTGGGAGGCATGAAGGAGAGATGGAAAAGGGGAAGCGGGATTGGAAAAAGGGGTGAATGAAAAGTGAGAATTCGGTAAGAAGGTGAGTGACGGGGGAAACAGAGTGGGCAGAGGGGAGAAAGGGTGAGTGTGGGGGAAAGAGAGTGAGCAGAGGGGAAAACGCGTGAGTGAGGGGTGAAAGAGAGTGAGCAGAGGGGAAACGGGTGCATAAAAGGGGGGTAATGAGAGCCTGCAGGGGGGGAAATGAGGGCGTGCAGGGGGGGAAATGAGGGCGTGCAGGGGGGGAAATGAGGGCGTGCAGGGGGGGAAATGAGGGCGTGCAGGGGGGGAAATGAGGGCGTGCAGGGGGGGAAATGAGGGCGTGCAGGGGGGATGCCGCGCGAGGAGGCGAGAGGAGCACGCACGGGGAGGGGAGAGGAGCACGCGCGGGGAGGCGAGAGGAGCACGCACGCGGAGGGGAGAGGAGCACGCACGCGGAGGGGAGAGGAGCACGCACGCGGAGGGGAGAGGAGCACGCGCGGGGAGGGGAGAGGAGCACGCGCGGAGAGACGAGAGGAGCACGCACGGGGAGGGGAGAGGAGCACGCGCGGGGAGGCGAGAGGAGCACGCACGCGGAGGGGAGAGGAGCACGCACGCGGAGGGGAGAGGAGCACGCACGCGGAGGGGAGAGGAGCACGCGCTGGGAGGGGAGAGGAGCACGCGCTGAGAGGCGAGAGGAGCACGCACGGGGAGGCGAGAGGAGGCGAGAAGGGGATATTGGGCGGCAGAAATGGGAGATCGGGCCGCGGGAACGGGAACTCGGGCGGGTTGCACGGGAGATCGGTCGGCGAGCAGGGGAGATGGGGTGGCGGGGAAGCGGAGGTCGGGTGGTGGGAAGATGACGGCTATTACCTAATCATAAGCATAGGCAAAGGGGAGCGCTACTGCTGCTCACCCCTGTTACGTGACATTCTTTGTCCTTTTGACGCCTTTGGATAGGAGCTAGGTTACTAATGGAGTGGTAATGCTTCTACTACGTGTAAGGAGGTAGGGCTGGAGTGCTAACCTTGGCGCTTGATTTTTCCCTATCACTTCACTCCCTTGCACAATCTGTGTTCCCGTCGTCAGTGTTGGTCGCACAAAGTGCAACTTCCCAAACCTGTCACGCAAGAGGTTCGGATGTGACCCAAACCTGCGCCTGAGCTCTTGTGTTGGCCTCAACACTTTGGAACTTCGCGCATGTATTTCCCCCGCTCGTCAAAAAACTCGTCACTCGTAAACCAATCAGGATCTTACTTTCCCAACCAAGTGTTAAACACTAGTAAATATGAGACGCGAGCTTTAACAATCTGTTGGACTCGTATCGAATCAGGTTAACCTTCACTCCTTCCCCCCTCTTCCTCTCCTCACATTATTTTGCCTATTCCTACATGTGATAAAACTGCACCTGAAACTCATCTTGTGATGTACACGACAGCAAGGTCCAAACATCTGATTCCTCACTGGTAGGCACATGAAGATACTCAGCCAAATGCAATTGATCGAGCCACCTTCTAGTTGTTGTCATCAGGGTCAACACATATGGTACTAATTGTTGATGAGGTCCTGTTTGATCTTCCAAATGCGCAGCCCGTAACCGATGCGAATCAGGGCAAGCTCAAAGAGCATATGGAGTATGCTGGTAGGCCGGAGCTTGGACCCTGGGATCTCCGTCCAGGCAACTGCAACCTCTGCCACCCTGATGTGCAGCTTCTTGCACAGGTACAGCAGCTCCACATCAAACGTCCATCTGGAAGGGGTGGATGGGAAAAGGAGGAAAACAGCATTTGAGACATCTTTTAGTGTGCAGCTTCTTGCACATGTACAGCAGCTCCATATCAAACGTCCATCTGGAGGGGATTGACAGGAAAAGGGAGAAAAAAAAACTTTGAAATTGTCTTCTAGAAATGCAGCTTCTTGCACAGGTACAGGAGCTCCACATCAAATGTCCATCTGCAAGGAGATTGGCGGGAAAGGGGAACAAAAAGGTTCTGAGACCTCTCAAACAATAACGCAGCTTCTTGCACAGGTACATCAATTCCACACGTTCGGTTGGAGGGGAGTGATGGGGAAAGGGAGAAAAAGACTTTTGAAACGTCTTGGGAATATTAATATTTTTGAACAGGTATGTATTACAGGTTTACCTGGATAATGATTGACGGGAGAGGGGGCGGAAAATACCAGAGAGAGCAAAAATGGGTGAATTGGGGTTTATGTGAGAACAACTGAGGAGCATACATGATTCTGCAACTTGATTCCAAAGCAACCATCGAGCAATGATGCGTAGACAAACTGCTAGCCAGCTTACCTGTTGAGCCTCTGATTGCGGAAGAGTTTTCGGGCAGCTGAGCGAGTGAACATTTTGAATCCACACTGCAATTGAGGGAGGTGAAATCAAGGAAACAGTAGAGATGGAAGCACGGAGAAGTGCGCTGAGAGTTGCCTCAAGGAAGAGAAGAAGCAAACCCATGCATTTTTTTTAGTCTCATGTTTGCTGCTTCTGAAACGTCTCAAAAGGTATGCTCTCACGTGTGTGCCCCCTTACCTGTGTGTCTCTCACTCCCGTCCCCCCTGTAGCAAGCAGCACTGCAAAGTAGAAGCCGTACATGAGCACGTTGCGATACCACTTGCGCTGGAGGAGAGAAGGGGAAGGGAACATGGCAGGGGGAAGGGAACATGGCAGGGGGGAAAGAGAAACACATGGCAAAGATGGTGGTGAGTACAAGGGAGAGAGAGCACTGCAAAGTGGGAGCCGTACATGAGCACGTTGCAGTACCATTTGCGCTGCAGTGGGAAAGGGAGAGGGGGGAAAGCAAAGCAACGATGACGATGGGTGCGAGCAGCGGGAGGCGATAAGGAGAAGCCGTACATGAGCATGTTGCAATACCACTTGCGCTGGAGTGGGAATGGGGAAGGGAGGAAAACACGGCAAACAATTGTGATGAGAGGTACGAGGGAGAAGGAGCACCGCGAAGCAGCACGAGCAAATTTTGGGACGACTTGAGCTGGAAAAGAGAGAGGGTTGAAACCTAGTATCCTCACGAAGCGACGTCACATGGTAACTACAAGCAACGCACAACGACCAACACTTATCCACTCCACTCAATCCGAAGGGCCCTTTCCTCTCAAAAGGTTTTGTCTGATGGGAGTGAAGCATTGAATGAAACCACGAACAGTGCACAGTGTGTAACCACCTAGAAACTACTTGGTAACCACCTAGTAGCAACAACTCACATTGACGAGCGCTTTCTTCTCAAGATGAGCGCGCGAACCAAAAGCCACCAAGGAGGCGCTGCCAATGCCAGGACACGTGGCGACAGCTGATTGGCTGTCAACCGGTCCCCCCTTGGTCATGCTGACAATCTGAAACAAGGTGGGATCGGGATGAGGTAGGAAGAACCTTAAGGCACAGGCTATGACACTGCCACTGACACGCATAATGACACTCATTATGACACTGATAATGACACTGATAATGACACTGATATTGACACTGATGATTTGACTCACAAGGGACCAGAGTAAAGAGAAAAATGAGACATGATCCTAAAAGAGTTATCAGCGTTAACTACAAGGTGACTACAAAGAGTCGACTCAAAAGTCACATGATCCTAAAAGAGTTATCAGCGTTAACTACATTGGCCTCTCCCTTCTCAAAACTCACCCAGTGACTACTCCCATCTCTCCCCTCTTCCACACTTCCCTCTCCCTCTCCCTCACCTCTCTCTCCCCTCTCTCTCCCCTCTCCCTCACCTCTCTCTCCAGCTTCTCTAGATCTGTGAACCGCGTTGCACCGTCCGCACTCAAATTGGGTCCCAGCACCCCTAACATACTCACCCCTAGCACCCCTGCCAATGACGCAAGTCCTCACTCACTGAATCTCGTCTCCTCGCCTCCTGCGCGCCTTACCTCTCCACTCTCCCTCTCCCCTCCCCCTCACCTCTCTCTCCAGCTTCTCTAGATCTGTGAACCGCGTTGCACCGTCCGCATCCGCAAAAAGGATGAGCTCCCCCCGTGAGCACAGCGCGCCCTGATGGAAGGGAAACAAACAAGAAAGACAGAGACATGGGGACAGGGAAAGGAATGAGGGAGAGAAGGGAAAAAGGACGAGCCCCCCCGTGAGCACAGTGCGCCCTGATGGAAGGGAACCATGCAACAGATGATGGGTCACGGGTGTACAAGAAAGAGGAGGAGACGGAGGAGGAGAAGGAGGAGGGCGGAAAGAATGAGTGAGAGAGAAGCGGCATAAAGGATAAGGGAAACAAAGACAGACCCCGGGTTTAAAAGACAGAGAAGGGGTAGGAAAAGAAGTGAGGATGAAACTTCCTATTTCCTTCCATCCAACTACCGGCATGCACACACACCCACCTTTCTAACAGCCGCTACCTTCCCTTGATTGACTCGCTGCTTCACCACTCTCACTCAGTCAATCCCCATCCGCTCCCAAAATCCCACCCCCTCCCATTCACCCACTAGCATACCCACCTTCCTTTCTGTGCCACACACACACCCACCTTCCTAACAGCTGCTCCCTTCCCTTGGTTGACCCGCTGTTTCACCACCCTCACACGGTCGATCCCAAGCCGTTTAACATAGTCAAACACCACGGCGACTGTGCTGTCCGTGCTGCCATCGTCCACCACTAGGACCTGATGAGAAGGGAGGAGGAGTGGAGAGGAGTGGAGAGGAGTGGACAGGAGTAAAGAGGAGGAAAAGCAATCATTGGTGGGAGTCAAAGGCAAACATCACAGCGAGGAAGGAGGAGAGTCCGGAATGAACAATCGGGATTTTTGAGTCGACTCAAAACTCGACTTATCACACACGGCAATCATTGGTGGGGGTCACAGGCAAACACCACAGCGAGGAAGGAGGAGAGTCCATAACACCGAGGAATGAACAATCGGGATTGCCGCGGAGTGATCTTGCTGTGCCTATCGGGTGGGACGGGTATGTCCAGACAGGTGCCGTGGGGAATATGCATAGCCTCAGAATGGTGCAGTGCCGTGAGGTGCGGTGCAGAGTGGAGTCGTGCGGTACGGGACAGTGCTGTGCGGTGCAATACCTCGTAGGTAAACGCTGCGTCCTTGGCTGATCGCTCCTGCACATAACTGCTTGGGAAAGGGGAGGGGATTGAAGGGGAGGGAAGTGGGGGAAGAGAGGAGAGGAGGAGAGGGGAGGGGGGGAGAGGAGGAGAGGGAAGGGGAGAGGGGAAGCAATGGGGTCAAAACATCAATATTACTTGCACACTTAGTTGGTGGTGTGTGTGTGTGTGTGTGTGTGTGTGTGTGTGTGTGTGTGTGTGTGTGTGTGTGTGTGTGTGTGTGCGTGTGTGTGTGTGTGTGTGTGTGTTGGGAGAGGGGGGGAGGTGGGGGAGGGGGTCTGTGCGTATTGCTGTCCTGTATTCGATAGTGGCAGGACAAACTACTATTGCCATACAACCCTTCCCTCCAGTACCCCCATACGCACATTCTTCCATAACACTCATCTCATTTCATCTATTGGTCTATACAGTGTGGCTGCGATTATGGTGTCCTCGTTTTAAGCAGAGCACACTATCGTCCTGCCACCCTTATATCAATGCATCAATAAGCATTCTCCCACCTGATAATTTCATCCAGAGTGTTGCAACTCCACCGTCCTCGTAATAAGCAGGGTAACTATCGTAATGCCACCCTTTTCAACACCCTAAAAATAATTCTCCCATGCCTCCCCACCTGATGATTTCGTCCAGAGTGGCCGCAATTCTTCTGTCCTCGTTATAAGCAGGGCACACTACAGTGAGGTATTTCTCTGCCGGCGCAAACAGCGAGGGCAGAGGCACCTTGTCCACAGAGGTAGGGTCCTCCATGAACAGTGAGTCGTGCTCCGTGTGGCTGTGGAGAGAGGGGGGGAGGATAAGAAGGGAAAAAACTCTGTAAGTGAGCCGTGGGGAAGGGCAGAGGCACCTTGTCCACAGAGGTACGGTCCTCCATGAAGGGTGCTTCCCTCTCTGAGCCACTGCAAACAGTAATGGGGCGGGGAGAGAGGGGCGCAGAGGCACTCTACGCCACAGAGGCAGGCAGGCAGGCAGTGGTGAGGGGCAGGGGCAGGGGTAGGGGCAGGGGCAGGGGCAGGGGCAGGGGCAGGGGCAAATTGAAATCACTTTTGAGAATTCTCAAAAGTGATTTCAATGAGGCAGGCAGTGGTGAGGGTGAGGGTGAGGGAGACGGAGAGGGTGAGGGTGAGGGTGAGGGTGAGGGTGAGGGTCTCCATCCACGAACAGTGCTTTGCAATAAACTTCACAGAAACAGTCCCACAACGGCTGTAAAGGTTGAGGGGGACACACAGCAAAGTGCCACGTGGATCTAGCAGCAATCTGCACGGCGTATGAGGAAGCCCACCTGATCCCCGCGTTCAGGAGAACGAGCCGCGATATGAGGAGGGCTAGGATCCAGACAAGAGCGAGGAGCGCCTGTACTTGTACAGAAATACAAAGTCAATAGAACATAGGCAAGGAGGTGAAACCGTGAGAAGTGAGACGACTGGGACTGGAATTCAACCTAGAACGACGAGCAAGTACATGTGGTATTACGGATATACGGGTCAGAAGAAAATAAACAATCTCGCAAGCTTCCTTAACCGAGTCTCACCACTCCCCGATGTCCCTCCGACACTCACTGTGACCCACACATCCCCAATGTCACTTCGACATTCCCAAGGGTTTCTTAACATTGAATTCCATGACACCACGTATACACTCTTGAATCATATTTTTTTTTTACTTCGGAAATTCCTCAACGCAGGTCACCTCAGAATCACCTAAATGTTAGTCAGACGATTTTTGAGGCGACTACGAAGGACAATTTTTGAGGCACTTAAATAAAAATAAAATGATAATTTTCTATGCGCCTCAAAAGCGTATTTTTGAGGCGCCTTGAAAATCAGTATGTTTCTGATTCTAGATACCTCAATTACTGAGAAGCTAGTGAGTCACTCACAGCGGACAACAGCAGCAGCAGCGGCGTCGGTAGACTACCCAACCATTCCGCAATCCACGTCATTCCGGTCTGGATCCTTCACGTTTCTAAGGCACCGCAGCGCAGTGTACGGCGCTTCGCACGGATTAGCCTGCTTTCGCACAGTTTACGCGGCTAACGCACGGCTTAGAGGGTTGCTGCTCGCGTTACGAATCAGAAGCGCCAGAGGCTGGAGTGGCACGCGGTGTCTCCTTCCACTCCCCTAGCACATCCACTTCTCAGTATTACGCAACGGCTAAAAATCGGATCGTACTGAGATCCGACGAAAAAGCACGCGTCAGATTCGAAATCCCTACAGCAATTCAGTACTGTTATGGAAAAGTACGAACTCCCCTTCAAATTAAGAGCGTGGATATTAAAAGTATGCTTTTGATTCCGGGTCCCACGCTACGACAATATTACGCAGGACCGTAACAAGCGACGCCGTTCCAGCGACCTACTAGATCGCTCGCGGAACAAGGAATCGCGTCCTTGGGCTGACTGACGGGCTGCTTTGCGTTGCGAGGAAGCTGCAATGCTTGGTGGTGGTGCTTGCATGTGCATCTGTTGCTGCTGTAGGGAAGGAAGGAATCAATTCGAGCAGGAATCTTGGGGGCTCGTTCCTAGGTCGAGTCGTTCGACACACAATTGAACTGAGTGGGAACAAATGTCAACCAAACCCCAGCAAAATGTTTAGCACTAGGCAGTAATGTAAGATACTTGGGTTGGGAGACGCGTTGCGGAAAACGCGGCTTTCGACTAGGGGTCGTAGCTTTGTAGATGTCGGTGACGCCAGCGGTCCCTGGGAACCGGTCTTGTAACAACAGCGATTTTTCACAAACGAAATTATGATACTGTAATAAGAAAGTAATTCGACTTTGGAGTGAACTTGTTGCAACGTACAGATATTTATCGCGTTTACAACCAGCTGTGGCATGTAGCAGAGCGCTCTTTTGCGCGGACAAGTGCTTTGTGGCTGAAGCAGTGCCCATAAGGCACGCATCTTCCCTGGATGATGTGGCACTCAAATCACTTATGCAGATGATTCACCACTAATGAGTGGCTGCTGCTTCACTGTCGCGTAGCATTCGCGGTGCGTCAACTTATTTCTGCGGCGGCGACTCCTAATATTGCCGCGTAGACCGTTTTCGTCCCACCGCGACTTTCTTCCCCTGAACCCCTCCGTTCAGTTCCCGCATCCCCCCGCGCAAATCATGGCTGCGCCGTCCGCCATGCTGCGGCTATCCGCATCGCGCGCACTGCCGCGGATCCCGCATCGCGCATTGCGCCTTGATTCCCGTTGCGCTTCGTCGCTCAATATTCCCGCCGCACAGTATCCAGTCAGCAGCGCCGCCCCAGCTGTCGCCCCGCAAAGCGCCACGTCAGCGCTGCCCGATCGCTCCACTAGAGTTTTCTCAAGCGCGCCGTGCGCGTCGAGATCAGTCGGAATCTTATCTTCCAAATCCAAGGCGTCCCGCGGCGCGTCCTCGTCTTATCGTCGATTCGCGGCTGCCGCTGCTGCCGGCGGAGATGGCGGCGTGGGATCCGCTGCGGCTGCGGCAGTCGCGGAGCGAGCGTCGGCGGGAGTGAAGGAGAGCGCAACCAGGTGAGGGATGAGCGGAGCAGGTGGGGGATAGGCGGAGCAGGTGGGGGAGAGGCGGAGCAGGTGGGGGAGAGGCGGAGCAGGTGGGGGATCGGCGGAGCAGGCGGGGGACAGGCGGAGCAGGTGAGGGACAGGCGGAGCAGGTGGGGGACAGGCGGAGCAGGTGGGGGATCGGCGGAGCAAGTGGGGGAGAGGCGGAGCAGGTGGGGGGCGGAGCAGGTGGGGGACAGGCGGAGCAGGCGGAGGAGAGAGGGCTGGGGGATGCAGTCACGAGAGCGCCTTGTACCCCCTCCCGCATTGCCTCACTCCCTGTGACCCATTATCACCCACCATCACCCATCACTACCCATGATTACCCCCCCCGCCCACCACTCAAGCCCCAACCTGCTGGACGTGTCGTGGGAGAGAGAGAGAAGGGGCTTTTGAGAATTCTCAAAAGTAGCATCAACATAGCCGGCCGTCCCTGCCTTATACCTTGCCTCATCCGCCTCTCCCATCACCCACCATCACCCATTCTCGCCCCTCTTTACCCCCTCCCTCCTCTGATAACTCAAGGCCCAACCTGCTGAACGTGGTGGGGAAGAGCTGTGACTAACGGACAGGTGGGCTGCAGAGGCTGCCTTACTTCCATCAGAGACGTCTCAAAAATGCCTTACTTCCATCGATTCGTATGGTTCTTAGGACGGCGAAACAAACCCCACGGACGTGGTGGGGAAGAGGAGCCTGGTGGATGCAAAATGAGCGTGCCTTGTGCCCGCTCCCTCAATGTGTTCTCCCTATCACCCATCGTCACCCATCGTCACCCATCGTCACCCATCGTCACCCATCGTCACCCATCGTCACCCATCGTCACCCGTCGTTACCCGTCGTTACCCATCGTCACCCATCATTATTCCCTCCCTTCAAGGCCCAACCTGCTGCACGTGTTGAGGGAGAGAGGGCTGGTGGTTGCAGCCACGAGCGATGCCACCCATCCCTGCTCAACCCCTCTCTTAATCCCTCTCCACCCTTTATCACACATACCAACCCCCCTCTTCTTAAAGGCCCAACCTGTTGCACGTGTTGAGGGAGAGAGGGCTGGTGGTTGCAGCCACGAGCGATGCCACGAGCGTGCCCTGTGCCAGTTTCCTCATTGCCTCATTCGCTCTCCCTTTTCACCCATCACTACCCATCATCACCCACCGTCACCTCTCCGCTCCTCCCCACCCCCTCCCTCAAGGCCCAACCTGCTGGACGTGTTGAGGGAGAGAGGCCTGGCCGATGCAGTCACGAGCGTGCCTTGTACCCGCTCCCTCATTGCCTCATTCCCTCTCTCCCTCCTTGCACCCATCATCCTCTCCCCCCTTCAAGGCCCAACCTGCTGGACGTGTTGAGGGAGAGGGGCCTGGCCGATGCCGTCACGAGCTGGTCTGATACCCCCTCCCTCACGGCCTCTTTCCCTAGCACCCATTATCGCCCGTTATTAACCCCCCTTTTCCCCCACCCCCACTCAAGGCCCAACCTGCTGGACGTGTTGAGGGAGAGGGGCCTGGCCGATGCCGTCACGAGCGAGGCATTCCGGGAAGGTTAGCTCTGTGCCACCCCTCCCCCTTTTTTTTAGTCACACTTTTCTCTCGCTTTGCAACCCTCTTTGGAAACATGCGTTTGCAGCACTCACCCACCCCTCCCGTGCTTGCTGTTTACGTGTCCTTCCCCTTCATCCTGGAACTGAAGGGCATTCTGCAAATGCAAGGGAATATTCTGAGTGTGTCAAAATCTCCAGCCTGTTTGACTACACTGCTGCATTTTCATCTCGCTCATTGTCAGCCCTCTTCTGTATTAGAAGAACAAGTAATTTCAAGTATCATTATTTTTCTATATATCACCCCTCTTCACCCCTCTTCACCGCTCTTCACCCCCGTGCACCCATGATCAGCGGCAGAGCACCCTCTGAAGATCTACGTCGGCTTTGACCCCACTGCTGGTGAGCTTCCTCCCAACCAAGTTGATCCAACCTTGGGCGCAACCTTTGTTATTTTCATGCACACGTAGCGTCCAAGGCTTTTTTCTCCGAGCATTGAGGTGAGTTTTGAGGCGCCTCAAAACCCCCACCCTCTGAAGATCTATGTTGGCTTCGACCCCACCGCTGGTGAGCTCCCGAGGTGCTTTAAGCATGTATAGAAAGTGAAGTGTTGAGGCGTCTCAAAACTCTCTCCCGAGGTGCTTTATGCACGGTTATTCTCATGCACATAAGGTGGGTGATGCGTGTCAAACAGGGGCATGTGCGCATATAAGGCGCTTTGTTATAAGCGCGTTTAGCATAAAATGCGGCCAGTGTGCAGAATTCGTTCACGAGGGCATGGATGCTCCAGCTCCCAACCACCGAAACGCCGATTAAGGCCCACAAAGCCGAAACGCGTGTACGTTTTCTGAACCACTTGTAATCTGCCTTTTAATACTACTACGCTTACCTACACGTGTTCTCGCCTAGTACTCAGTGAATTTTTCTACTCAGATTAGTTAGGTCGGTCGAACCGAGCTTGCAGCTTTCTATCCGTTTCCTTCGTTTGAGAGCACAATTCGTTCACGAGGGCATGGATGCTCCAGCTCCCAACCACCTTCCTTGCCACCCCCTCTCCAAGGTCCTTGCATCTGGGAGCTTTCTTTGAGCCGCTTTCAATTCTGCTTTTCGGGAGCCTTCTGGGAATTTTCGTCCAGGTTGGCATGGGCGCAGCGCTGTGGGCACACAGCAGTGGCGCTGCTTCTAGGGGCGAGCCACAGCACGGGTGGGATGGGTGGGGTCGAGAACCTGGTTCCTTTGGGAACGAAGACAGACGTTTCATGGTCCATCCACCTCATCTCTCTCATCCCTTCCCTCCCCTCCACAGAGTCACTGCACCTCGGGAATCTCCTGGGTATCATCGCCCTGGCATGGGCGCAGCGGTGCGGGCACACAGCAGTGGCGCTGCTGGGGGGAGCCACAGCGCGGGTGGGGCTCCCTTTTGGGGCACAACAATCCATGTTCCATGACCCATCCGTGTCCTCTCTCAATCTCACCCCTCTCCACCCCTCCACAGAGTCACTGCACCTGGGAAATCTCCTCGGCATCATCGCCCTGGCATGGGCGCAGCGGTGCGGGCACACAGCAGTGGCGCTGCTGGGGGGGGCTACAGCACGGGTGGGGGACCCGTCGGGGAAGAGTGTGGAGCGGCCGGTGATGGATGAAGAGACGATCGCGAGGAACAGCAGCGGTATCTACAAGGTTCTTCAAGACATTCTCTCACGACCGGTGAGTTCAGGGCTGGAATGAAGCTTTGATGAGGGTGGAGGACCCTTCAGGGAAGAGTGTGGAGCGGCCAGTGATGGATGAGGAGACGATTGCGAGGAACAGCAGCGGTATCTACAAGGTTCTTCAAGACATTCTCTCACGACCGGTGAGTTCAGGGCTGGAATGAAGCTTTGATGAGGGTGGAGGACCCTTCAGGGAAGAGTGTGGAGCGGCCAGTGATGGATGAGGAGACGATTGCGAGGAACAGCAGCGGTATCTACAAGGTTCTTCAAGACATCTGGTCTCGACCGGTGACTGTGTGTGCTCCCTCCAAGCTTTTAAGGGAGAGTGTGGAGCGACCGTGATGGATGAGGAAACGATTGCGAGGAACAGCAGCGGGATTTGTAAAGTCCTTCAAGACATTCTGTCTCGACCGGTGAGTTTGACTTGATGAGCTGTCAGGCGCACACCAGCGCAGCGCTGCATCCACCAGGGGGACCGGTGAGTTTGATTTGATGAGCTGTCAGGCGCACACCAGCGCAGCGCTGCATCCACCAGGGGGACCCGTCGGGGAAGAGTGTGGAGCGGCCGGTGATGGATGAGGTGAGGAAACCATTGCGAGGAACAGCAGTGGAATTCATAAAGTCCTTCAAGACATTCTGTCTGGACTGGTGAGTGTGTGTGCTGTGCTGCAGCTGCAGCTATGCGGCCGGTGATGGATGAGGAGAGGAAACCATTGCGAGGAACACCACCAACGGGATTCATAAGGTTCTTCAAGACATCGTCTCACGGCCGGCGAGTCTACTTTGATGAGTCTGTGTGTGTGCTGTGCTGTGCGGTGCTGTGCGGTGTAGTGCGGTGCTATTATGTGTACTGTGCTGTTCCGCCTCACCCTCACCCTCCCTCCTTCCCCCCCCACCTTCCCCCTTCCCCCTCCTCCTATGTCTTGCAACAGGACGAAGGAAGCATCCCGTGCGGCAAACTAGAGCTAGTGAAGAACTACGACTGGTGGTGGGACGTGTCGATGCTGTCCCACCTTCTCTTCCCACCCCACCCCATCCCATCCCATCCCATCCCATCCCTTCCCTTCCCTTCCCACCCAATGAGCAAAGGAAGCATCCCAGGAGGCAGGCTAGAGCTAGTGAACAACCACGACTGGTGGCGTGGCGGAGTGTTGTCTCTTCTGGAGTTCCGGCGGGACGTGGGCAAGCATGCACGAGGGATGTTGATTCTGCTCCCCACCCCCGCCTCCTCCTCACCCCCGCCTCCTCCCCACCCCCGCCTCCTCCCCACCCCACCCAACCTTGCTGCAGGAAAACCAAGGGAGCGTTCCGGGTGGAAAGCTAGAGCTGGTGAACAACTACGACTGGTGGAAAGGTGTTTCGTTGCTGGAGTTCCTGAGGGACGTGGGCAAGCACGCGCGGGTGGGGGCGATGATGGGCAAGGAGAGTGTGAAGAAACGGTTGGCTTCAGAGGAAGGGATCAGCTACACGGAGTTCACTTACCAGCTGCTGCAGGTGAGAGGGAGGGGAAGCAGGGGCTTTCAGGTGAAAGAGAGTGCATGTGAGAGTGCCAAGGAGAGTGTGAAGAAGCGTCTGGCGTCAGAAGAAGGGATCAAATACACGGAGTTTACTCAGCTTTTGAGTCGACTCAAAAGCGTCTGGCGTCAGAAGAAGGGATCAAATACACGGAGTTTACTCATCTTTTGAGTCGACTCAAAAGCGTCTGGCGTCAGAAGAAGGGATCAAATACACGGAGTTTACTCAGCTTTTGAGTCAACTCAAAAGCGTCTGGCGTCAGAAGAAGGGATCAAATACACGGAGTTTACTCAGCTTTTAAGTCGACTCAAAAGCGTCTGGCGTCAGAAGAAGGGATCAAATACACGGAGTTTACTCAGCTTTTGAGTCGACTCAAAAGCGTCTGGCGTCAGAAGAAGGGATCAAATACACGGAGTTTACTCAGCTTTTGAGTCGACTCAAAAGCGTCTGGCGTCAGGAGAAGGGATCAAATACACGGAGTTTACTCAGCTTTTGAGTCGACTCAAAAGCGTCTGGCGTCAGGAGAAGGGATCAAATACACGGAGTTTACTCAGCTTTTGAGTCGACTCAAAAGCGTCTGGCGTCAGGAGAAGGGATCAAATACACGGAGTTTACTCAGCTTTTGAGTCGACTCAAAAGCGTCTGGCGTCAGGAGAAGGGATCAAATACACGGAGTTTACTCAGCTTTTGAGTCGACTCAAAAGCGTCTGGCGTCAGGAGAAGGGATCAAATACACGGAGTTTACTCAGCTTTTGAGTCGACTCAAAAGCGTCTGGCGTCAGGAGAAGGGATCAAATACACGGAGTTTACTCAGCTTTTGAGTCGACTCAAAAGCGTCTGGCGTCAGGAGAAGGGATCAAATACACGGAGTTTACTCAGCTTTTGAGTCGACTCAAAAGCGTCTGGCGTCAGGAGAAGGGATCAAATACACGGAGTTTACTCACCAGCTGCTGCAGGTGACTGGGAGAGAGTGTGGTTCCAGGGGTCTTTTTTTTAGGCGCCTCAAAAACCGTCTCATGACTCGTGGTTTTGAGGCACCTATAAAGGAGTGTGCTTCCAGGTGTTACGAACGAGGAGAAAGAGTGGGGATTTCAGGGATGGGTGGGAGGCACAAGCATGCACGGGTGGGGGCGATGATGGGCAAGGAGAGTGTGAAGAAGAGACTGGCTTCAGAGGAAGGGATCAGCTACACGGAGTTCACTTACCAGCTGCTGCAGGTGAGTGAGAGAGAGGGGTTTCAAGGTGAGAAACAGAGTGCATGTGAGGGAGGGAGGGAGGGAGGGAGGGAGGGAGGGAGGGAGGGAGGGAGGGAGGGAGGGAGGGATTTTAAGGTGTGAGAGAGAGCCGGCACCGACCTGCTCCTTCCCCTCCCTTCCCCTCCCTTCCCCTGTTCAACCCTCGTGTATACATTTCCACCCCTCCGCTCCCTCTCTCCAGGGCTATGACTTTGTGCGTCTGTACAAGGAAAAAGGCATCACGGTGCAGATGGGCGGCAGTGACCAGTGTGGTGGGGCAACATCACTGCCAGCACCCACCTGCTCCTCCTTCTCCCCTCCCCTAGCCAACCCTCCTACATGCCGCCCACGCCCTCCCCTTCCTTCCCTCCAGGGCTACGACTTTGTGCATCTGTACAAGGAGAAGGGCATCACGGTGCAGATGGGCGGCAGTGACCAGTGGGGCAACATCACTGCCGGCACCGACCTGCTTCGACGGCTGCAGGCAGCAGGGGTTGTTCCCTCCAGGGCGCCCACAGGGGGAGAGGGGCAGCAAGAGGGGCAGCCAAAAGAGGAGCAGGAGGGAGAGATTGAGCAGCAGGAGCAGGGGGAGAGGGGTCCGAGTGTGTTTGGGCTAACGTGGCCGCTGCTGCTGCGCAGTGATGGGAGCAAGTTCGGCAAGTCGGAGGGCGGAGCCATCTGGCTGTCTGCTGCCATGCTCTCGCCCTACAAGTTCTACCAGGTGAGATGCGGTAATTAGGGGTAAGCAGTGGTACGTGGTTGCTGTGGTGGTAAGGTAACTGCATGCTGCTGCGCAGTGATGGGAGCAAGTTTGACAAGTCGGAGGGCGGGGCCATCTGGCTGTCTGCTGCCATGCTGTCTCCTTACAAGTTCTATCAGGTGAGGTTAGTGGTGAGATGCGGTAATTAGGGGTAAGCAGTGGTAAGCAGTGGTACGTGGTTGCTGCGGTGGTAAGGTAACTGTGTGCTGCTGCGCAGTGATGGGAGCAAGTTCGGCAAGTCGGAGGGCGGGGGCCATTTGGCTGTCTGCTGCCATGCTGTCTCCTTACAAGTTCTACCAGGTGGGTCTGGCCAGTGACGAGCGGTAACGAGGGGTAGCAAGGGGTATCTAGAGGTGATGAGGGGAAAGAAGAAGGGGTATGTGATGTCATGCTCTCACAAGGGGCAAGTTAGAATGAAGGGCCATCTGGGTGTCTACTGCCATACTCTCGCCTACAAGTTCTACCAGGTATGTTTGAGGGGTAACCAGTGGTAACAAGGGATGCCAGAATGAAGGGCCATCTGGGTGTCTACTGCCATGCTCTCGCCCTACAACCTCTCTACTCCTTCCTCTCAAGTGCCTGCTCTGCTCTGTTCCTCTCCCCCCACCCCCGGTTCCCACCCCACTCAACAGTACCTCTTTGCCACACCTGATGCTGACGTCATCAAGTTCCTGCGAATGCTCACCTTCCTGCCCGTGGCGGAGATCGACCAATGGGAGGCCGCCATGTGCCAACCGGGGTACGAGCCCAACGCCGCCCAGAAACTACTGGCGCAGGAGGTGAGTGAGAGAGAGGTGGTGTGGGAGGGAAGTGTGAGACAGCAGCTGTGTGGGAGGGAAGTGTGGGAGGGAAGTGTGGGAGGGAAGTGTGGGAGGGAAGTGTGGGAGGGAAGTGTGGAAAGCAGCTTGCACAGGAGGATTTCAGGAGAGAGAGAGAGGCGGTGTGGGGATGGAAGAGAGAGAAGCGGAGATGGCAGGGCGAGGAGAAGTGGGCGGCAAAGGAAAGGAGAAAGGGGAAGAAGGGGGGAAGGGGACGAGGGTGGAGGGCGAGTGGGGGGATATACTATATGCATGCTCAGTCCTGTGCTAGACGGGCCCCGTTTTTCCCCGTCCTCCTTACTGGGTGACTCGTTTTGTGCATGGGGAACAGGGATACAAGAAGTATCGGGGAAAACACGAACGCGCTTTTCTTATTTATATTTCTCCCTTTCTATTCTACCATCCCCCTTTGTAGGTGACTCGTTTTGTGCATGGGAAGGAGGGCCTACAAGAAGCGCTAAGAGCCACGCAAGCCCTTGCACCAGGTACCACCTGCACCAGATAACTCCCTCAAAGCACCAGGTACCACCTGCTCCAGATAACTCCCTCACTGCACCTTCTGGCTCCAACCATGATAAATCACATACGTAGGCACAGCCTTCACGCACAACAGCTCCGTGCGTGAATCATGAGATTCTGTTGTTTTTTTTTTCTTTTCTTTTCTTTCTTTTTTTTCTCGTTTGAGCTGCAAGTCTCCCAAAGCTTCCCACCAAGCCACAAGCGTGGTTTTGCTCTTGAGTCTGTGACACGCCCCTGGTTCTACCTCAAGGCCATCTTCCCTGACCCCTCTTCCTTCCGTCAGAATGCCTAGGATCCGGATCCCTCTTTAGGTTTTGTCACGACCAGATTCTACCTCAAGGCCATCTTCCCTGACCCCTCTTCCTTCCGTCAGAACGCCTAGGATCCGGATCCCTCTTTAGGTTTTGTCACGACCAGATTCTACCTCAAGGCCATCTTCCCTGACCCCTCTTCCTTCCTCTATGCCTCCAACCCCCTGCCTCTCTTCCCGTCCCGACCCCCTCCCCTCTCCATTGTCCCTCCAGGTTCCACCTCCACCAGACTAGACCCCGCCACGCTCGAAGCCATCGCCACATGTGCTTGGTTGGCAGAACAGTACAATCCCCCCCCACCCCCTCTCCCCCCACCCCTCCTGCAGGTTCCACCTCCACCAGACTAGACCCCGCCACGCTCGAAGCCATCGCCACATGTGCTTGGTTGGCAGAACAGTACAATCCCCCCCCACCCCCTCTCCCCCCACCCCTCCCGCAGGTTCCACCTCCACCAGACTAGACCCGGCCACACTTGAAGCCATCGCCGCTGACGCGCCCTCCACCTCGCTCCCGTGGGCCGACGTGATTGGCCGAACCGTCGCTGACGTGGCAGCGGCGTCGAAGCTAGTGGGGAGCAAGGGGGCGGCAAGGCGGCTTGTTCAGCAGGGGGGGATGTATTTGAACAATGAGAAGGTGGGGAGTGGGGGGAGTGAAGGGGAGAGGGTGGTGGGGGAGGAGGATCTGGTTGGGGGAAGCATGCTACTGCTGGGATCAGGGAAAAAGAACAAGATGATTGTGAGAGTGGAGCGGTGAAGAATGCTACAATACAATACAAGTCAAGGTTACAAGTCTCCAGCATGGCAGTTCCAATGTTACAATACAAGTCAATGCCATTTGTGACTGACAAAGTTCGTTCTGGAGTAGCCTTTTGATGCAGGGAGAAGTCTCATCTGAATTTTATGATGTCAGACTATAGGTGACTCTTTAGACCGACTGCTAGGCAATGCAACAAGTCGGGAAGAACAGCTTCAGATGCTGTTCCGAAAAACAAACATCAAGCACCTTCAAGCTACATTGGCTGTAGCATAATCAAATCTTAAAGAGGCCCTTTGGCCTGGTCAACTCGAACACACACCGTGTAAAGCCTCCTTAATGCGCATTCACTAAGACCACATGCACCATCCAGTCTCTTTGACTGGGCCAACGCACAGTAGAAAGGCCTTCAAAGTGAAAGATGATCACATCAACTTCATGAACCATCCATTCCGTTCCGTTCCATTCCATTCCACACACATGTCTTCCAGCTCAGTCCAACCAACCAAAGCAAACAATAATTAGGCCAGGTCTACGCTACAGCAACCAGCCTCCTACATTACATGAACCATCTCCCCGCGGCGTATTTCGATTGGTTGTTGGTGGCCGTCTTATCCAGAAACGGCCCGACGAACCAATGGCGTGCGTCGAGGAACCACCAGATGAGGAAGAAGGAAACTACCGCGAAGATTCCGACACACGCGTAGTTGAAGTTGCTCGCAGTGATCGGGAAGACCATTGGTAGCATAAATATGCTGACTGTATAGAGGACAAAGAAGATGGCTCCGATGTTGATCAGTTTCCTGCAAGAGTGAGCAAGAGAAGCAGGTCAGAAGGGGGACAAAGAATAGGGGAGGGCGGGAGATTAAGAGAGGACAGGAGCAGTACATTGATTGTTAGTGAATTTTACTTTTGAGAATTCTCAAAAATAAAATTCACATGGGAGGGCAGGACAATGAGAGAGGACAGGAGCAGTACATTGATTGTTAGTGTCTACAGCAAGGGTGTGAATGGGGCAAGGGTGTGAATGGGGCAAGGGTGTGAATGGGGCAAGGGTGTGAATGGGTTCTGGGTTCAAAGAACGGCCTGAGTTCAAAGTCCACCTCTCTTTGAATGAGGTGGAACAAGATGAGAAGGGGCAGCGAGAAGAGGCCGTGCAGCCGCACCACACCGCACCGCACCACACCGCACCGCACCACACCACAACACGCACTCTCTTTACCACAGCCCCAGCACTGGCTCAGTACAGCAAGCCATGCTACCCTCGTCCCACCCTCACCTGCCCCACACGCCGACGTATTTGGAGAGGTAGAACGGCCCCGGCTTGGAATCCTCCTCCCTCTAGATGAGCCGAAAGATGATGGGCACAGCATAGCCGCCCACCCAGGCGACGGTGGCGAGGGAGGTGATGGCTGAGAAGAGGAAGGAGTCCTTGAGGAGAGGCAGGGAGAAGAGGCCGTACGGGCGCACCACCCAGCAGCGCACTGTACCACACACACTACAGCACCCTCACCTGCCCCAGACGCCGACGTATTTGGAGAGGTAGAAGGGGCCGGGTTCAAAGTCCTCCTCCCTTTGAATGAGCCGAAAGAAGATGGGTACAGCATAACCCCCCACCCAGGCGACGGTGGCGAGGGAGGTGATGGCTGAGAAGAGGAAAGAGTCCTTGAGGAGAGGCAGGGAGAAGAGGATGGCGACTCCGCAGCACAGCCACACGGAGTAGATGGGCGTCTTGTCTCGGTTCACCCGCCGCCAGATGAACGCGAATGGGAGCCCCTTGTCCCGCGATATGGCATACGCCTGGGGTGTTGGTGGGTGGGAGGGGGGAGTGAACACGAAGTGGGGCAGAGAGAGGAGGCTGGCTGCAGCCCACACCACAGCAGAGCCACACGGAGTAGATGGACGTCTTGTCTCGGTTCACCCGCCGCCAGATGAACGCGAATGGCAGCCCCTTGCCTCGCGATATGGCATAGGCCTGGAAGGATGGGGTGGGGGGAAGGAGTGAACGAGGATGGGGATGAGGCAGGAACGTGCAGGGCATTCTCTTGTTGCACGATAGACTTTTGAGTCGACTCAAAAGTCAACTCGGATGAGGCAGGAACGTGCAGGGCATTCTCTTGTTGCACGATAGACTTTTGAGTCGACTCAAAAGTCAACTCGGATGAGGCAGGAACGTGCAGGGCATTCTCTTGTTGCACGATAGACTTTTGAGTCGACTCAAAAGTCAACTCGGATGAGGCAGGAACGTGCAGGGCATTCTCTTGTTGCACGATATGGTGTAAGCACAAGACCGATTGGCACATGAAAGGGTGGGAAAGAAACGAGGTGACTTTTGAGTCGACTCAAAAGTCAAGACCGATTGGCACATGAAAGGATGGGAAAGAAACCGATCACTTCTCAGTAACCCCAAAACTAGGTTTACACTCTTTTGATGTGCCTCGACCGGCGAGATGGCGTAAGCACATGAAGGGACCGGAAAGAAACTGATTGCATGGGACGCGGCAATCGGTGTGGATGAGAGGAGGGGATGGGAATGCGAGCAAGCACAGAGAGGGATTCCGCCAGGTGTAAAGGGATGAAGAGAGGCGTGGAGGGGTGGGGAGGGATGGGGAGGGATGGGGAAGCACAGGGAAGGATGGGCAAGGACTGACTGCTCGGGATGCGGCGGGGATACCACCACAGACACAAAAAGGAAAGGCGTTGTGTGAGTGAGATGGATGGGTGAGCAAGCACAGGGTGGGGTGGGTGGACAAGGCAAGCAGAGGGTGGGATTGGGGTGGGGTGGGTGGACAAGGCAAGAAGAGGGTGGGGTGCGACGGTGAGTGACTGACCGCTCGAGAAGCGCCAAGGATACCAGCGAAGACACCAAAGAGGAAGGCGACATAGATGAGTGAGAGCACCACCACCGCCCCTGTGCCGTTGCCAAAGCTGTTGCAGGGGATAGGCACAAGAGGGGACAGCAACACACGGTAGCAAGAGGGGGGGTGCATGGGAGGATGGAAGAGGAAGGGGACATAGATGAGTGAGAGCACCACCACTGCCCCTGTGCCGTTGCCGAAGCTGTTGCAGGGGATAGGCACAAGAGGGGACAGCAACACACGGTAGCACGAGGGGGGGTGCATGGGAGGATGGAAGAGGAAGGGGACATAGATGAGTGAGAGCACCACCACTGCCCCTGTGCCGTTGCCGAATCTGTTGCAGGGGATAGGCACAAGAGGGGACAGCAACACACGGTAGCAAGAGGGGGGGTGCATGGGAGGATGGAAGAGGAAGGGGACATAGATGAGAGAGAGCACAACGACTGCCCCTGTGCCGTTGCCGAAGCTGTTGGGGGGGAGTGGGGGTAGCAGGGGCAAAGGGGGCGATTGGGGAAGAGCAGCAAGCAGAGCACAGTAGGGAGAAAGAGGAAGGGGACGTAGATGAGTGAGAGCACCACCACTGCCCCTGTTCCGTTGCCAAAGCTGTTGGGGGGGAGTGGGAATGGGAATAATAGGGTGGACGGGGGGCAACCAGGGAAGAGGGGCACGGAGAGCAGAGTAGGAGGAAAAAGAGGAAGGCGTTCTTACAAACCCAAGCCACTCACCGAGCCACTCACCGAGCCACTCACCGAGCCACTCACCGAGCCACTCACCGAGCCACTCACCGAGCCACTCACCGAGCCACTCACCAAGCCACTCACCAAGCCACTCACCAAGCCACTCACCAAGCCACTCACCGAGCCACTCACCGAGCCACTCACCGAGCCACTCACCGAGCCACTCACCGAGCCACAAAAACCTCCCAGATGATGGTAACGAGGATCTGCTGCCCTCCAGTAACACTGTCCGGGCTGGTGAAATTCTCATCGCCCTGAATGCAGAAGGTGAAGGCCACGAGCAGCCCCCACGCGAGCAGGCTGACCGCGGAGAGGCATCTTAAACCCAAGGGCGAAGCCACCACCGAGCCACTCACCGAGCCACTCACCAAGCCACTCACCAAGCCACTCACCGAGCCACTCACCGAGCCACTCACCGAGCCACTCACCGAGCCACAAAGACCTCCCAGATGATGGTAACGAGGATCTGCTGCCCTCCAGTAACGCTGTCCGGGCTGGTGAGAATATCGTCGTCCTGAATGCAGAAGGTGAAGGCCACGAGCAGCCCCCACGCGAGCAGGCTGACAGCGGAGAGGCATCTTAAACCCAAGGGCCAAGCCACTACCGAGCCACTCACTGAGCCACTCACCGAGCCACTCACCGAGCCACAAAAACCTCCCAGATGATGGTAACGAGGATCTGCTGCCCTCCAGTAACACTGTCCGGGCTGGTGAGATTCTCATCGCCCTGAATGCAGAAGGTGAAGGCCACGAGCAGCCCCCACGCGAGCAGGCTGACCGCGGAGAGGCATCTTAAACCCAAGGGCGAAGCCACTACCGAGCCACTCACTGAGCCACTCACCGAGCCACTCACCGAGCCACCACCGAGCCGCCTACCAAGCCACTTATACCAAACATCGAGCCACTCACCGAGCGTAAAAAACCTCCCAGATGATGGTAACGAGGATCTGCTGCCCTCCCGTGACGCTATCGGTGCTGGTGAGAATATTGTCGTCCTGAATGCTAAACGTGAAGGCCACGAGCAGCCCCCACGCGAGTAGGCTGACAGCGGAGAGGCATCTTAAACCCAAGGGCGAAGCCACTACCGAGCCACTCACTGAGCCACTCACCGAGCCACTCACCGAGCCACCACCGAGCCGCCTACCAAGCCACTTATACCAAACATCGAGCCACTCACCGAGCGTAAAAAACCTCCCAGATGATGGTAACGAGGATCTGCTGCCCTCCCGTGACGCTATCGGTGCTGGTGAGAATATCGTCGTCCTGAATGCTAAACGTGAAGGCCACAAGCAGCCCCCACGCGAGCAGGCTGACCGCGGAGAGGCAGAGCACCATGCTCGCTGGAGACGTGCGGTCGGAGCGCTTTGTCTCCTCTGCCATGTGGGCCACTGTGTCGTATGCGTAGAGGGAGTACTGTGATAGCTGCATCGCTGCAATGAAGGCGTACGCCTGGGGGTTTGTGGAGGGGAACAGAGTGAGGTGAAGAGAGGTGATGTGCGGTTGGAGGGCTTGGTCTCCTCTGCCCTGTGGGCGGGCCATGGTGCCGTATGCGTAGAGAGAGTATTGTGATAGCTGCATCGCTGCTATGAAGGCGTATGCCTGGGGGTATTGTGATAGCCGCATCGCTGCTATAAACGCGTAGGCCTGTACGAGGGGAGTGGGGTGGATTGAAGACAAAGGCTGGCATCTGATGCGCAAAGGCCATCGATTGAACGGTGTAGATCAATGCTGAGCAGTGTACAGTGCTGCAGAGTGGTGCAGTGCAGTGCTGTGCGGTACTCACCACACTGGGCAGCAAAAAGAGATACATCCAGCTGTATGTGGTAGTGAGTGAAGACAAAGGCTGGTGTCTGATGCACACAGGCCATACATTTAGCGGTGCAGTATAGTGCTGCAGATCAGTGCAGAGTGTTGCAGGGTGGTGCAGTGCGGTGCGGTGCAGTGCGGTACTCACCACACTGGGCAGAAGAGACACGTCCAGCTGCACGTGGTAGTGGGTGAAGACGAAGGATGGCGTCTGGTGCGCTGGCGCTACTGAGGGCAGCAGAATCATAATGACTATGGCCAGTCCCATCTGGGGAGGGGGAGGAAGGGAGGGAGGGAGAGCAGAGCACAGTGTCACAGGAGAGAAGGGGAAAGGGAGGAATTGTTGTGCACTGGCGCCACCGCGGGCAGCAGAATCATAATAAAAAAGGCGAGGGCCGCGAGGCCCATCTGAGGAGGGGAGGAAGGGAGAGGAAGAAGAGAGGATGCGACATCTGATGCACTGGCGCTAATGCGGGCAGCAGAATCATAATGATTATGTCTGGGAGGGGAGGAAGGGAGGGAGGGAGATCACAGCACAGTGTCACAGGAGAGAAGGGGAAATGGAGATTGTGTGCACAGGCGCTACTGAGGGCAGAGGAATTATGATGACAATGGCGAGTCCCATCTGGGGTGGGGTGGAAAATGGGAGTAACATTGTGAAACTTATATAAACCTACCTGATAAGTCGATTTTGAGTCGACTAAAAAATCGACTTGAATTAGTCTATCTGATAATCACTGCTGATTACAGCAGGCGGCCGATGAAGTTGATCGGGAAGGCGTTGAGAGGAGGAGATGGGTTAGAATAGAATAGCATAAGCATAGAAAAGCGAAAGACTAGAACGAGTTAGGTCTGCCGGATCCGGGTCGAACCTATTTTCCTCTGCTACAATGAAGGCAGGCAGGCAGGCAGAGGCAGCCTACAATGAAGGCAGGCAGAGGCAGCCTACAATGAAGGCAGGCAGAGGCAGCCCACAATGAAGGCAGGCAGAGGCAGCCCACAATGAAGGCAGGCAGAGGCAGCCTACAATGAAGGCAGGCAGAGGCAGCCCACAATGAAGGCAGGCAGAGGCAGCCCACAATGAAGGCAGGCAGAGGCAGCCCACCTGATAAACAGCGCTGATGACAGCGAGGCGGCCGATGAACTTGACTGAGAAGGAGTTGAGGACGCCGCAGAGGAGAGCATGTGGGTAGAGAGGGGGGGGAAGGGGAGGAGTAGTGGTGCTTCCATGCGGCTACCGTGACTGCAGCCCACCTGATAAACAGCGCTGATGACTGCGAGGCGGCCAATGAACTTGACTGAGAAGGAGTTGAGGACGGTGCAGAGGAGAGCATGTGGGTAGAGAGGGGGGGGGAAGGGGAGGAGTAGTGGTGCTTCCATGCGGCTACCGTGACTGCAGCCCACCTGATAAACAGCGCTGATGACAGCGAGGCGGCCGATGAACTTGACTGAGAAGGAGTTGAGGACGGTGCAGAGGAGAGCATGTGGGTAGAGATGGGGGGGGAGGGGGGGGGGAAGGGGAGGAGTAGTGGTGGTTCCATGCGGCTACCGTGACTGCAACCCACCTGATAAACAGCGCTGATGACTGCGAGGCGGCCAATGAACTTGACTGAGAAGGAGTTGAGGACGCCGCAGAGGAGAATGGCCCCCACTGTGATGGCGAACGACTCGTAGTTGTTCAGCAGGTAGCCTCCCCCGTTGGCCCCTCCTGGTGGTGGGGAAGAGGGAAGGAGGGAGAGACAGGACGGGGAGGAGTTAGTGATGCCGCAGAAGAGAAAGGGCCTTCACTGTGATGGCGAATGACTCGTAGTTGTTCAGCAGGTAGCCTCCCCCATTGGCCCCTCCTGGTGGTTGCAGGGCAAGGAGCAGGCAGAGAGTGAAAGAGGGGGAGCGAACACGGTGTATTGTAGCAGGATCACCCCGTCGAACGAGACACCACCCAACCCCACAGAAATAGAGTCGGGCTTTAAGGCGCCTCTTTCTGAGTCCGTTTGTGAGGCGTATGGCTGTATCCGGATGACACCATGGGAGCACCTGTAGCGACCAGCACGGTGTATTGTAGCATTATCACCACGCCGTAAGACTCCCCGCCCAGCCCCACAGGCGTAGGGTCGGGCTTTAAGGCGCCTCTTTCTGAGCCGTGAGGCGTATGGCTGTGCTGGGAGGGATGGCAACATGGGAATACCTGTAGCGACCAGCACGGTGTATTGTAGCATGATCACCCCGCCGTACGAGACGCCGCCCAGCCCCACAGAAAGGCCAAGAAACTCCAACCAGCCCTGGCGACGGGGCGAGAGGGGGGTGGGGAGAGATGTGGGGAGATGAGGGGGAGAAGAATTTCAGGGGTGAGGAAGGGGAGGAAGGTTTGGGGAAGTATGATGGGAAGGAGGGGTTGGGATGAGATGAGGGGGAGGAGGGTTTGGGATAAAGTACCAAACCAAGAAATGTGCTCAAGCGTGGAGTGGGTTGCGCGAAACCAACCAGTACCATCTTACAACACTCAAGCCACAACCCCATACCAACTGCAAGCAACCCCTAGAACCTTTCTGTTTGCAACCCCTCACGCTGAACGCTCATCATCAACCTTCAGAGCCATTCTAGCAGGAAGGCTTAAAGGCCCAACAGTAGTACCGTGATCCAGGCAGCAAAGGGGCCGTGCTTTGGCCCAGCCAAGGCTGCAGACCAGAAGTAGAGTGAACCGGCAACCTGGAGATGGGGTTGGGGAAATGTAGGAGGGCGAGTGGGAGGGCGGGAGGGAGGGAGCGAGGGAGGGAGGGAGGGAGGGAGGGAGGGAGGGAGGGAGGGAGGGAGGGAGGGAGGGAGGGAGGGAGGGAGGGAGGGAGGGAGGGAGGGAGGGAGGGAGGAAGCCAGAGCAGAGCCAGAGCTTGAGACAGACTTGATCCAGCCAGAGCTTTGGACCATGATGCTGCAGGGTTTTTTTGAGAATTCTCAAAAACACCCTGCAGCCAGAGCTTTGGACCATGATGCTGCAGGGTTCTTTTGAGAATTCTCAAAAACACCCTGCAGCCAGAGTTTTGGACCATGATGCTGCAGGGTTCTTTTGAGAATTCTCAAAAACACCCTGCAGCCAGAGCTTTGGATCAGAAGTACATTCGAGCGGCAAACTGAGATTACGGAGGGGGAGGTGAGCAAAATGCCAGGTTTTGGGTATAGGGCGAAAGGTACGGCGAAAAACAGCGATTGCGTCGAGTAGACAGAACGGAACAGCAAAGGAGAGGCGAGGAGGGGAGGGGAGGTGAGGAGAGGAAAGGAGAGGAGAGGAGGGAAGGGGGAGGGGGGTGGGGTGAGAGATACGAAGAGAAGTGGGAAGAGGAATCGCTTAAAGGAGCAGTAAGACAGGGAGGAGGCGCGGAATGATTGAGAGACTCACGGGGTAGGAGGAGGAGATTTCGGCCATGGAGAGAGCGATGAGGTGAGTGAAGAAGACGGTGATCCACCAGTACCACACCACTGCCACTGGGCCCCCGTTGACGTACGCCTGACTGTAACGGATGTGGTTATAACGGGGATAGTTGCAGAGGGCACAGAGAAGGGACAGGAAGGGAGAGAGCGATGAGGTGAGTGAAGAAGACGGTGATCCACCAGTACCACACCACTGCCACTGAACCGCCATTACGCCTGCCTGTAACGAGCGTGGTTATAACGGGGACGGTTATCGCGGGGACTGACAGCAAGCAAGGAGGGGGAAGGTGAGTGAAGACGACGGTGAATCACCGGATTGGGCACTCATGGGGGCCATCTTTCAGGTAAGTGTCGTCTCACGGTCTCACCCATAGTACGAGTATCTGCCGCGGGGATTCTCACCCATAGTAGGGCGCGATGCTGGTGAAAACAGTGATGGTTGACAGCCCGTTGGAGAACAGCTCGAACTGGCACGAACACGGGGGAAGGACCTTTCCCGCTGAGACACGTATCTGTCGCGGGGATTCTCAAGGTCTCACCCATAGTACGGCACTATGCCGGTAAAAACGGTGATGGTAGACAGTCCGATGGAGAACAGCTCGAAGAACCCGAGCGCGCGTTTCAGCTCCTGCTTGTACCCCAGCTCGTTCAGAAGCTTCTCGCCGGAATCTACTTCCACCGTCAACTGCAGCCCGTCTTCTAGCATTATCTCCATTGTTTCGCCCGCGCCGCCGGCGGCGCCGTCTCCGCCGGCTTTACCATCCCCCGCCTGGTCGTCCCCCGCCGGTTTGCGCTTTTCCCGCCGCGCTGGCCGTCGCGCCGTTCCAGTCTTCCGTCATGACTAGATCGTCGTCTACTATCGCCGTGCCGTCTGTTTTGCCGGCTGAACCCGCTTTTCCCGGAAGGTCGAGGCTTCCGGTCGAGTCGCCTCGGGTGCGCCATAGGGCGCGCCGCCCGAGAACCATGCTGACGCGGCCGTCAACTGTGACAACCGGCTGATTGACACTAACGGCCCCGAAATAAGTTAACGGTTGCTAATGAGTCAGTGGAGCGGTCAGAGGCTATCGCTTGTCATCGCTTACGTAAAAGAAACTTCTTCGCGGGACTTGAAATGGCGAATTTGGCTTATCAAGGGGGAAATAGCTGACTGAATGATACGAAAACCAGTCGCTTTTTCGAGACCGTGGACCGTGGTCCGTGGACCGTGGACCTTCAATGTCTCAACACACGGAGTCGAGACCGCGGACCGTGGACCGTGGACCGCCTCGACTCAAACGTCTGGACCGTGGACCGTCGTCTCAGCACACGGAATCGAGAACCATGGGTGGCGCGACGAGTGCAGATGGATACGCACGACTCCTTCCAGGAAATAAGTTACTTTATCTTTGAACGATACACGGCACGGTGGCCCTTCAGTCGATTTGTCGACAAATACACCTAAGAAGCACCGCGGGTTTCATGAGCGGACCCCTGCGATTCGCGAGGCCCTCGGGAGCTAACCAATCGACGACTATCGTTCTTGCAGAGCACCTTCGAGCTTTGGCTTGGGTGGTTGTCTGACGTTACACGAGAGACGTGATGACAAAAAATACTACCAACCTTAGAGTTCTCAATGTGAGAATAGTTTCTACACTATTGTGGAAAACAGCGTGTGTAACCGCGCTCACTAGAGCTAGTAACTACAATGTGACGCTGAACTACTAGCCACATGAGCCTGTTCGATTAGTGCGTGACGCGTGGGTCAGCGTGTTTGTGTGAGTGTGAGAGTTCAGCCTGTGATGTTGCTGTGGCTGTTCTTTTGGACGTCAGGTTGCACAACTTTTTGTACGCCCCCTGCGGTCAACTTCGTTTCGTCGCGGTGCAAAACGGTAAACTTTGTAAACCACTTTCCACCTTGTGGAACCGTCCTGAGCCACGATTCAAGAACTGTAAATGTGTGAGAATTGTACAACGTCGCCAATAGATGGTTAAGATGCGAGTGGGGGAGTGGAGGAGACCCGACCTGTACGACGTGTTTTGGGACAGCATAAAAATTGTTATCCGAAGGTTGAATGTTATTTTCAAACGTTTGGATGCGGTTTTGTTTGGTTGGTGTTTGGGAATGGACACAAAAGCTATTGACCGGGTGTAAAGCTTAGGGTTTGGATGCGGTAATACATGGTTCAATTGCTGATTCATCGGTCGAGCCCTTGGAGGCGCCACCGCCAACGCCAAGGCAGGCCTTGGTCGAACGGGAGGTGACTGGCGGCGAGGCGAGGCGGTGTGTCTGTCTGTGCGTACAACAGGCACGATCCACCAACCAATCGGGGGCAGAGGACGTACAGCAACAAAACAACCCTCCTGTGCAGAGACTCGCACATTTGCCAACTTCGAACAATGCGGTGCGGAGATATCGAGGGGGGGTCCAAGAAGCTGACGTGCGGTTTGATAGGGTTCTTGTGGAGATTTGGTTTTGCGCAAAACGGTTTGTGCAAATCTCGACCTGTTGGTGAGGTGATGTGTCTGGTCCAAGTCGCAAAGGGACCAATGGCCAAGGGCAAAAGTACACATTTTTTCGCGCTAGTACAGCATCTGGTTGCAGAGCGTACACAGGTTGTAGAACGTCACCACGTTCAGAACGGTCTTGTCACCAACTGTACAAGCACAATGCGAAGAACGCGGTTAGGTGAGGTGATGCACGTTACAAACAACTTTGTCCGCGTTTTCATTCGGTTTGGTAAGGTATACAGCGATAACGGAAACTTTACGCCCTGGAGGCAGTTTGTCACGTGGTTCGGCTTTTCCCCCCAGGTTGCTAGGAACGTTTTATGGCACCTGACCGCATGAGACAAGTTTTGTAGCAACGAGTCGCGCTAGGTGAAGAGGTTGAGAAAAAGGGTGTATTTTGTATTGCACGTTGCCGCCAAAGCAGTTGATTTCAGGGAAGGAAAAGGATTGGACGGCACTAGGGCCGTCATCATGACCCGTGGGGCATGGGGCAGAGCACAGCTTGGGGGAACCTCGTCGACGTAGGTGCCTGTGGACTTCTAGGAAGCCATCTCTGCGTCCATGACTGTCTGCCACTGAGAGGAGTAGGGACCCTCTATCGCTTCTGCGTAAGAGCGCGGGGTCGGGATGTCTGGTGCATCCGGGTCTCCCTCAGGGGCAAGCAGCATGGACACGAGATGAGGTAAAGCAGCGGCAAAGCACTCAAACTCCTCCTGTCTGTCCTCAAGGACGTCCGTGCCAAGAGCACACTCACCCCCGACGGACGGAGGACAGACAGACTCAGACTCAGCAACAAGACTAGCGGCGTAGTCTAGACGACAGGCAGCACCAAAGTCAACAAGCTCAGCAACTAGGGCAGACGCAACAGTGGACTCAAAAGAAGGGTCAGTGACAACAGTGGCTAGAAGACGCGTGACAGTAGGACTGGCAGCACGAGCAAGGTCTGACGGTGGGTCAGGGACGTCAGGAAGAGAGGACGCAGTAGGAGACGGCAAAGGGACACGCTGTGGAGCAGTGGAAGGACGGAGTGCCATCTGGTGCGTGCCTGGGACAGCAGGAGGACGCGGACGCGGAACACGACCAGTGCGAACAGTGCGAACATGTGACGCAGGACGAGACTCAGGTGACGCAGGACGAGACTCAGGCTCACGACGCTCAGTAAGACCCCTAGTCGGCCCAGAGTGAGGAGAAGGACCAGGCAGTGGACAAGAGTGATGGTGGTGATGGCTGGCCGCAGTTCACCCATATAAATCTGCGGTTGGGTACGATGTGTGCAGTATAAAACGGTATTTCTGTTAGCCGCATGCAGCACGTCATTTGATGATTCTGGCATAAGAACTAAAAGTACACACACTGACCCATTATACACCTGATGATCTTCCCTCTATTTAGATATTGTTATTGCTAATCAATTGCATGCCTCATTGGGTAGAGACAAATTGGGACTAGATGTAGTAGTGAAATAGTTTTTCTTGTATTGATTAGTGGACAATTGTTTTCTACATTATGGAGTTCACTTCATGAGCTTACACTAATCCCATCCCAGATGTACAATTAACTGTACATAACTATCGGTGTATCTCTCTTTGGTTAGTGTGTAGGTTGTGCAAGGACCTCACAATTTTTTGTGCCTGTTCAAATGTGGTTCCATTGCAAGCGTTCATTGTGCTCATTGACATGGCTACATTTCTCAGACCTTCAGCTCATTGACCTTATCCATACAATAGATGGCCTTTTCTGTAAGCGCCTTTTCCAAGCCAACCCGAAGCTTCTCAAACCCCTGCTTCCCACCAATCCCCCACCGGTTTTTACCTCACCTGCGTTACCCAAAGGTTCTTTTGGACTCCCACCAAACCCTCCCCCAAACCCGCCCAGCCCCCCACCGAACCCTCCTCCCACTCCTCCCGTGCCTCCCTCCGACCCTCCCCCGGAGCTCCCATCCGGGGGAGCAACGCAGGTTTGGCAAAAGGAGGGGCAGACGCGGTGGCAGAAGTCATTGGGAGGGTCGGAAGCAGCATTCTCCTTCAGCGTGCTGGAGCAGGGGGTGCTGTCCAAAGGGCAGGCGAGTGTGCTGTCCACAAATCTGCACGGTAAAAGGGGTGTGGTGGGGTTAGGGTTGAAGGGCTGGAAAGGAGCCTTTCCTTCTGAAGAAGTTTGGAAGGAGCTTGGGGTGCAGAGGTTTGTCGAGGTGGGGTAAGCTGAGTTGACTTTGAGTCGACTCAAAAGTCAAATCGGAGCTTGGGGTGCGGCGAGTTGTCGAGGTTGGGTAACCCCCTCCTCTCCTCATAAGAAAGGAGCTGGGAAAGATGTGGAGTTGCTTTGAAGAGTGCATGAGAGAGGAAGCGTGTGAGTGGGCTGAGAGCAATGAGTGGGTGGTGGAGTGGAGTGTTTTGAGTCGATATTCAAGTCTCAGAGTCCACGCCTGGTCAAAAGCTAAAGACTTGTGAGACGTCTCAAGAAGCATGAGTGTTTTGAGTCGATACTCAAATCTTAGAGTCCACGCCTGGTGAAGAGAGAATCACTCGCATTTCAGTCTATTTTTTGGGAGCCTAAAAGAAGCAAGAATCACTCACATCTCGGTAACATAGTCGCCGAAATAAGCAGGAAGCTCCCCTGCCAGCTTGTTCTCTGATAAGCGCCTAATGCATGACCGGGTCAGAAGGAAGAGTGGCCAGCGGGAGGGGAGGACAGGGGGATGGATCAGTGGATGGGCCAGAGGGAGAAAAAAATAGGCGCCTAAAAAATTGTTTCACCTCACAAAGATTTTCCAGTGAGAGGGGAGGACAGGGGGACAGATCTGTGCATGGGTTAGCGAGGATGACACTGTTAAGCGAACACAATGCAGTGCAGATATTTCATAGGTTTTTTTTTTTATAATTCACTTCAGTTCAAGTAAGTCGAGTTTCTTCTTGTTGCCGGTAAAGATATGGAAGTGGAGGGGAATGCGCATGACAGCTGAGTAATGGAACAGTGCGAGTGTTTAATCAGAGGCGTTGGGAACATAGTATTGTGTACAGCAGGGAGAAAGTCTAGCTGAAAGCGGAGAGGGGAAGAGGGTGCTGATTTCGAGGCGTTTGAAAATAAGCAGTTTTGCCCACAGCAGGGAGAAAGACCAGTTGAACGAGGAGGGGGGGAGTGGGCCTTCGAGGCTGTTGCGACTCAAGTCACTGCAAGGGAACATGGGAGGTGCGAGATAGGTTGTCACAACAGTACGGTTGTTCAACAGTACTGGCAACATGTAGTGGCAAAGTGTATGTGTAGTGGCGAAGTGTATGTGTAGTGGCGAAGTGTATGTGTAGTGGCGAAGTGTATGTGTAGTGGCGAAGTGTATGTGTAGTGGCGAAGTGTATGTGTAGTGGCGAAGTGTATGTGTAGTGGCGAAGTATATATGTACTGAGGGCGCATTCCTGACCTCGGGTCTTCCGGTGGTTTGGGTCTTCGGAAATTGTGGGATCCAATCGGAAAACCCGCGGTTCGAGATTCGAATTTTCCGATTGGATCCCACCATTTCAGAAGACCCAAACACCGGAAGACCCGAGGCTAGGAGAGGAGAGGAGAGGAGAGGAGAGGAGAGGAGAGGAGAAGAGAGGGGAGGAGATGAGAGGAGAGAGAGGAGAAAGTGACGAAACATAGCAGCTTAGTGCAGTGCCGTGGCTCTCTCACATCTCCACGAGCGACGTGAGTGTTGCAAAGCATGCAGGTAGTGAGCCCGACAGCTGATTCCCTGCAAGATAGCTGGAGCAGAGAGGAGAGGGGGGAGAGGAGGGGAGGGAGAGGGGACAAGGGAGGGAGTGGAGGGAGAGGAGAGGAAGAGGATAGAGGGACGGGGAGAGGAGGGAGGCATTAGGGTATACGGAAAGCAAAAAAAAGTATAGGGGAAAGAAACGGGATCGATGGAAGAAAGCGACAGGATGGGGTGGGGAAGGTGAAGGGACCGCAGCGAAAGAAATGGGACTGAAAAGAGGGCAAGAGGGCAATCGGGAAATAGGGCAAGAGGGCACGAGGGCACGAGGGCAAGAGGGCACGAGGGCAAGAGGGAAAGAAGTGAAAGTAAGACGAAAAGCGCAGGAGGGCAGGAGGGCAGAAGGGAAAAGAGGGCGAGATACCAAGGGGGCAAGACAGCAAGAGGGCAAGACAGCAAGAGGTCTGCGAGGAAGGAGAAGACATTGGTGATATAGGGAGATGCAAGCTACCATCGAAACAATCTGAGCTGAGAGGATACCACACCAACTGCCTCAGTTCTGAGAAGTCTCAAACCTACTCTTTCTACACGAGAGGATACCACACCAACTGCCTCGGACGAACTATACGCATTTCACGGCGGGAAGGAAGGGGTGAGGAGTGTGAGGGTGAGGGTGAGGGTGAGTGTGAGGGTGAGGGTGAGTGTGAGGGTGAGGGTGAGGGTGAGGGTGAGGGTGAGGGTGAGGGTGAGGGTGAGTCTGATTGTGAGTGTGAGTGTGAGTGAGAGTGAGAGTGAGAGTGAGAGTGAGAGTGTGAGTGTGTGCGTGTGCGTGTGTGTGTGTGTGTGTGTGTTGCTTACAGGTAAGCCATATTGGTGAGGCGACTGATACTTTCTGGTATGCTGCCGGTGATGCTGTTGTTGGACAGCTGCCTGCACACACACGGGGAGAGCAGTGTCCATGCACACTAACAACTGCAAGGGCCGAGAAGACTTGATGCACAGCAACGATTGCATGGGCAGCAAAGAACAGTGTGCATCAACTCTTCTCATTGCATGAGCTCTAGTTTCCGTTCAGGAGGGCTCAGGAGCAATGAGAACAGCAGCATAGGAGCCTTCTGAGACGCCTCAAAAGAGCAGCGGCATAGGAGACATCAGTAGAAGCTCTGCTTAAGCTGTTGCTGTTTACTTGCCCACACATGCATGCGGTTGGAACAGAAGAAATGGCATGGCATGACATAGTGTGCATGGCATGACATGGTGTGGCATGGCATGACACGGTGTGGCATGGCATGACATGTTGGGGCATGGCATGACATGGTGTGGCATGGCATGGCATGTTGGGGCATGGCATGACATGGTGTGGCATGGCATGACATGGTGTGGCACGGCGTGACATGCATGAATGTGGATGCAAAGTGATCCTTACAGCCTGCAGAGGTTTCAGAGTCACTTAGCGAGGATGGAATCAGAGGCAATGGTGTGGTACGGTACAGCATTGTATGGCCCGATATGGCACGGTGCCCCTCACGCACAGTCTGTAGAGGTTCTTAATGTCCCCTAACGAGGATGGGAGGGACCTGTTGATCTGGTTGCCCGCCATGTCACTGTGATGTGAGGAGAGGGGCGGAGGGGAGGGGCGGAGGGGAGGGGCGGAGGGGAGGAAGGGAGGCGCACAGGAGCAACAGCGTTTTGAGACGTCTCAAAACAGTCCCCTAACGAGGATGGGAGGGACCCGTTGATCTGGTTGCCCGCCATGTCACTGTGATGTGATGTGAGGCGGGGAGTGGAGGGGCGGAGGGGAGGGGCGGAGGGGAGGGGCGGAGGGGAGGGGCGGAGGGGAGGGACGAAGGGGAGGGACAAAGGGGAGGGACAAAGGGGAGGGACGAAGGGGAGGAAGGTAGGCGCACAGGAGCAACAGCGTTTTGAGGGGATTCACAAGGAGGTAGGGAGGGAGGGAGGAGGGAGAGGAGGGCGGGAGGGAGGGAGGGAGGGAGGGAGGGAGGGAGGGAGGGAGGGAGGGAGGGAGGGAGGGAGAGGAGGGCGGGAGGGAGGGAGGAGGGAGGGAGGGAGGGAGGAGGGAGGGAGGGAGGAGGGAGGGAGGGAGGGAGGGAGGGAGGGAGGGAGGGAGGGAGGGAGGGAGGGAGGAGGGAGGGAGGGAGGGAGGGAGGGAGGGAGGGAGGGAGGGAGGGAGGGAGGGAGGGAGGGAGGGAGGAGGGAGGGAGGGAGGGAGGGAGGGAGGGAGGGAGGGAGGGAGGGAGGGAGGGAGGGAGGGAGGGAGGAGGGAGGGAGGGAGGGAGGGAGGGAGGGAGGGAGGGAGGGAGGGAGGGAGGGAGGGAGGGAGGGAGGGAGGGAGGGAGGAGGGAGGGAGGGAGGGAGGGAGGGAGGGAGGGAGGGAGGGAGGGAGGGAGGGAGGGAGGGAGGGAGGGAGGGAGGGAGGGGGAGGGAGGGAGGGAGGGAGGGAGGGAGGGAGGGAGGGAGGGAGGGAGGGAGGGAGGGAGGGAGGGAGGGAGGGAGGGAGGGAGGGAGGGAGGGAGGGAGGAGGGAGGGAGGGAGGGAGGAGGGAGGGAGGGAGGGAGGGAGGGAGGGAGGGAGGGAGGGAGGGAGGGAGGGAGGGAGGGAGGGAGGGAGGGAGGGAGGGAGGGAGGGAGGGAGGGAGGGAGGGGGAGGGGAGGGAGGGAGGGAGGGAGGGAGGGAGGGAGGGAGGGAGGAGGGAGGGAGGGAGGGAGGGAGGAGGGAGGGAGGGAGGGAGGGAGGGAGGGAGGGAGGGAGGGAGGGAGGAGGGAGGGAGGGAGGGGAGGGAGGGATGGAGGGAGGGAGGGAGGGAGGGAGGGAGGGAGGGAGGGAGGGAGGGAGGGAGGGAGGGAGGGAGGGAGGGAGGGGAGGGAGAGGAGGGTGGGAGGGAGGGAGGGCGGGAGGGAGGGAGGGAGGGAGGGAGGGAGGGAGGGAGGGAGGGAGGGAGGGAGGGAGGGAGGGAGGGAGGGAGGGAGGGAGGGAGGGAGGGAGGGAGGGAGGGAGGGAGGGAGGGAGGGAGGGAGGGAGGGAGGGAGGGAGGGAGGGAGGGAGGGAGGAGGGAGGGAGGGAGGGAGGGAGGGAGAAAGGGAGGGAGGGAGCGAGAAAGGGAGGGAGGGAGCAAGCGAGGGAGGGAGGGAGCGAGGGACATCCTACTGAAATCCTGCTACCATCCCGCTGATATCACGCTTACATCATGCTGACATCACGCTTACATCATGTTGACATCACGCTTACATCATGCTGACATCACGCTTACATCCTGCTGACTTCACGCTTACATCCTGCTGACATCACGCTTACATCCTGCTGACATCACGCTTACATCATGCTGACATCACGCTTACATCCTGCTGACTTCACGCTTACATCCTGCTGACATCACGCTTACATCCTGCTGACATCCCGCTTACATCATGCTGACATCACGCTTACATCATGCTGACATCACGCTTACATCATGCTGACATCGCGCTTACATCATGTTGACATCACGCTTACATCATGTTGACATCACGCTTACAGCATGTTGAGGGAGGAGAGGCTGGCGAGGAAGGCAGGGAAGGAGCCGGAGAGCTGGTTGTTGGACACGTAGCTGAGAGGAGCGGTGCGGAGGTAGAGAACACAGAGAGGAAGATGAGAGGAGGAAGGCAGCACAGAGAGGAACATGAGGAGGAAGGCAGGGAAGGAGCCGGAGAGCTGGTTGTTGGACACGTAGCTGAGAGGAGAGGAGGAAGACAACACAGAGAGGAGAACAGAACATGGAGAAACGGAAACAGAGGGGGAAACACAGAGAGCAGGGCAGCATGTGGAAGGATCTAGTCAGAACATAACATGTCAACGAGCCAGGTGTGCTTTGAGTCGACTCAAAACACACCTAGTCAGAACATAACATGTCAACGAGCCAGGTGTGTTTTGAGTCGACTCAAAACACACCTAGTCAGAACATAACATGTCAACGAGCCAGGTGTGTTTTGAGCCGACTCAAAACACACCTAGTCAGAACATAACATGTCAACGAGCCAGGTGTGTTTTGAGTCGACTCAAAACACACCTAGTCAGAACATAACATGTCAACGAGCCAGGTGTGTTCTGAGTCGACTCAAAACACACCTAGTCAGAACATAACATGTCAACGAGCCAGGTGTGTTTTGAGTCGACTCAAAACACACCTAGTCAGAACATAACATGTCAACGAGCCAGGTGTGTTTTGAGTCGACTCAAAACACACCTAGTCAGAACATAACATGTCAACGAGCCAGGTGTGTTTTGAGTCGACTCAAAACACACCTAGTCAGAACATAACATGTCAACGAGCCAGGTGTGTTTTGAGTCGACTCAAAACACACCTAGTCAGAACATAACATGTCAACGAGCCAGGTGTGTTTTGAGTCGACTCAAAACACACCTAGTCAGAACATAACATGTCAACGAGCCAGGTGTGTTTTGAGTCGACTCAAAACACACCTAGTCAGAACATAACATGCCAACGAGCCAGGTGTGTTTTGAGTCGACTCAAAACACACCTAGTCAGAACATAACATGTCAACGAGCCAGGTGTGTTTTGAGCCGACTCAAAACACACCTAGTCAGAACATAACATGTCAACGAGCCAGGTGTGTTTTGAGTCGACTCAAAAGACACCTAGTCAGAACATAACATGCCAACGAGCCAGGTGTGTTTTGAGTCGACTCAAAACACACCTAGTCAGAACATAACATGTCAACGAGCCAGGTGTGTTTTGAGTCGACTCAAAACACACCTAGTCAGAACATAACATGTCAACGAGCCAGGTGTGTTTTGAGTCGACTCAAAACACACCTAGTCAGAACATAACATGTCAACGAGCCAGGTGTGTTTTGAGTCGACTCAAAACACACCTAGTCAGAACATAACATGTCAACGAGCCAGGTGTGTTTTGAGTCGACTCAAAACACACCTAGTCAGAACATAACATGTCAACGAGCCAGGTGTGTTTTGAGTCGACTCAAAACACACCTAGTCAGAACATAACATGTCAACGAGCCAGGTGTGTTTTGAGTCGACTCAAAACACACCTAGTCAGAACATAACATGTCAACGAGCCAGGTGTGTTTTGAGTCGTCTCAAAACACACCTAGTCAGAACATAACATGTCAACGAGCCAGGTGTGTTTTGAGTCGACTCAAAACACACCTAGTCAGGACATAACATGTCAACGAGCCAGGTGTGTTTTGAGTCGACTCAAAACACACCTAGTCAGATCATAACATGTCAACGAGCCAGGTGTGTTTTGAGTCGACTCAAAACACACCTAGTCAGAACATAACATGTCAACGAGCCAGGTGTGTTTTGAGCCGACTCAAAACACACCTAGTCAGAACATAACATGCCAACGAGCCAGGTGTGTTTTGAGTCGACTCAAAACACACCTAGTCAGAACATAACATGTCAACGAGCCAGGTGTGTTTTGAGTCGACTCAAAACACACCTAGTCAGAACATAACATGTCAACGAGCCAGGTGTGTTTTGAGTCGACTCAAAACACACCTAGTCAGAACATAACATGTCAACGAGCCAGGTGTGTTTTGAGTCGACTCAAAACACACCTAGTCAGAACATAACATGTCAACGAGCCAGGTGTGTTTTGAGTCGACTCAAAACACACCTAGTCAGAACATAACATGTCAACGAGCCAGGTGTGTTTTGAGTCGACTCAAAACACACCTAGTCAGAACATAACATGTCAACGAGCCAGGTGTGTTTTGAGTCGACTCAAAACACACCTAGTCAGAACATAACATGCCAACGAGCCAGGTGTGTTTTGAGTCGACTCAAAACACACCTAGTCAGAACATAACATGTCAACGAGCCAGGTGTGTTTTGAGTCGACTCAAAACACACCTAGTCAGAACATAACATGTCAACGAGCCAGGTGTGTTTTGAGTCGACTCAAAACACACCTAGTCAGAACATAACATGTCAACGAGCCAGGTGTGTTTTGAGTCGACTCAAAACACACCTAGTCAGAACATAACATGTCAACGAGCCAGGTGTGTTTTGAGTCGACTCAAAACACACCTAGTCAGAACATAACATGTCAACGAGCCAGGTGTGTTTTGAGTCGACTCAAAACACACCTAGTCAGAACATAACATGTCAACGAGCCAGGTGTGTTTTGAGTCGACTCAAAACACACCTAGTCAGAACATAACATGTCAACGAGCCAGGTGTGTTTTGAGTCGACTCAAAACACACCTAGTCAGAACATAACATGCCAACGAGCCAGGTGTGTTTTGAGTCGACTCAAAACACACCTAGTCAGAACATAACATGTCAACGAGCCAGGTGTGTTTTGAGCCGACTCAAAACACACCTAGTCAGAACATAACATGTCAACGAGCCAGGTGTGTTTTGAGTCGACTCAAAAGACACCTAGTCAGAACATAACATGCCAACGAGCCAGGTGTGTTTTGAGTCGACTCAAAACACACCTAGTCAGAACATAACATGTCAACGAGCCAGGTGTGTTTTGAGTCGACTCAAAACACACCTAGTCAGAACATAACATGTCAACGAGCCAGGTGTGTTTTGAGTCGACTCAAAACACACCTAGTCAGAACATAACATGTCAACGAGCCAGGTGTGTTTTGAGTCGACTCAAAACACACCTAGTCAGAACATAACATGTCAACGAGCCAGGTGTGTTTTGAGTCGACTCAAAACACACCTAGTCAGAACATAACATGTCAACGAGCCAGGTGTGTTTTGAGTCGACTCAAAACACACCTAGTCAGAACATAACATGTCAACGAGCCAGGTGTGTTTTGAGTCGTCTCAAAACACACCTAGTCAGAACATAACATGTCAACGAGCCAGGTGTGTTTTGAGTCGACTCAAAACACACCTAGTCAGGACATAACATGTCAACGAGCCAGGTGTGTTTTGAGTCGACTCAAAACACACCTAGTCAGATCATAACATGTCAACGAGCCAGGTGTGTTTTGAGTCGACTCAAAACACACCTAGTCAGAACATAACATGTCAACGAGCCAGGTGTGTTTTGAGCCGACTCAAAACACACCTAGTCAGAACATAACATGCCAACGAGCCAGGTGTGTTTTGAGTCGACTCAAAACACACCTAGTCAGAACATAACATGTCAACGAGCCAGGTGTGTTTTGAGTCGACTCAAAACACACCTAGTCAGAACATAACATGTCAACGAGCCAGGTGTGTTTTGAGTCGACTCAAAACACACCTAGTCAGAACATAACATGTCAACGAGCCAGGTGTGTTTTGAGTCGACTCAAAACACACCTAGTCAGAACATAACATGCCAACGAGCCAGGTGTGTTTTGAGTCGACTCAAAACACACCTAGTCAGAACATAACATGTCAACGAGCCAGGTGTGTTTTGAGTCGACTCAAAACACACCTAGTCAGAACATAACATGTCAACGAGCCAGGTGTGTTTTGAGTCGACTCAAAACACACCTAGTCAGAACATAACATGTCAACGAGCCAGGTGTGTTTTGAGTCGACTCAAAACACACCTAGTCAGAACATAACATGTCAACGAGCCAGGTGTGTTTTGAGTCGTCTCAAAACACACCTAGTCAGAACATAACATGTCAACGAGCCAGGTGTGTTTTGAGTCGACTCAAAACACACCTAGTCAGGACATAACATGTCAACGAGCCAGGTGTGTTTTGAGTCGACTCAAAACACACCTAGTCAGATCATAACATGTCAACGAGCCAGGTGTGTTTTGAGTCGACTCAAAACACACCTAGTCAGAACATAACATGTCAACGAGCCAGGTGTGTTTTGAGTCGACTCAAAACACACCTAGTCAGAACATAACATGCCAACGAGCCAGGTGTGTTTTGAGTCGACTCAAAACACACCTAGTCAGAACATAACATGTCAACGAGCCAGGTGTGTTTTGAGTCGACTCAAAACACACCTAGTCAGAACATAACATGTCAACGAGCCAGGTGTGTTTTGAGTCGACTCAAAACACACCTAGTCAGAACATAACATGTCAACGAGCCAGGTGTGTTTTGAGTCGACTCAAAACACACCTAGTCAGAACATAACATGCCAACGAGCCAGGTGTGTTTTGAGTCGACTCAAAACACACCTAGTCAGAACATAACATGTCAACGAGCCAGGTGTGTTTTGAGTCGACTCAAAACACACCTAGTCAGAACATAACATGTCAACGAGCCAGGTGTGTTTTGAGTCGACTCAAAACACACCTAGTCAGAACATAACATGTCAACGAGCCAGGTGTGTTTTGAGTCGACTCAAAACACACCTAGTCAGAACATAACATGTCAACGAGCCAGGTGTGTTTTGAGTCGACTCAAAACACACCTAGTCAGAACATAACATGTCAACGAGCCAGGTGTGTTTTGAGTCGACTCAAAACACACCTAGTCAGAACATAACATGTCAACGAGCCAGGTGTGTTTTGAGTCGACTCAAAACACACCTAGTCAGAACATAACATGTCAACGAGCCAGGTGTGTTTTGAGTCGACTCAAAACACACCTAGTCAGAACATAACATGCCAACGAGCCAGGTGTGTTTTGAGTCGACTCAAAACACACCTAGTCAGAACATAACATGTCAACGAGCCAGGTGTGTTTTGAGTCGACTCAAAACACACCTAGTCATAACATAACATGTCAACGAGCCAGGTGTGTTTTGAGTCGACTCAAAACACACCTAGTCAGAACATAACATGTCAACGAGCCAGGTGTGTTTTGAGTCGACTCAAAACACACCTAGTCAGAACATAACATGTCAACGAGCCAGGTGTGTTTTGAGTCGACTCAAAACACACCTAGTCAGAACATAACATGCCAACGAGCCAGGTGTGTTTTGAGTCGACTCAAAACACACCTAGTCAGAACATAACATGTCAACGAGCCAGGTGTGTTTTGAGTCGACTCAAAACACACCTAGTCATAACATAACATGTCAACGAGCCAGGTGTGTTTTGAGTCGACTCAAAACACACCTAGCCAGAACATAACATGTCAACGAGCCAGGTGTGTTTTGAGTCGACTCAAAACACACCTAGTCAGAACATAACATGTCAACGAGCCGAGCCGGCTAGCTGGTTGTGAACCAAGTTGATGTGGAGGAGACGAGGAAACAGTAAAAAACCAAACTGAACAACAATATACGCAGAATTCCGGTCCAGCGACACGACACGACACGACACTAGTTTCAAAACTAGAATCGTGAGGCGCCTCAGAACTAGAATCGTGAGGCGCCTCAAAACTAGAATTCCGGTCATGCGACACATGCAACGATGGAGCAACAGGCACACCATGAGCTGTCAGTAGCGGACAGGTGGGCTGCTGAGGCCTAAAAAAGGAGCAACAGGAATGTCACGAGCTTACATGCTGCCCAGCGCGAGGAGCATAGAGAGAGCGAGAGGCGGAGAGCTGTTGGGCTATAGTGACTCATGCACAAGCCACGAAGCTGACTCTGATGTTGACGCAATTGCGCAAGCCACGCCATTGCATAAGCCACGCAATTGCACAAGCCATGCAATTGCTTGCCCGCTATCAACCCGCCAGCAAACCATCACCCCTGAGCACGCATGCCTCAGATCAGATCAGATCAGATCAGATCAGATCAGATCAGAGGCATCTCAGATCAGAAGCTCACTCACAGGCTGTCGAGCGATCTGAGCTTAGTGAGAACAAGAGGCAGCGAGCCGTTGAGCCGTGCTGACCGGATTTCCCTGGAGTCGGGAAGGTGGTACACCGAGGACGAAACTTAGGAAGGAATGGAATCGTGATACACGGAGAGCGGAACTTCAGGAGAACTTGAGTTGTTAGCAGGGTGTAGGGACTCTGCTAGGGATGGAGAGGGAAGGAAATGCTTTTGAGTCGACTCAAAAGCGAACCCTGCTAGGGAAGGAGAGGGAAGAAAATGTGTGCTGGAACGACACAGCCACGAGAGCAAGTGAGGGTGGTGCACTGTTGGTCCGTCAGGTGCAGAGAAAGAATATGTGTGCAGGAACGACACAGCCGCGAGAGCAAGTGAGGGTGGTGCACTGTTGGTTAACTAGGTGGAAAGGGTTTCAGAAAGGTTCTTTCTACAAGAGACTGAATAGAAAGCTTACAGCATTTTGAGCGATTTGAGGGAGCCCATGGCTGCGGGCAGGCTGCCTGATATGGGGTTGTATGACAGGTCCCTGGTTGGATTGGGCGGTGGGAGGGCGGGGGGAAGGGGGGAGATAAGGGAGGGAGAGGGTATCTTGGGACACCTCAAACAGGGATTTGAGGGAGCCCATGGCTGCTGGTAGGCTGCCTGATATGGGGTTGTATGACAGGTCCCTGGTTGGTTGGGGAGAGGGTGGAAGGGTGCGTAAGGGAGGGAGAGAGATTGTGCTTTTAAGGCATGGTACTCAAGGAAGCTCATGGCTGCTGGCAGGCTGCCTGATATGGGGTTGTATGACAGGTCCCTGGTTGGATGGAAAGGGGAAAGTACATATGGGTCCTATAGAGATTGATGGGGCGTGGGAATAGTGTAGAGATTCTCTCCCAGGATTACAAGGTCTGAAGGATGAAACAAGGATTGCGAATTACGCGGGGATTCGTGCATGTGAGAATTGTGAGAAACGAATTTCATGAAGAAAAAAAAAGGGCATGCTGCTGCAACAACAACAATAGGACGACTTTTTTCTCGAATAGCTGATGGCAGGCGACGTGTTATTGTTGTAGGGTGTATTATGAAGATTCTCAAAAACACGCTGCAAAATGAGATTCTACTGATGCAATGCGGCGCGTACAAATGGACGAGTTTTTTTCAAAGAGCCGATGCCAGACGTGATACTGCCAGGTGTTTTCAAGAATCCTTGACAACACCTTGAAGCTTTAAAGGCTGGGGATGAAAGGTGTACAATTGGATGAGCTTTTTCAGAGAGCCGATGGCCGATGTGATAGTGCCGGTGACGTTGTTGTTTCTCAGGTTCCTGAAGCAGCGTCACAGCACTCGTCATGCATACCATATCATGCCATGCATGCATGCATATTACACCACGCAATTTTATGCATATCACAACATACGCATCATGATAACACAGCAGCAGGACTCACAGATTCAGACAGAACAAGCAGACAATGACTTGGAGAACTCCTAAAATACTCTCTCAGGGAACGTTGAAGAAAACAAGGTTGGATACTACTGCGGATCTGCGATAGATCACCGAAAAGGCTTCTGAGATGACTCAAGTCTCACAATTACCTCTTCAAACCAAACAGCAGGACGTGAACCAATCAAAGTCACCACTAAACCAAGATAGAGCGATGAGACCAATCTCATTAAATAGAAGCAAGGGACTTACAGAAGGACAAGGTTAGACAGTTCTGAGATAAATCAAGTCAGAGGCTTCAGTGACGACTCAAGGCACCTCTTTCAAGTCAAATCAGAGGGACGAGACCCATCGCCTAAACCCAAAAGAAAAGGACTTACATGAGGACAAGGTTGGAGAGTCCTGAGATCGATCGAGGCAGAGTCCCACTGATCTTGTTGTCGTAAAGAGACCTGAACACGCAGAGTGCAAAGCAGAGTAGGATCAGATCAACGTTTGGAGGAAATAAATAAATAAATAAAAACCGGAGAGTGGACAATTCAGTCAGAATTTTTGAGTTTGGAGATAGATAGATTTCGGTAGGATTGAGTCCGAATTTTGAGGCGCCTCAAAAGGTGAGCAACGTACAATTCAGTCAGCCTTTTGAGTTTGGAGATAGTGTTTGGCAGGCTTAAGTCGAGCGAGTTAAATCCGAGAAGGCTGTTGCGAGGGAATTCAGAAGTGTGGGTTGGGGGGGAAAAAAACAGGAATGTAGTAAAGGGAGGAAGGGGGTGGTGAAGGCGGGGAAAATGAAGGCAAGAAAAAATAAAAGATTCTTGATTCAGGCCCACAGACATTAGTTGTGACGGGAAAAAGGCCGAGATGAAAGAGCTGCAGCTGGAAAATTGTTCTTGTAAAAAATTCAGAACCCATTTGTCAGGGGCGGGGAGTTCCTTCCCTTTTTTTTTTTTCGCGGGGCCTCAACAACAGATAGTCACAATGTATTGGTCAGGTCAGGAGAAATTTAGGAGGGAGAGTTTAGAGGAATGGTGAAATGGGGAGGGGATGGTTTAGAACAGGGGATGCATGTTCATATCAGCTGTAGCAGGGCTGTTAGGTGCGATAACGAACCAGAGGGCTAGGAACAGAAGTGCTAACAAGGATTTACAGCCCAGATTTACAGTCATCCAGGGAATTTACATTCGGCTCAGCTTTGGCAGGGCTGTGAGGGGCGATAAAGAGCCGGAGAGGACATTGCACAGGTGAAGAAAGGCAACACGGAGTTACAAGAATTAGCTGGAAATTTACATTCGGCTCAGCTTTGGCAGGGCTGTGAGGGGCGATAAAGAGCCGGAGAGCTGGTTGCGTGATAGGTCTCTGTGTGTGGCGAGAGGGGAGGGGAGAGGCGAGAGGGGAGAGGGGAGAGGGGAGAGGGGAGAGGGGAGAGGGGAGAGGGGAGAGGGGAGAAGGGAGAGGGGAGGATGGAGCAAAAGGAGACAACATGGCCGTAAACTACAAGAAGGACTGTTGAAACAAGGAAACCTGTATCCTGCTAAAACACGAGTGGCACGAACCCTGCTTTACACACGATGAAAACAAAATCTGCAGCTTCGAGACCTTTCGAGTCGACTCAAAAGTCATGAGGGAAGGAGTGAGTGTAAAGCCCGTTTCACATACATGATCACAAGCCTCTGCAATTTCGAGAGTATAGAGGGGATGGAGGAACTGAACTGGTTGAAGCTAAGGGACCTGGGACGAGGGCGGGGAAGGGTGAGGGTGGGGTGGGGACATGGCGATGGGGTGGGGAGTGGAGGTAAGGGGGAAAGGGCGAGCGATGGGGCGACATGCTGTTGCATGCAGCAGTGGAGTGTGCGGCAAGCAGAGTGATCGGGATGCCCGTTTGCGCAACCTCATGGTAGGAATGAACAAGAGGCGAACACGAACAGGAACAGGTTCAGGTTCGCTCAGGGCCGAACATGTCACCTGGGCGAACCGAACATGTGTGGTTCGCCCCAAGCACTTTCGGGGCGAACGTGTTTGTGCACGCCTTTTCAACAGCTGTGAACTAGCCCGGGATGGGCGAAATGGGCTACTGGTTATGGTATGGGTGGCCGGTTTCAGCAAGAGGAGATGATGTGGTGTGTGAAGTTTAGGTTTCCCCCCGGTTTCTTCTCTAAAATGCCCTGAACACAAGGCGAACATGAACATGTTCGTGTTCGGTGCGGCTCGGCTAGCCGCGACGAACATAGCACAAACATGTTCAGGCGAACACGAACATCTTTGCACTGAACATGTTGGGCAAAAAAAACAAAAAACAAAAAACAAAAAATGTTCGAGGCGAACCGAACAGGTGTTTTCCCTTGAGCTTGTGTCTACCTTATGGTTTGCACTTGGTTTGTTGTCCTTGTGTGTGCGCGTGTGTTTGGATGGAATGATATGAGAGCATGAGATCATACAATCCATGCTTTTATGAGTGTGCGAATGATGATTCATGATGTCGAATGTGTGTGTGATTGGTAACGAGTTTCCACTAGTCGCGTGTCACGTCATCGTTTGCGTGTCGTGTACATTTTCTGCGACACATCGAACGTTCGATGTGTCGCAGGTGTGTGCAGTAAGCTTCGAAGAACTCGAAGAATACCAAGGTTATGGTTTCAGCATGACTAATGATGTTGGCTCTCACCATAGTAAAAAAACACCATGTCAGTCAAAATTGAAACGTTGCATTGTGTTGTGTAACATTTTTTCTTATGTGGGACTTTGTGGTGGGTAGGTGGTTTCTACACCCTTAGTGGTTGAGAATTGTGTGACATTGTTCACAATCCTGTACATTGGCTCTTAGGGAAAACAATAGTCGGCTGTACACTGTTGGCTTTCTCATTTGTATCTTAAAACAATAGTTGATGGCATGCTGTCGTTCGTTCAAACTACCATGAGCGTTGCAATCACCGAGGTTGGCGCGTGCAGCTCCTTTAGCACCTTCCAAACTCGTGGCCCGCAGTCAGCTTCTTCCAGTAGGTGCATCACGTGTGACCGCTGGTTCAGCTCCAAGCTTTGTGAGAGAAGATAGTAGTCGACAGTGGCACGCTCGTCCCACTCCTCTTGCAGGTTGAGGTCGTCCGGCCTCTTCTCCACGCCCTTCATCAGCTTCAACAAGCCGAGTTGCCGAAAATACAGCTGCATTTTCCACGCACAGTCGTCATAGTTGTTGCCGTTGAACTTGTCGACGACGAAGTTCTTGAGCACCTCCTTCAGTAGTGAGCCCGGGCTGGCACGCACTCTCCTTGGCGCTGAACCACCCGTATCTTGTACTCCACAATCAGCTCGTGCAATAGAACCGTCATTATCGCCCGACGCCATGGTGTTCTAACAGCAGCCCTTAGAACCACAGCTCAGATACCATGTGTTGACCACTATTTGGGATCTACAGGCTCTATATACACCTTTAATTCACACTACGTAGTCCCTACGGGGTCATCCTCAAAGGTCCTCGGGTGCCTGGCAAAGCCAGCCCCTAACCAAGGGTCCGTGTTTGTAGAGGAATTTCTTAAGTGTAAAAACCGATGGCGTGCGCTACAGCATTCCCAAGCTCAATTGCGGAAGCGATAACGATTGATCGGTGCGTGTGCAGAATAGCTCATCGCGTCAATACGTCGATAGAGCAATTATCATTCTCAAAGTGTTGATACAATCGAACACAAGCACACATTTTATATTTGGCTAGCACGCATGCAAAGGAAAATAGCAAACGGTTGATTAACTGCATTTATAGGACTTTGTCACGTTGCCTTGAAAAACGGTTATCAAACTTCTCTTGAATTTGACTTGATCCAAGTTCTTGAAATAATTGTCTTCAACTTCCATGTCTGTCAAATCCCCCTGCTGACTCCTCTCGCGAACGATCATGAACGCACATGTAAAATCATGAACGCTCGTGTGGAGATTCCGTTTCCCCAAGCTTTACAGTTGTAAAACGGTTTTCACCGTTTTGTACCTGTAAGAAACACTCGCGTTACACGCGCGACTTAAATGGCGAATTTCATTATTTCGCCATGCCACAAAAAGACGCGCTCGAGATTCAGTTTTACAACTGAAATCTCGAGTGAATCTCGAGCACCCCTCGGGATCTCTCGGCACTCCACGCAAACCACGCGCACCCTTGAGGGCGCACCATCCTTACGTGGGCAGGGCGATAATTATTGCCCTGTCTTGTAGCGATCGTGGGTCCTGCCACGCTCGCTACAGTACGTAGGCACACGCGAGGGCATTGTGGGGCCACACGCGAAATCAGGACCCACGCGCGGTCCTGGTTCTCCCGCGATTCTCGCTTGACCAGCGCGAGATATTTCGAGGGGCACTACACAGTCTCGCTTCCCTCATGAAAACATGAACAAAACAGAAACAAACATGAATGAAACACAAACAGTCATGATCGAACATGGACGCACGAACAGCACGCAAACAAACATGAATGCACACGAACGAACATGAAAATACATTAATGCTCATGAAGCTTACACAAACAATACGCGAACAGACATGAACACGCGAAGGCTCACGAAAGCGCATGATCACTCGGAACTTCACGCACATTCATGTCACGACACGGACAACACGAAACACATACGAACAGTCATGAAAGCGCATGAATGCAACCTCACACTAAAATGCACATAATTTAAGAACCGCTAAGGCGATTCACAAACCATAAACGCCAAAATGAAAAGCACACAAATGCGCATCCCACACAACACAATTAACCTTAAAACAAAATCATTCGCATTTTACCTTGCTCGACGAATAGGCGCCAGGTTGACGTGCAAAATATGATTTGCACCCAACATGTTTGACGGCTAGTTTAGCTCCCAACAGGCGGGCGCAACTGACCCGAAGTTTTGATAAATGCCCCGATTGTGGTCCGGGTCAATATTGGGTGAAGACCCAACCTAACCCAACCCGATTTTAAGAATCGTGTCACGGGTCTACCCGACTCGGCCGGGACGGCGTTTCGAAAAGGTTGGCCCGATCCGACCCGACTGGGCCAAATGTTCATGCCTACAGGTGAGTGAGGTGAGGAGCATACAGGTGAGTTAGAGAAGCGAGCGAGGAGAGGAAGGGAGGAATGGCTCCCTCCAGATTGTTGCCAGCCAAAATTCTGTGCGAACAAGCAAGAGGGAGAGGGGAAATGGACAAATGGGTGAGGAGAGGAAGGGGGGAATGGCTCCCTCTAGACTGCTGCCTGCCAGAATTCTGTGCGACCAAAGGACAGTCGGAAAATGAGCGAACGGACAAGCAGGAGACAAAAGAAGAAAATCGAATAGAAAGAAAGAAAAAAATAGATCTGCGACGTACAAATTCTGCAGCTTCTTGAGTCGGGTGAAGGAGGAAGGGATGGTACCGCCACCAACTGCTGAGAAGATGTTCCTGAAGTGGAATGTAATATTATTTTCGGAAAGAAGGTGATTTTTAGTCGACAAAAAAAATCGCTAAGACAATGTTCCTAGGATGTAATTAAGTAGGGAAGGTGCGGAAAGAGAAGTGGGAGCGAGAACAAACAGAGAAAGAGCCTGTTTTATCTGCTGTTCTTCGTATATATTGTGCCTTTGCTTATGACTTGATTGGCCACAAGACACCACCTCTCTGCTGTCAGGACAACGGGTCGGTTGGAGGATGCGCTGATGGAAACACGACATGTGTTGGTGTGCCTCACTCAAACATGGCAGCTGCGGCACTGTATTCGCACCCAAGATTGCACCCAGAAGTGCAACCAGAAGTGCACCAAGAATTGCACCTCAGATTCCAAGTTGCAACCACCATTGCACCCGAATTTACACACAGGACCATACACAGGAAAGCAAAGCAGGAGAAAGTGAGGCATGGCTGACAGGCGAGCGATTAAAGTCAGAGGAGGGAGGGAGGGAGCAAGGAAGAGAGCATGACTGACAGGCGAGTGAGTGAGGTGAGAGCGCCGAGTACAGAAGGCAGGTTTGGCATGGCGCCTTCCCCCTCCGTCGTCCTGACAGGATGGTGGGCAGGAGGAGTAGGCGGCAGGGGAATGATCCTTGCAGATGTAAAATAGTATTTTTGAGACGTCTCAGGAATGATCCTTGCACATGGCCTCGAACAAGAACGGTTTCTTGCAAATCTCCAAACAATCAATCAGCCGTCAAACGGTGCGGCTCACAGCGATTCCGGGAGGGAGAGCTGTACATGTAAGTTGGCACGTCAGCCATTAAGGAAGGGAAGCGATCTAAAGTGGGAAGTGGGCGAAGGCAGCAGCCCTCCCAGCAAACCTCCCAGCAGCCCTCCCAGCAGCCCTCCCAGCCTGCCCTCCCAGCCTGTCCTCCCAGCCTGCCCTCCCAGCCTGCCCTCCCAGCCTGCGCTCCCAGCAATACCCTCAGCGACTCTCCCAGCAGTGCTGGGCTCACAGTGATTCGAGGCGGGAGAGCTGGACGATGTCAGTTGCTCACTCACGGTGATTCCAGTGTACTGCTCACAGTGAGCCCGCCCTCCCAGCAACCCTCCCCTCCCAGCAGCCCTCCCAGCAACCCACCCCTCCCAGCAGCCCTCCCAGCAGTGCTGGGCTCACAGTGATTCGAGGCGGGAGAGCTGGACGATGTCAGATGGCACGTCGGTCATTCGGGGGAGCGACCTGGAGGGGGGAATGGGGAAGGAAAGGCAAAGGGGCGGAGGGCAGAGGCCGGGAAATGTGACGGATGGTGGTGACGGTAGGGTGACGGGAGGGTGACGGGAGGGTGACGGTAGGGTGACGGGAAATGCTTTTCATTTGAGTCGACTCAAAAGCTGACGGGAGGGTGACGGGAAATGTGACGGATGGTGAAGTAACAACCCTGCTGTCACACCCCTATTGTCACACCCCTACTGTAACAACCCTAAAGTCACATCCTTACAGTCACATCCCTATAGTCACATCCCTACTGTCAAACCCCTACTGTAACAACCCTAAAGTCACATCCCTACAGTCACATCCCTTCAGTCACACCCGTACAGTCACTCCCGTACAGTCACACCCGTACAGTCACATCCCTGTCACGAGGCCCTGTGCGCGCGTTGCGCGAGATAATGAGAAAGTCGCCCCCACTGGCAGAGACGAGGCCCTGCTCTCCTCTGTCAGCCCATCCACCCCACCCCACGCACGCATATCCCCACCCCACGCACGCATGTCCCCACCCCACGCACGCATATCCCCACCCTCGCATCACCTCGCAGGCTCGCACTCACAGCCCGGTCACAAAGCCTTGCGCGTTGCATGAGATCGTGAGGAAGAAGCTCCCCCAGGCAATGTCCCCCTCTGTCACCAACGCTCGATGAGTCAATTCCAACTTGACAACCGCACTCACATCCCACCCGCTCACTCACAGCCCGGTCACAGATCCTTGCGCGTTGCATGAGATCAGGAGGAAGAAGCTCCCACAGGCAATGTCCCCCTCTGTCACCTCCACACCCGACGCACCCAGCACCTTCTCCAGCGCCACTCCTGGCAGTGGCGGGCGGGCGGGGTAGGGAGGGGGAAGGTCAGAATGGTCGAAACAAAGGGGCTCCCACAGGCAATGTCCCCCTCTGTCACCTCCACACCCAACGCACTCAGCACCTTCTCCAGTGCCACTCCTGGCAGCGGGGCGGGAGACGGCCATAAGGGGAGGGAGGTCATAGGGAGGCGGTCAGTGGGGCCAGGGCAGGGGTAGGTGCGACGGAATGGCCTGGACAAAGAAGCTCCCACCGGCGATGTCCTCGTCAGTCACCTTGCGCCAACCCGGGCAGCCGTGGGGGTGTGTGTGGGGGAGGGGGAAAGTGGGAGTAGCGAGTCAAGAAGAAGGGGGGGTATTCTGGAGGAGAGACAGATAACCCTCCCGAAGGCAATATCCTCCTCAGCTCAGTCACCTCCGCACTCGACGCACTTAGCACCTTCTCCCAGCGTCAATTCCACGGACCGTGGGGAGAACGAGAAGCAGGGCGACGAGAAACACCCGCGGCTTCTCTCAAAGCGACCATCGGTAGAAGTTTGGATGGGAGGTGAGAACTCGAAGTTTTCAGAGGCTCTTAATGATCATGTCGCCGGCTCAATGTGTTCTTCTTCGAGGATTCTCTATTGAGAATTCTCTAAAAACACATTCTGAGAAATCTCTAAAAACTCATTTTGATTCATTTCAAAAGGCACATTTCTGGGCTCACACGGACGATGTGCCAAACCGGAGATGACTCTCGCAGCAGCGGTTAGCCTGAGAGGGGGTTTACTAGGGCCGGCGGACCTTCTCTGCGGTAATCCGCTCTCTGACGTGACTCTCCGCCGCGTTAGAGTCTACATTTGAGACTCTGAGGTCATCTTTTGATTACTTTTGAGGCGCCTCAAAAGTAGACTGTGAGGTAATCCGCTGTCTGACATGACGCGTGATCATCCGGCGCGTCATAGGAGACAAACTCACGTGCCTTCTATCAGAGAATTGTAATACTGAAACGTCTCGAGTGTTGTTAAGTCCTGGAACGTCTCAAACGGGAAAATAATATCGGATAATGTCGTCTAGTACTATCACCATACACAGTAACGAAGCTGTCTGTACTGTCATCGTACGCGAAACACCAGAACGTGCCACGTTCTAATTTAGGGCAGTGCCAGGTGCGTTTATAATTAGTATTAATTACTAAAATTACACGCTCACGCACGCTGGGAGGCATTTAACTCCGCATCTGCCGCTGCAGCACCTCGAACCGCGCAGAACAGCGGAATCACGAACCGAATTAGGGTTGTCAGCAGCGCAAGAGGCGGCGCAGGTTGCGGCTTCATCTCGCCTCAGCTATTCCTACCCGTCAGATGCTCGTAGTGTTACCTGTTAGCTGAAGCTGTCAGTTGTCAGCGGGAACTGTTCGGTGGTAGCTAGGCACAAAAAAACTGAAGCCCTGTCTTTCCAGGCCTATCCTCTAGACTCGAGGGTAGCTTCGGAATGAGATCATGAGGGTATGGGATGGGAGAGGCGGTTTTCGGCGTTGATCGTGGAAAGCTGGAGCACGAAGCGGCTCGAAACGGCGGTGCCGTGCAATGCGTCCGTCCGAGCTGTCGGTGTCCATTTTGCTCCGACAAGAATGAGTCTCACCCGCCAACACGTTCTAGTTGTCCGTTGCAGCAACTTGTGACGCACCACCTGACTATGGTGCAGTCGATTAGTGGACAGCCGTGTACAGCATCTGCACACTTGGGGGAAGGTGCAACTCTGAATTGAGCCAAACACATGTCACACATGTTCGCCAACACAAACGGGGGTGACGTGTATCTGCAACCTTGTAAGGAAAAATTCCCGCGTCCCTGCTCAGCACGTGAACCACTACACCCTGTTTCTCGCTACACTGAACTGTGCCGAACTGGTAGGAAACTCTGTTATCTTCGATTTGTCTAATTGAACCATACCGAAACTTCTTATAACCACTGTTAACCGTGCTTTTTCCATCTTGACTTCATTATAACCTAATTCACAATAGCGAGAAAGAGGGTGTATTCCCAACAACTATCAGCAGTGCACCGTTACCACTCGCTACACTCGCCTCGACAACTGTTCCCGCAATTGTTCACAACGCAACCCAACCTCAGAGTTCGCTTGGTAACCCGCGCTCCGGACCTCCGCCTCGACAATTCCCAGACTCGGCGCTAGGCCCGTAGCGCACCCCATTTTCACACATTACCGTTACGACTTCGCTATATATTCTCCGCTCATGCCTTCGCTTGATGGACTGTTTGCTTCGATAGTGCAATTCTCACTCGCTCGCTCAATTGCAGTCGCAACACTTGGTATTCAGAACCTACGATCTCTTCTCGGGACCGCACCCACACCTTCGTTTCCCCACTATCTCAATTTTTCGGGGGGGGGGGGTAGACGTCTCCCAGCGTTCAGGCACCGCCGCTCGAAGAGCTCTCTTGAAAGCACGCATGGCCACGACTGATGCTCTCGCTGAGCTTGCCCGACACCCCCGCCATGGCCGAATTCACTCTCGCGACGTTGATGCAGGAGCAGCTCGACCTGCTCGTACGCCAACTCGAAGATTCGGCACTTGAAATTGCGACACTCACAGCGGAACGCGACTCCACCCACCAGCAATCAGCGGCGAATGCACCAGCACCAACACAAGCACCTGCGAATGAACCTGCGCAATCGGATGAGCCGATTGCTATTTCATCCGGCACACCGTCACAGCATGACAGCGTGGGACAGCGCTCAGGCGCAGCCAGCGATGGCGCCGCCCAATCAATGCATAGCGTGGAGAGGAATAGGGCCGCACAAAGCACGAACGGCCCCACGAAGCCCGTCGTCACGTCAAATGTGCAGCGACGATCGGCAACAATGACATCATTGCACCAATGCCGCTCAAACCACAACGACCGCCCTGCATCGATCCTAGCCAAAGTGGGGGTTTGACAGTTCAATTATGGGTCTTCACGATGAACGTCTTCTTCGGCGCAAATTACGTCAAGTCGGACACTGCGAAGATGCGATACACTGTTTCGCTGCTACGAGACCTCGCCTTGGACTGGTGGCGAGTCACTGTGATGTCGCCACACGCCTACGAGCCGCCGTCGCAAGAGGAAGGGCCCAGTGGTCCAGCCGTCACCTGGAGCTCATTTTGCGAAACCACCCAGTACAGCACGTGGGATGCGTGCTGCGCAGGGCTTCAGGCGCGCTTCGAGCCGATCACGGCTTCTATTTCGGCGCGTCAGAGACTGCGTACTTGGCGACAACTTGGGTCGGTCCAAGATTGTACGAGCGGTTTTCTCGGGCTATGCGGGCTGTCAAACTATAATGATGCTTATGTTGTGTAGGCTGTAGTGGGGTAGCCTATATGGGGTACAACCCAATTAGGGTTAGTACTTGTACCACATTTTTGTTCAATGCATTCATTCCTGCTCACTAGTTTCTGACATGGTTTCAGAGCAGTAGGTCTGTAGGACCGTTTTTTTTTCGGGCCCACCATTAGCTAGTGACCGACTGTAGTTACTGCGCTACCCCACGCCCTGCCCTGCCCCGCGTCGCGCCGCCCCTGCAGCCCGCGCGCCGCTCCTGCAGCCCGCGCGTCGCCCCTGCGGCCCGCGCGTCGCCCCCTGCAGCCCGCGCGCCGCCCCCGCAGCCCGCGCGCCGCCCCTGCAGCCCGCGTGCCACCCTCTGCAGCCCGCGCGCTGCCCCTACAGCCCGCGCGCCGCCCCTATAGCCCGCGCGTCGCCCCTGCAGCCCGCGCGCCGCCCCTGCAGACCGCACGCCGCCCTGCTGGCCGCGCGCCGCCCCTGCCTACCCGCGCGCCGCCCCTGCCTACCCGCGCGCCGCCCCTGCCCGCGCGCCGGCCTATTTGCAGCGCGCCGCACTACTCTGGCCGCGCGCCGCCCTTCCTTGACCGTGAGCCGCCTCGCCCTACCCTACGCACTACCCTAGTGCCTGCCTGCCGCCCTTCTTTCACTGAGTGATGTCCTGCTGGTCGCACGTCTCCTTGCTTTGCCCGCTATGACTTCTCTTCGTGGTAGCAGTGGGAGTGGTGGCGGCCATAGTATCAGTCGCGGTAGAGCTGTTCGGTGGGGAGTTTCTGGCGGTGACCAGTTGCAGCGGCGTCTAGGCGAGACCCTTCCACCCCAGCAGCTACGTGAGTGGTGCGGAGAGGCACTCTACAACGGTAGTGAGCTAGACTACGGGGGTTGGCACGAACTACTAGGAGTGATCGTAGCTTTGCTTATTTCATTAGTGCTTGCGCATACACGGGAGAAATTGGCAAGAGTTTCCACTAGGCAAAGTCGAAATTACAGAATGATTCAACAAGCAATGAAAACAATGACTACATCAGGCACCTAGCAACCCTGCTGCTAGCCTGGTCGACCGCCAGCACAGCTCGGTCGACCGCCTGCCAGCGTTGCGTAGAGGAGCCGCGCCAGCACTGCAGAAAGGCGACCTGCCAACAGAGCAGGTCGACGGCGTGCCAACGCTGCAGCAGAGCGGCTGTCCAGCGTTGCCCCGTAGAACACAGCAGTGTGCAGGCTCGCAGGTGCGCGCAGACGATTGGCCCGACTTGCCTCGTTGGGCATCCGTCGGCTGTTGTCTGCGCCTGACGAGCCACATCGACTCCGGGATACCAGCCCGCAGTCGCCTGCGCCATCGCAACCTCGACGGCGTTCGCGTGCCTCCGTAGAACTTGTCGAGCAGGTTACCCGGTCGACCCGGTCGACCATTAGGTGCTTCCGGTTGACCACCACTCCTTCTGGTCGACCACCAGGTCCCTCTGGTCGACCACAACTCCCGTCGAGCTAACCCCCCTGGTCGACGGACCCCTTCCGTCGACCAGAACCATCAGTGGTTGTCGCCGAGCTCCCCTCGTCGACCGCTGCTCACATGTCAGGTCGACGGACTGCTCCGTCGACCTCCCGGTCGAATTGCAGGTCGACGGGATGCTCCGGAGACCTCCCGGTCGAACGGCAGGTCGACGGGATGCCCCGGAGACCTCCCGGTCGAACGGCAGGTCGACGGGATGCTCCGGAGACCTCCCGGTCGAGCTGTAGGTCCTATTCGACGTCCCACCCGTGGCCCAGACCGAGTTGCAGCTGTCGAGCTCCCTGGTCGACAGCAACACCACAGCGGTCCCGTGCAGCTCGACGAAGCCTGTCGAGCAGCTC